AATGAGATATTTGCTCTAATAAATAGATGCGATTTATTATTTGCAATGTCTTATACCTATGGCAGACTTCGGTTTTTCGGGTAGCATATGTATATTTGTATATGTAATATCAGTATAGCTAAGCTGAGATTGAAAGCTTATTGTTGGAATGAATTTTGGCCCGAGTCTGTAGTCTGGGGTGAATAAGTCCGAGAGAAGACTTACCGTATGCGTGAAATTTGGATCCTGTATATTTTAACAGATATTTTTCTCAAAAACCACAGGTAAAAGAAACCACTCTTTTGTAAGGCGGTAGCAAAACTTATAGACACCAAGTATTTATTCATAGAATTCGTGTCGAACAAACTCAAAGATTGTGGAAAGGAACTTGTGCATTTAAAGAATTTCGAACAATAGAGTTAAAGTAAGAAAGTTTATACAAATCCCACTAAAAGCGCCGTGTTATTATTGTTATTGAAACTTCACAACTTCCATATCAAATTTGTATATCTAAAGTACTTTATGGATATTGCGGAAGGGAATAAACTTGAGACAATATATGGTTGTTAAGCTGAATTAGGATAAAATTAAGATGAAACGGCTTAAAATTGGTATTAGACCCCAATTAATTATATTGGTGTGTTTTTCATCGTTGTTTTCCCTTTTAATATTGGGAATAGTAACAGGAGTATATTTCAGTTCAAATTTAAGTGATTTGCGGGCAGAAAGATTAGAGGTTATATCACAATTGAAGACCACACAAGTTAAACAATCAGTGGAATATGTTTTTTATCAAGTATATTGGCTAACGACTAAAGAAGACATATATGCACCCCTTTCATCTTATAGGGCAGGTAATAATACCAAATCAATATTTGCTGGATCGACTGTTGCCTTGGATCAGTTTCTTGCATCATCGGAATTGTTTTCGGCAGCTAAGCTATATAATTTAGATCTTGATGTCATGTCCGAAAGTTTTAATAATGTTTCCATAGTATCAAACTCAACCATGGATAATTTATTTCCATTGGATAAACCAGATACGAAGCAACACTTTTCTTCAACTGGAAATCTTGATGAAACTAGGTATATCTCCGGACCTCAAAGTAATTCGACGGATCCTGATAGTGCATATTTTATGGGAATAACTTTGCCTGTGTATGCCAACAGTTCCATACTTTTAACAGAACCATTAATTGCAGGTTATATGACTATTATAGCTAATGCAAAAAATATACAAATTGCAATAAATGATACAAATACGAATGATGGAACAGGGGATTATACAGTGGCATTAATACGACCTACGTTTGCAAATTCATCCTCATCAGACCCAATCGGCTTCCAAACTATTTTTCCTGTGAATAGGGATGGTTTATTGCCGAATCGTAATTACAGTATTGATTCGGCTCCACTGGTAGAAGAAGCATTGCTGAAAAGTGCAGGCTCTTCTACTAAGGTTAAATCTTATAATGGAAAATCTGTAGCTATTGGCTATACACAAATACAGTTAGATCCCCAATCATATTGGACAGTCATAGTTGAACAACCAAGATCGGAGTTCTTAACGCCTGTTATAAAACTAAGAAATATCATTATAGGAGTTGTAATAGGGACTGGGGTTTTTATGTGCCTCATAACGTTTCCCTTAGCAGTATGGTTTGTGAGGCCCATTACTAAGTTGAAAGAAGCGACCGAATCCATTACTAGGTCTAAGAAAAAGAAAAATGTCAATGAAAGAGGATTAACAGATAGTCCTTCTGTTCCACCTTCTTATTCAGCAATACATCCAAATAGTGGCGCGTCAAGTAAACGAAATAGTGTTATTTCGGACGTCACAAATACCTCATCCGTTTACTCTACGGCCATTAGATTACCCACAAAGATATCCAATTCCAAGAAATTTTTCAAAGATGAATTAACAGAATTGTCAGAAGCATTTAACATAATGACAGAAGAGTTAGATAAGCAGTATACCCATTTAGAGGATAGAGTTAAAATTAGAACAAGAGAATTAGAGGCACTGAAGATAGAAGCAGAATCTGCGAATGAAGCAAAGACAGTTTTTATAGCTAATATCTCACATGAATTAAGGACACCGTTAAATGGTATATTAGGAATGACGGCCATCGCAATGGACGAAAATGATCACACAAGAATACAAGAATCCTTAAGATTGATTTACCGATCTGGTGAATTATTGTTGCATATTTTGACTGAGCTATTGACATATTCCAAAAATACTTTGAATAGATCAAAATTAGAGAAATCCAATTTCCAAATTTTAGAAGTCGTTTATCAAGTGCAGTCTATTTTCAGCAAATTAGCAATGGATCAGAGGGTTAATCTTAACATTTTGTTGAAACCTGATATAATTCGAAAATTAGTTCTATATGGTGATTCAAATAGAATTATTCAAATAGTTATGAATCTAGTTTCTAACAGTTTGAAGTTTACACCAGTTGATGGTACAGTTGATGTTTCCTTTAAACTTTTAGGTGAATATGACCAAATTAATTCAGAAAAAGAACAGCATAAGAAAGTTCTTATTTTGAGAAACACAAAAAAGTTTACAGATGACGACCCAGGGATGACTAAAAGAGCTAATACCGATAATGATATTGTAAACCCCGATACATCTGACGAATACAAAGAGAAATACTCGAGTAATAAGTCATCTACTTTTTCGGGCAGGGATAAAACTTTTGACACAAACAATGATAGTTCAAGTATATTGACTTTATCGACTGCTGAATATGAAAACACGATTTTCAATGCCCAATTCAAGCAAAATATAGTACCCAATCAACGAGGATTATCTAGTATCTCAACTAAATCTAATTTTGAAGATAACACGCGTCATGAACTGACAATCCAAGATATTGATGATGTTCGTTTGGCAAATAGAAATGAAGCTGTTGGTGTTAATGCATTCAATGAAGAATCCAGCATAGAATCTTCCAAAATTGATGGTCATTCAAGAAGTTACATGACAGCCATCTCGCGGAACGTAACGGGGGAGCTGCCTCATCAGAACGCAAGTATTAGTTCGAGCTTTTCTACTGATGAAGTTATCAAAGAAGATAAAGTTTATAAAATTAAAAAGCTATATGAACCTAAAACTTGGGCCATTCAAATAGAGGTTGCTGATACAGGACCAGGAATTGAACCTGCTATGCAAGAAAAAGTTTTTGATCCATTCATTCAAGGAGACCAAACATTATCAAGAAGTTATGGAGGTACCGGTTTAGGTTTATCTATTTGTAGGCAATTAGCAGAAATGATGAATGGGACTTTAACCTTAAAGTCCACTGTAGGCTTAGGGTCGACATTCACATTTATTGTTCCATTGCCTCAAAGTGGAGAAATAATAGTAGATGAAGAAGATATGGCACAGTTCTGTGAAGATGAGTTTAACCCTAAATCTAGAGTTAATAGAAAGGTTGCATTTGATATTGAACAAGAAAATGATAATTTTAATACTACGAATACATCAAGTCTGTCTTCTAATGCAGTAAACCTGGCTAAAGGAAATGGTTATGACAATTCTTGTAATAGTGATTATTTTCTGGGTATTAAGGAAGGTATAGAAGTTAAATATCAAAGAGGAAATTCTCTTGATACTACTGAAAATCAATCCGGCCCAGATAATGAAGGCGATACAAATAATCAAACATTAAACAGGAATAGTATGAATTTCATTAATGGCAGTTCAAGCGGGACCACTACGCCTAATCCTAATAAGAAAAGAAATTTGGAAGTACCAGGGATGAATGAATTTGAAAAACCACATTTATTCACAAAAACGTCCACAGGAACAGCGAGCTCTCTGGGAATTGAAAGGACCATAAGCTCAAATAGCATTGTGGACGAATTATCTGATTTAAGAATTTTAGTTGCTGAAGATAACTTAGTCAATCAGGAAGTTATCAGAAGGATGTTAAAATTAGAAGGTTTCTCAAACGTTACGATGGCTTGTAATGGTGCTGAGGCAATCGAACTAGTAAAAGAAACTGATCAAGAATCCTGCTCATTCGATCTCATTCTAATGGACGTTCAAATGCCAAAAATTGATGGCTTGTTGGCAACAAAGAGAATTAGAAATGATTTACTGTATGACAATCCAATTATAGCTTTGACTGCCTTTGCGGATGAAGCAAATGTCAAAGAATGTCTAAATTGTGGAATGTCGGGATTCTTGGCCAAACCAATCCGCAGGTCGAATTTAAGAAAAGTTATAACTGAATTCTGTCCTTCCTTTCAGCCAAATGGTGCTAAAGCATAATAGCTAGTGTTATTAAAAAAAATTCGTTTTCCATCAACGATATTTTCTTACAAGTGAGTATTTATTTAAAATAGTAAATACTCCTTTAACACCTTGTACACTAATTTATTTGTATTTATAACTTATACATAGACGAAATTTGTATAATAAACCTTAATCTGTATATAATTTTATTATTCTAAATAGTAGCGCAAAATTGAGAAGAGAGTCTGGTACACAGAAAAAAGTAACCAGCCATTCTCTTATGTTTTGTATACATTGATTAATCATCATTATCAATTATTTGTTATTGCTCATCGTTATATTCAGTTGTATAAAGGTATATTGAATATTTTACATCCATAACTATTGGGTAATATGATAAAATCGGAGTATGATCACTCCAAAAGTATTGAGAGCAAAAAGGATTATGATGTTGAGCATCATGAGGAAGCTCAAAATAAGAAAAGATTAATGGGGAATGGGTATAAGAACTTGTTCTATGGTGGTGTATTATTGGGTATATTGGTCTGGGGTACTGCTTTTTTGTTATTAACTATATCTAGGTTTCAGCAAAACCAAATAGCCACTTTACGGATAGAAAATTACTTAAAAAAGATTTCACCTCCATTATTGAATAATGGTAGTGACAAGGATTCAAACTTGAATAGACCACTCACATTTGATAATGGTAATAAGGCCTTATTGAACTTTTCGGCCGTAAGAGATGGTATGTTCAAACCACATTATAAGGAACTACAATGGATAAGAGAGCCAGAATCTATCAATAATGACAAGGGTACATATGTTTTGAAAGAAGAAAACCATGACGGTACTAAGTACATTATTAAGTCCATTATTGATGACAATTACCAATATACTTTGTACAACGATTCATCGTTCCAATACAACAAAATTATATATGACATAGACAGTTTAACGGCGTCGCCAGATTTGACGAAAGCCATTCTTAAAACCAACACTACCCAAAATTGGAGACATTCGTCATTTGCATTATATTGGATCTTGGATGTGGCTAGTAACAACATTACGCCAATATATAAAGAAGATAATAAACTATCAATCACGAGTTGGTCACCCACTTCGATGCATGTGGCATTCGTCTATGAGCAAAATATCTATATCAAATATCTTTTAGATGGTACTATCAAGCAGATTACATTTGATGGAAGCTCTGATGTTTTTTACGGTATTCCTGACTGGGTTTACGAGGAAGAAGTTTTTTCTGGTGACAGCGTTTTATGGTGGTCTCCAAAAGGTGATAAATTGTCATTTTTAAAAACCAATGATACGTTGGTTCCAACATTTTCCATACCTTACTATGTTCAAGAGAATTATGATGATTACCCTGAATATAGGCAAATTAAGTATCCCAAAGCTGGGTATGCAAATCCTATTGTTGATCTTGTTGTGTATGATTTAAATTCTGCTAACAAAGAACTGGCTGATAGTATCAACACTATGGATTTTAATTTGAGTGAAATTGACGAAAGGCTTATTACTGAAGTCATTTGGGTTTCAGATAAGTTCTTATTGGTAAAAGTTAGCAATAGAGCCAGTGATATTTTAGAAATTTACCTTGTGAGTGCTGATACCAATCAATCTAAGTTGATAAGAAAGCAAAAAGCTGAAAATTCATGGTTTGAAATCACATCCAACACATTGTACGTTCCTAAAAATCAGTCTTTGGGTCGTCTAAACGATGGTTACATTGACACTGTTGTTGTCAATGGTTACAACCATTTGGCATACTTTTCACCTCCTGAAAACCCAAAAGGAATTGTTTTAACCGAAGGAAATTGGGAAGTCGTAGACGGTGTGGCTTCGTTCGATTACAACACGAATGAAATATACTTCATCAGCACTTCTAAATCATCTGTCGAAAGACATATATATTCTGTGAATTTATACGATGCTATTGTTGATCAAGAACAGTTACCCGTTATTAAAAATGTCACTGATATTTCAAGCGAAGGGTGGTATTCGGGCTCTTTCTCATCTGGTTCAAGATATTTGCTACTTAATTACCAAGGTCCAAAGGTACCACACCAAAAATTAATTGATTTACATAAGCTCGCAGATGTAAAAACGATTGAAACTAATGAAGAATTGACAAAGAATTTAAAGAAATATCTAATCCCTGAAATTAGATATAGTGTCGTCAGCTTAGGTTATGACGACAAAACAGGTGAAGAAATCAAGGCCAATGCAGTTGAAACGTTGCCATTGAACTTCGACCCAAGCTACAAGTATCCAGTTTTATTCTTTGTTTATGGAGGTCCAGGATCTCAGTTAGTCACTAAAAATTTTGCAATCACGTTCAGTTCTGTCGTCGCTGCCGAATTGGACAGTATTGTCGTCACAGTTGATGGAAGAGGTACTGGATTTAATTCTTATAACGAAAAAATGGGGTCAAATTTCAAGTTTGTTGTCAGAGATAAATTGGGCCATTATGAACCTTTGGACCAAATAGCTGCGGCTAAACTCTGGAGCCAAAAGCCTTACGTTGATCGTCTGCGCATTGGTATCTGGGGTTGGTCCTACGGGGGTTTCCTTACCCTAAAAACCCTTGAAACTGATTCAGAGGATCATATCTTTTCGTATGGTGCTGCTGTCGCCCCAGTAACAAAGTGGAAGCTTTACGACTCTATATATACCGAAAGGTACATGAGAAAACCCCAGGATAACCAAGAGGGTTATCAGATTGCGTCCATACACAACGTCACAAACTTTGCTAACGTAGATCGGTTCCTTATTATGCACGGTTCTGGTGATGACAACGTCCATTTTCAAAATTCTTTGAAACTTATCGATGAATTCAATTTGGGATCAGTTGAAAATTTTGATTTCATGGTATTTCCTGACTCTGACCATTCAATAAGATATCACAACGGAAATATTGTTGTCTATGACAGACTTCTAGAATGGTTAAAGAAGGCCTTTAATGGTCATTTTACAAGAATATAGACTTTGTATGTAATATTATTTTGTAACATTAATGAACAATACTTATTTATGAAATCCCTATTAAGATCATCTTTGTATATATTTCCTAAATAGGCAGTTAATTCTTTGGGTCGGGTAATAGATCTCGTATTGTAGGAGATGCCAAATGCCTTCTTAAATATAAGATGTTCACGTGTTCTGAAAAAAAAATTTTGTCCATATAAAATCAATTGAAAATTCCTGAATAATTTCCATCCATTATTAGCAAACAACATACAATTGCAACATGATTATTTTCAAAGACGTTATTTCTGGAGACGAATTATTATCTGACGCTTATGACGTCAAGTTAGTTGATGGTGTTATCTACGAAGCTGAGTGTGCTATGGTCAATGTCAACAACGGTGATGTTGATATTGGTGCTAACCCATCTGCTGAAGAAGGTGGTGAAGACTTAGAAGATGGTAGTGAAACCGTTAACAACGTTGTTTACTCTTTCAGATTACAACAAACCTCTTTCGACAAGAAGTCTTTCATGACCTACATGAAGGGTTACATGAAGAGAGTCAAGGCTCACTTAGCTGAAAAGGACCCAGAAGCTGTTGAAGCTTTCGAAAATGGTGCTAAGACCTACTTCAAGAAGATTGTTGGTTCTTTCGGTGACTGGGACTTCTATACTGGTGAATCTATGGACCCAGATGGAATGGTTGTCTTATTGAACTACCGTGAAGATGGTACTACCCCATATGTTGCTATCTGGAAACATGGTGTTTCTGAAGATAAAATTTAATTTCGTGAACCATTAGTCCTTACCTGTTTGGTTTTAGTTACAAATTTTAGTTCTAGCCTATGAAATATATTTTCGTATCTAATACATTGATAATTAATTTCGTAAATACCTATTTACCAGTTGTATTGGCTTCAGCAATTCGAATTAGGCACAATGCAAAAGCAGACATTTTCAAGAGTAATGTCCTTTTCTACGTACCAAAACATTTCCGAGTGGAACCCCAATGGATTAACTAAATTATTCATCGCAAAAACTCTACTTTCATCAATTAATCTCCGTGCAACTAATCCCAATTCTTCTCGTTCGTTATATGTTAATCCACTTATGTGCTCCTTCGAGGTTTCTTCATTAACTCCATCCCGTTTACCGCAAACAGCCCAAGAAACTATTTTTTTCAAAATATTAAAAGACTTCAATGATCCGAATCCTTTTCCTTGTAGAAATTCTCTTGATTTGGGCAATAATTGATCGTATGCGCAGACATGTCTACAGCACATAGCAATTAGAAGTCCTCCAAACTTGTGATTATTCTCCTGTAATAACGATGAATTAAGAAGCAGCTTGAATGTTAAATCAGTAGCTGCCCCACATAAATGCTTTGAAATAACAACTATACGTTCTGGATTTATATCTTCCAAAAATTTATCAACATTCAAATCTTTGATGTCTATCTTTGATCTCTTGGTTGTTAGATTCACCTCTATTTCATTTTCTTTGGCTTCCTTTATTATCTTGGAGTCCATTTTCATTCTATTAACGCCCCTGTCAATAAAGCCGTACCCATATTTTTCCTTATCGACTAAATCATTGACCTGCAAATCCTCGAGAACACTCAAATTAACAAATCTTGATAATTCTCCTTTCCCACATCCAAACTCTAAGTAAAATTTATTTATATCCAACAATCCTCTCTTTTTCATATTTCCTATTAAAGATGACTGCTGAATTGCATGTTTCTGGTTCGATACCTCGGATAATCTATTCTTTAGACCATTATGTTTGCTGATACTAAAATCCAAAGGTTTGAATTGGTCCTTTATATTCTTTAAAATAGGTATATACTTTTCGTACAATTCCTTTTCATTGAGATCACCATCACTATTATCTTCATTCCTAATTTCTGAATCTCCTTTAGTATCCACTCTGAGTCTCGTATTGAGATCTTTCTCATACCATGTCTCTTCGTTTTCTTTCGGCTTAGCATTACACTTCTTCAAATGATTTGCTAAATTCTTGCTCCAAACACTATGATTGTTATCTAATGGACAGGGAACTCTTTCGCCTTTCTCTGGTTCAGTATTATTAACTAAATGTTCCGAACAATATTTCTGGTCTGCTTTTCTTTGCATACAACATCTTCTATTCTTTTTAGGCATGAAATACTCACATTGCAAATGAGTACGTTCTTTATTTTCACTCTTGTTTAATTTCCTTCTCTTTTGATCTTTTATGCCCTCATCAGATTGGCTAAGAATTACTTTTTCGTCTATCTTTGTCATTTTCTTACTTCCAACTTTAAACTGAACATAATTTTTCACAATCGAATCGAGCCAAAGTTTATGGTCGCATAAAAAAAAATTAAATTTAGCCTCATCTCTAAATGATTCTCATTTGTATAGGTTTATATTTATTAGCTCAGAGGATTAGATCAACATTAATAAATAATTACTTTGAATAAACTTGTGTATTATGTGGAAGCTAGATTTACTTGAAGCGAAGTACCATGGGTCAAATCCAAGATTTCCTCATACAAAGAAGCTTTTATCAGCTAGAAACAATAATAAACTTTTGAAGAAGTTATCACAATCAAGGGACGAAGCTGAAAAGGAGATCCTAGCATTGAAAGAAGATCATTTCCATAAGAAATACTATGGAGCTCATAAAAAATTAAATAAAGAAGTTAATAAGCATGTTAAATCTGATGTTAATAAATGGAAAGGTGATGATTCAAAAAAAGGTCTACTTGAATTTTTTGAGGTTGAGGAGAGAATTCAAGAATTGATAACTTCCAAGCTTATTAAATGTATTGCGTCTTCAATTTTGATCAATAAGGACTTGAAATCTGCCCCACCTAAATACATACCATCGGATATTCGGAGTATAATTATTGATAAGTCGCATAAATCAAACCCATCAGCATTTTTCATAAATTATTGTCAGAACAATAAAGATTTGAACAATTATATATCCAATTTATGGAATTCAAAATCAATTAAGCCTTTACTAAGTGAAATTGAGTGGTCATTCAAAATGGTGAGAGGTGATTTAACTAAATTTGAAAGAGATGCCAGGAAGAAAGTAGTTGGCAAAGACATCCAAACAGACTTTAATGAAGATAAGAAAGAGTCTACTCAAAGCGATAGTGATGATGACTCAGCCATTTCTGAAGGTGATTTGTCTAATAACGAAAAAGAGGTTGGAGACAATGAAAGTATAGATGCGGAAGATGTGTTTGAGAAATTTGCCGTATACGATAATTTAGTAGTCGATTCAGATGAAGAAGAACAAAAGTTCGATTTAGATCCAAACGTAGATTATAATGAAGTGACAGATGAAGAGTCTTCAGATATAGAAGATGGCATGAATGAAACTGCCGATGATTCAGATGACAGTTTCTTCGAAGAAAATGACCGTGAGGCCAAGACCTCCACCAAACGAGAATATAATTTACCACAATTAGCAACTGGTTATTTTTCTGGTGGTTCGGATGATGAAGATGATGATGAAATTGACAATGATAATGTTGTTAAAGAAGCTACCACTCAACGTAAAAATAGAAGAGGCCAAAGAGCAAGGCAGAAGATATGGGCCCAAAAGTACGGTAAAGAAGCCAAGCATGTCAAGAAAGAGCAGGTCATAATTGCTAGTGAAAGAGAACGTAAAAGGTTAGAGTACGAAGAAAGATGCAAAAAAAGAGAATTAAAGGCTAAAATTAATAGCGCTCCTACTGGCTCAAATACTGCCCCATTGGCTGAAAGAAGACCACGCAGTAATACTGAAGATAAGGTCGAGAAACCAGTTGAAATTTCTAAGCCTATCGAAAAAGAACATCCTTCTTGGGTAGCAAAAAGACTCGCTGAAGAAAAGCAAAAGAATGCCAAATTCCAAGGTACAAAGATAAAGTTTGACTGAGATATAAATATATAATTTGTCATTATTTCTTAATCAATAGATAACCTATAAATTATCGTAATTTATTTTAAAGTTAGAAAGTAATTCTTCTTCCGACATTTCATTACATACAATGGGTGTTATTAATTCAAAGTGGTACTCACATTTTTCTGGTTCTCCAATCGAAATCAAATCGTGCTTTGGACCACAGATCATCTCAACTATACCTGATCTACGTGGACCATTCCAACACTTCGCACCTTGATCGTAAATAAGCTTATTACCTTCAAGTCTGGAATACCTACCTATCAATGTATTATCTTGGTAAATAGAATCCAAGAATCCGATATTGTAAGAATAACCAGCAAGACGCTTTTTGATCCACTGAGATTCAACAGATCGTAATATATCATCCTTTCCATAGTCCTTGGCCAAATCTTCATTGAATTTGGCGATTTCATCCTTTAGTGATTCAATATCCTCAGTTGTCTTTTCCTCTTCATCAGCAAAGTCCTCTTTTTCCTCATTTTTCATGTATGACTTCACAAATGATGAGTAATAGTAATGTATCATATTACTGATACCAGGGTAAAATATTTCCACACTCTCGTTCTCGGAATTGTAAGATAGCTTCTCTGATTCTTTTGATAAAGAGTTTAACAAATTTAATGAGTTTGTTTGAATTCCTTCTTTCTCGTCTTTATTCGATACATAGTCACGAAACTTATTAACTGTATCTTTTACAGCTAAATCATTAAAATTTGGATTGTAATTTTCGATCAAGCTAGACAAAATACCTTCTAAATATGCAATTTTTTTTGAATAATCTTCTATTTTATTTCTATCTCCTTGTATGTTCATTTGTAGTTCTTCGATATAAGGAGACAACTTTGAATAAACCAGTTGATCAGGTACATCGTCTTCTACGGATTGTGACTCTATCTCTTTATCTTTAAACTTAAGGCTCATTTCTAATTCTTTTTCAAGATCTTTAAGTCTACTTTCTATAAGAGCTCTTCTTTCCTGAGCTATTACAAGCAACTTCTTCTTTTCTGAAAGAGAAATATCCATTTCCTCTTTAGATGCTTGCAAGTATGTAAGATATTGTTGGTGAATTTCTACACATTTATTTTCACACTTGCCAGACAAGTATTCATCAGAGCCATCACAACAAATTTCATAATCACATACGCCATCATTTAATTTAAAATTATCTAAATAACCAGGAATATGGCCCTCGTTATGACAATAGAATTTTCGGCTGAAGTCATATGGACATGCATTTGTTCCTGGTTCATCAGATCCATCAGGACAATCACAGTAATTGTCATTAATTTGATCATAATTCAAAACTATATTCGGATCTCCAAGGCAACGCCAAGTTTTCTCTCCTGTCTCATGGTTGACTATAGGACTATAAAGATCCTGTTCATTAGGTGGAATACCAATAACTTCTGCTCCGCAAACCACTGAAATATTCCCATAAATAGTTAATAACACAGCGGCTATTAATAATCTTAGTGACATTCTCTAATATAATCAATCTCTCATAAAAACAAGTTCACTTAGTGTATATCGTCTCGTAGCCTTTTATAGAGATTTAAGTTCGCATTTTGTAACCATTTCGAAAATATAATCTGGGACGTAAACATTGAATTGTTATTTTGATCCACGTAAAAAACTGATTCATGGTACTTAAATAGCATAGAGGTTTTTCATGTTGAAAAAAGATTCGCCAGGGTATTATGAAAACTTAACTATTTCTAAATGCAAAAGAATTGTTCGACCATTAGTATCTAAAATCCATGCCCTCAATGATTTGAACAGTAAGTATCCATCAATGTTAGACTTCAATTTCCCACATGATGATGAATGTTTACAAGGCATCTTAAGCAAAAAGAGTCTAGATCATGACAATAATGTTGAACTCCCCGTGTATTATCAACAGGGTCCAGTTAGAAGAAAAATTCGTAAGCTTGAAAAACGAAAAAATGCTAAGTGTTACGATTACGATAGCGATTATGATGAAAGCGATTATTTACTGGAAACTTCTTCCATTAATATATATTCTTCCCCAGAAGTGAGAGAACATATTTCGAGGATGAATAGCTTGATTGAGCCGCTAAATTCGTCCGAAAGACTAAAATCATTGAAACCATATATTTCAAGCCAACTCTATCAAGCATACTATGACATATTCCTCATATTCCGAACTATAATAAATTCATTGATATTGAAAACCCAAAGAAATTTTGATTCGTCCCTTAATATACCTAAATTGTCATCCCTATGTTCCTTCAAGATTGGTAAATTTATGGCGCTTTCCACGAAGCCCACATACTTTGAAATGAATCATTCCTTATTATTTGATCCTGATACAATTCCTTACCATCTCCGAAAATATCTGGATATTCTTTTGGATGATATAGATGAATGGTTAGAAATGAAACCAGAGGTTGTGACTTTTGCTCATAGAATTGATTTATTGTTTGGATATGTGATGCATTTGTTAGTCATAAACCTGGATCTGACATTGTATTTGTTAATACCTATATTAATACATTGGCTAAATGAAGAACTGAGAAGACCTGGTAACAAAATGTTACAATCATTATCAAGAAATTTCTTTGTCGAGTATTGGACTTACGGGCCAGATTATTTTGAAAATACTGGGTTTGAAGGTATAGCGAGTATACTTACTGGAAGTCAAAAGAGAGAGCGAAATTTAAACATATTTTGGATTTTCCATAAAATAGGTTATTGGAAAAATTTAATCAATTCTTTCGATTGTAAATCTGCAACTGCCGGTCTCAATTCATATGAAGTTCTAATACTTGATACTATACCCTTGAATAATAAATTAAGTCTCAATATATTAACAAATCTTGATACTGAAAAACAAGACTTTTTGGGTGATATTTATCCTATGATTAAGAAAAACCCCCAGCATCCCCAAATTAACAATATATTAATTTTAATTATAACTCAACTAATATCAACCACTAGGCTCAAAATTAAACAGTGCCTGAAGATTCATGATTTCCTCGACTGCTTTCAATTTGCATACGACAGTGTAATCTCTTTCGTTCATACATGGCTCTTCTTACCTGTAAAGGAAGAGCTCCTTGTTTTCAATTCATTATATCCTGGTAATAATGAAATTTTCCATGCACTAATTAGTTTTGCAGACTTTCAAATACGTCAGTGTGATAAATGTTTCCTGAATCTTACCAAGTCTAGAAGTTCTTTCCCTTCGAAGGTTAATATAGATGAAAGCTTCATAATAAAATTAGAAACGATCAGAGACGATCTAAGTATAGTCAAGAGAACGCTTGAACTTCTAAGGTTGTATTACCTAGACACTGTCGGAAATTTCATAATAGAACCTCACAATGTTGAGGAAATCAGCACTTTTATTTTATCAATCCAAAAAGCTAAAGCCAATTCATTTAAGGTTAAAGAATTTCCGCTTTGTAACAATAGTTATAACGATCTTTTAATATGGTTATTTGATCAACAAGATCCAACATTACTACAAATTTCACGACTATGTTTCCGAAAATACTATGGAAATAAGTCTTCGTTTAAAAATGACCTGATTGATAACCTTTATTGTATGCTCTTCGAAGGGGACGCGATTACGAGCTCCAGTAGCGAAGAAATTGATGATTCTAGGCTAGATAATTCTGATGATGATATCGATGAAGACGAAGACAAAACTTAACCCGGTTTAAATATAATTAGTTGGTTTTATAGTGATAAATAGCCTAAGAACTTTCAAAATGATTATCTAATTAATAAATGCATTTAGATTAAATACACAAAGAATTATTTACCATCCTTACCGTCAATTAAGACATTCTGGCCATTTATAGAGTCATTAGATATAATCTCAATCGCCTTTCCTACGACATCATCTAATGAAACTTCTTTTAATTTTAATTCACCATCATCTATCATAGCATTGGCACCCATTTGAGTTCCAACAATTAACCCTGGAAGTAAAGCATTAACTCTTATCTTACCTCTAAACTCTGCAGCTAAAGACTTCGTAAATCCCAAAAGTCCCGCTTTCAGTGCTGCATAGACGGCTGTCCCTGGTAACGTGTTGTCAGTCATTGAAAGTATCGATGATATGTTTAATATAATAGGCTTTTTGAATGATTCAGGATTCAGGCTCGCTTTTAATTTACTTGCAACTTTCATCATTGGTCTGCATGATAACTTGCTTAATATTATAGGTGCAGTCAAATTCAACCCCACTGTAGATAGTATTTCATCACTGCTTATTCTAGGCAATAATCTATGGGTTGTTATTCCAGCGCAATTCACTAAAATCGAAACATCAGTTAAAGAATTCATTAATTCATTGTGTATTTTCAGATTGGAATCTGATTTTTCTTTATCCGATAGCTCTTGAAGGTCGCAACTTATATACCTGTGACTTTGATCGGATGCAACCACAGGAAGTGAATCGATATTCCTTTTTAGCAATTTCTCATTCCTGGCTAGTAGAGTAACTGAACAACCTAATTGAGCTAACCGTTGTGATAATGCATAACCTAACCCCTTAGATGCCCCAGTAACTAAGGCCTTTTTACCAATGAAACTCATATCTCCACAAGGAATATGAAAAGTTTTGAGAATTCGATGCTATGCTTTTTCTACTTGTAGAGCTATTACATAGTAGCTGTGATATAGTACCATACAAAATTAAGTTTCTATATCGCCTTTATGGCCAAGTTGGTAAGGCACCTCACTAGTAATGAGGAGATCGTCAGTTCGAATCTGGCTGAAGGCATTATTTTTTTACTGCGAAATTATATGTAATAATTTGATGTTAGAGTCAATACACATATGCCTCAGGTTTTACTAGGCCGTTTATAAGTCTTGTCCGTTCTTGTGCGTATAAGACTTATGAAAGAAATACCAGTTATTCGCTTAGTTACTTTGCCAAGTTATTATAACTATAACATTTTTAAATCTACTTGCTCTAGACAAGAACTGTACGTAGAAAACAACAATTATATTGCTTTATTAAATTAATATACATCTTGAAACTATTCATTCGATAAAAGACTCGAAATCCCCATTAGACCCAATAGCGTGTATCTGAAATATATATTCTCAGTAATCAAAATCGTAATATACCCAACCATCGGTAAATAGCCTTTTACTGTTCCAACAAGATCTGTCTTTTGATTCAAATATGCTTGCTTTTTGGCATATAAACCTAAATCATCAATTGCGTTATTATCCCCTTTGGTTAATAAAAACTGTTTCAGTTCTGTATTGTGATGTTCTCTTAATACTCTATGGACAATTGGGATTGATTTTCCTTTAATTTCATACACAACAACATCTCCGACCTTAGCAAGATTATCCCTATTCCATAAGAATAAAATGTCACCTCTCTGAAAAGCTGGTTCCATAGATCCTGATAAAACCACGACAATTGGGGAATGAGAATTGGCTATAACTGACAAAGTCTTCCATGCCATAAAAGCAGACGAAAGAACAAGTGCCAAGTTCAAAAATTGAACCAACTGCTGACGGATATTCATAACTTAAATGTGGTGTATTCTTTTAGGAGTTGATTCCTTTAGAAGGTCCTAAACGATAGATGAATTTCAACAGCGTGTTAATGTCGTGAGATTCAGTTTGTGTCAAATGTCGCACGGATTTTCTTCCATGAGATTTTTAGTATCAATTGTTAGACCTGGAGAATTATAACATATAGAACAATCAACCAAATCGGCCAAGATGAATCAGACGTCTTCAGATAAGTATACACTGGAAGGTACACCATCGCAACCACATCGATCCCGGCAATCTCTGCAACTACAAGTTGGCGGTGAAAATGTCAAACCATCCCAATCTGTTACTTTCGGTGATTTGGATAATCAAGAGAAATCCCGTAGGTTCACTATCTCATCACAACCATCATCGATCAACCTAGCAAATCCGCAAATTTCTGGGTCTTTGCCCCCTTCCAGAAAAACATCGTTACAAGGGAATCCTAATATAACTAGTTCCAGTAGAAACAGTTCTACGGCAAGTGAAATATTCCAATTCTTTGCAAATAACCAGACCTATGCTGTAAAACCTCAACAGCAAGTTTCCACAAGCACTACACAGGGACATATCACACCAAGCAATCAATCCTCGAGAGTTAACTCGCCGGTATTGGAAACACCTCCGCATCTTAAAAAGGGATATACAATCGATAGCTCCAGTCATAAACCTACCAGGCTTAGTTCTCCCTCACCTCCTCCATTATCGCAAGCTAATTTTTCATCACAGCAGTCATTTCAACAAGCACCACATCCAATTAATATTACCAATACTAACAACCCCCCTCGCGGATCTAGTAGTACAAAAAAATCTTCGAAGACTGTAGTTGCATCACCCAGTGGTCCTCCAGTTCCATTTCAACAGTATTTGACTAAATCAGATGATGAGAAGATTCATATATTGCTAGGATGCACAGGATCGGTGGCAACTATCAAAGTTCCCATGATTATAGATAAATTGTTTAATATCTATGGAAAGTCAAAAATATCAATTCAGTTAGTAGTAACTAGATCGGCTACGCATTTCTTGAAAGGATTGAAGATCCATAGTGATGTCAAAATTTGGAGAGATGAAGACGAATGGGCAAATTATAATGAACATAGCATTACGACTACAACTCTCTCAACCAATAATATATCGGCGTCTAAAAAGCCTAAGAATCCATTTGATAACTTGATTTTACATAACGAATTAAGAAAATGGGCTGATATCTTTTTAATTGCCCCTCTTTCAGCAAATACCTTAGCTAAAATTACTAATGGGATTGCCGACAATTTGTTAACATCAATCATTAGGTCGTGGAGTCCTATTAGTACGACAGTGACTAACACCAACGTCAATAAGAATTCAGTAAATGTGAAAAAGCCGATATTAGTGGCACCTGCCATGAATACACATATGTACATTCACCCAATTACTGCGAAACAACTTTTATTATTGTCGTCACCAGAGTATGGTTTTGGTATTGAAGTATTAAAGCCAGTTGAAAAGGTATTAGTTTGTGGAGATATCGGTATGGGTGGCATGAGGGAATGGCTGGATATTGTAGACATTTTGAGAAGAAGAATTAATTCTATCAATTACGTCAGTGATGGGAAGAGAACCATAGCCGAAAATGATGAAGACGAGAGAGAGTCCGATGACGGTGAAGAGATTGATGATGATGATGATGATGATGATGATGATGATGATGATGATGACGATGACGATGACGATGACGACGATGATGATGATAATGAGAATGAAAACGAAGATGTTGATGATGGAGATAAAGGTAATGGAGATGGAGCTAATGTTCGGTCTACTCAGCTAAAGGGTACCTCAAATGTAGAAAGGGTCTCTAAAGAGAATGATGATATGATCTTCGAAATACAGGATAATGATGCAAAAGAAGCTGAGCAAGATACGGATGAAAAATCATCAAGTAACAACTATTATATTCGTACTGATAAAATCCCTGTGGAGACGCAAAATATTGTATAGTCTATAGTAATGAAGTAAACGAACAACTTTTCAACTAAAAATGTAGGGATGTTCATGGTGTAAGGATTATATTTACTAATGTACATTTCACATACAGGATAATAATGCTTGCTACGAGTGATGCACTCAGCTCTCTCTACTAAGTTATTAGTTCTCTTCTATCCATTCTATACTTTTTGTAATTGTTTTTGGTCAATTAATACTGTCAGTAAGTTGTAATGTTAACTCACAAGAAAATTTTGCTAGCGGTATCTTCTTATAACGAAGTCTTTTACCAAGATGGTGCTAAAACTGGATTATTTTTGGTTGAGGCCTTGCACCCATTTGAAGTATTTAAGGATAATGGATATGAAGTTGATTTTGTATCTGAAACCGGTAGTTTTGGATTTGATGAGCATTCTCTTACTCCACATTTTTTAGATGGTAAAGACTTAGAAGTGTATAAGGATTCCAAATCTGATTTTAATCAGCATTTGAAGAATATGAAGAAAGCATCTGAAGTCAATGCAGATGACTACGGAGTCTTCTTTGCATCGGCGGGGCATGCAACTTTATTCGATTATCCAAATGCAAAGGGGTTACAAAGTTTAGCTCAAGCAATCTGGGTTAATGGTGGTGTTGTTGCAGCTGTTTGCCATGGAGGAGCAATATTTGATGGATTGATTGATCCAGCAACTGGAAGGCCTTTGATTGAAGGTAAGTCCATAACAGGTTTCACGGATATTGGTGAAATCATATTGAAAGTAGACGGCCTTATGAAAGAAAATAACTTGTTGTCAATCGAAGACCTTGCTAAGAAGTACGGTGCCAAATATTTAGCACCCATTGGCCCTTGGGATGATTATACAGTTGCTGATGGCAAATTAATTACTGGTGTTAATCCTGCGTCTGCTAGTTCAACCGCAAAGAGATCCCTTATAGCACTTAAGACAAAGCATACATAATGCTTATCCATCTAACAATCTTCATCGTTTTATGTACTTAAATATTTAATTAATATGGAATGAATTTTAAGAGATGATCGAGTTTCATCTTATGCTTCGGTAATGAAATAAAACCTAATTGAAGCGTAAGTTTATTATAATTTCGATATTCTTGATACTTCGGAAATTTTTTTAGTCGTTCTCGATGGTTTATTTAATACTTCAAGTTTATTTTGTATTATCACCTTTTGAATTAGCTTAAAATGCTCCTTACTTCTGTCCTCAACAAATGTCGATAAATCGCCATTGCAATCTAAAAGCTCTAATAAAGAATGCTGATTTTGCAACGATTTATAGATGGTCAATCCATATAATAAGCTGTCGACCAAATCATCGATTTTGTTGTTCACTATTGGTAACCCGAGTTGGTTTAATAAATACTTTGACTTGTTTAGCGTAGATAAATCACCAAAATTCTCTGGTAAGACGAAACTGTGAAGAAATGGTGCATTATTGCTACATAGCCAGTTGAAAAATAGCTCTATGCGCAATTTTTTGGTCTGTGAGTTCTTAGGACTATCTATAAATCGATTTATCCAAAAGTGGGTCATCTTGCTTGCATTCATAGGCGTAACCACCGTATCTTTCAAGCATGAACGTTGTTGTTGAAGTGTCCAGAACGTCGAATATACCATATTCTCAAGTGTATAGTTGAGTAGCACATTTGGTAGCGTAGACAGAAGCTGGTTTGACCGTGTCCTTTGGTTTTCAATCACTATTACATGAGGAGATTCATCCTGTCGTATGACTATATCATTAACTAACTCAAATGCAAGATGACTCAAATATCTCTTTGAGTCAACCAACGATGTCATGTCGTTCGTCAATGGTCGATATGTCGACCCATATTGCTCATGCAAATCGATTTTCTTCCATTTGTTAATATCTAACGTGGGCCTTTTATCACCCTTAATATTTATGTGCGATAGCCTACAGTATGAAAGATTTTTCACCCCAACATCTATTGCCAATACATTGATCTTATTTGGAAGGTTCGCTACCCTCTGCATTCCGTTGGTAATTGCATCGATCTTGTCCTGCTTTCTCGGTTTAACTGTAAGCCCACACGCTGTACACACCTGACTCAACACATCATTCGTATATTTACTAAGCTGTCTTTGATAGTTTATTGACATCTACACCAGGCGATTGATTGTATTGTTTCTTACACCTGAGCCAACATATTCAAAGTTGTTCCATCGTGTGCTTATGTAAGTATCGGTCCCCCTCAAGTTTCCTCCAAATTCACCTATTTCCAGAAGTAATTCATCAGGCGACACTAAATTACGTCAGATTCTTTTTTTAGCTATTACTGAATAGATCTTGCTCTATTCATTCCAATTTCATTCAATGTGCATTCCTATTCATTCCTGTCAAAGACAAACGCGACACGACTATAATCCAATAAAACACGATTTGATTGGTGTTGCTCAACTAAAAATAAGAGCATACTTGGCACCCTCGGACGTTATTTTTACCGTTTTGGTATTTATCCGCACAAAGGCGGAAGAAAATAAGAATGGAATACATTACATGCAGGATGGCTGTGCTCGGGCAGCAACAAAAGAAATTCAATGGAGGAGGAATAATACTTCCTAAAACGGAATATTAAGTTTAAGGCTGAAGTATAAATATCTGGAAAATTCTTCTATACTAAAGAGTAAATTTTTATTCTATATACTTCAAAAAAGTTTTATTAATACATAATGCAATTCAAATCTGTTATCGTCGCTTTAGCCGCTGCTACCGCTGTCTCTGCTGCCTCTAACTCCACTGTTGGTGGTGCTTCTAACTCCACTGTTGGTGGTGCTTCTAACTCCACTGTTGGTGGTGCTTCCAACGGTACCGCTGGTGGTGCTTCTAACGGTTCCTCCGGTTCTTCTGGTTCTACTGGTGAATCTGGTGCTTCCATCGTCGGTGCTGGTGTCGTTGGTGCTGTTGCTGCTGCTGGTGTCGCTTTATTATTCTAAGGATGTTAACTTTTTAGAGTTAGATCCGCTATTGCAGGTTTAATATCAATAAAGAAATGTACCAATAATAATACAGTTTATAGAGACCACTAATTAATTAATGTAATATACTAAATTCAGTGAAAATTATGTGTAGTGTAGACTCTTAATTGTTAATGGGCACTGAAAATTATTTTGAGGAAAATGATGGGGGGGTTATCGGGAAATTTTTGCCTTCGGAACAACTAGAATTCGTGTTTCGTGTTTTATCATGTATATAGTCGTGACTCGGTCGTGATATTCCATGTGTGGGAGCTCTGGTCCTGTGTGGCATAGGCAACAATAATCGGCAATCAGGTCATCTGGCCCATACTATGACACAATGCTAAATGCAGAGCATCGGTTTGTTTTTTGGGCCGATAAAAGCCTCTCAAACTATAAGGATAAGATTATGGAACAACTAGTTCAATTCACCTGACATTTTGCTTATATGTCTTCATCTACAGACCAATGCTGTTTACAAGCTTACAGTTGATTATAGGAGACGTCTACGGCAGTATGGATAGTATGGTTTATTAATGCAGCTCTAAAATTACATGGCATCTATTTCCCTGGTCTTGATTTAGGGCCCCAGTTTTTAGTTGGATTTTCTTGATACCTAACCATTTTTAAATGTCTTAATTTGTTAATCTTTTGACTGACTTCGTTATCGTCTTTAAAGTTGATGACTTCATCGTCGGGGTTTGACTTCAAATTTTTTAAGATCTTATATCCTACCATTCCACTGGTCAAGTTCGGATTACTCTCTATGTTTTCTTTGTAAAAATTAATTTTAGATTCAAGGGCCTCGTTTTCTGGAGAATCGGCTAACTTTTGCTCGTATGTCTTCAACAAGGTTTTATTAGATTCAACTAGCCACTGTTTGTTGATTTTCAATATCACGTCCCAAGGAGCATCTGTCTTTATACAATTTTTTTTGGCATGAGTCAAAGAAACGTTGTATCCCAAATTTCCCACACTTCTACAGAAGTCGTTAATTGGAATTGGAGGAGATTTGAAAAGAGACGATAATTGGTTTAAATTAAAATAGAATGGCAATTCCATTTCGTTTTTAGCTAAAGTTAACATTCCTTTAATTCTTTCAGTTGTACAATAAACCTCCTTATCAGAATCGGCATTGATGTTTAACATTTTACCGATAAACTCTTCATTATGTAAATTTCCGTACCACATTGGCCCAGCTATGTTATAGTGTCCCTCGCAGTATTCACATGTCGAGTTTATATTAACAAGTTTAGGTACTTGGAACTTTTTATTCTGCTTTCCACTTTCAACAACTCTTCCTAGAGGCTGATTCAACTTGTTTCCGCATCCAGTACAATAATAAGTTAGCATGGTTTTGCTAGCTAATTGCTTGACCTCAATAGGACTTGTCTTGACTTTAATGAAAAGTCTGAAATAGAAATCAATGGATAAGGAGAGTAATGGCTCGATAGTTTTTTTATATTTAGCAGCATTTGTTGCAATCATATTCAATATTAATCTTATTCCCGCTTCATGGTTTGCTTCACCACTTACATTAGAATTTCCAAAATTATGCCCCCCATATAATGCAAAGCATTTTTCTGGGTACCCTGATCCTGCTAAGACACCAGCGTCAGTACATGTGACTAATAATAAACCCTCGTCTCTTATTCCCTGTATAGCACCATCGATGAAAGGTGTAGCAGTGCCATATGGGTCTAAGTCAATTACATGGAATTTTTCAGTCGTGCTAGACATGAATTTAATAGCATCGCCCAAGTTTGATTCAACTATGTCCGATAACTGATTATACTCAATGTTTCTATCTATTGATTTAACTGCTTCTGGTAATAAATCGTTGGCAACAATTTTGCTTACATGTGGGATTTCGTGTCCGTATCTAATAGCTCTAAGTCCTGTAGCTGATAAAGCTTCCAATATTTTGATAAAAGGTTTCTCTTCCGGTTTCTCTTCTGCCCCATTTTCAAGCTTTCTTTTCTTGTTTGCCTTTTCTTTTTCTCCGGTTTTACTTTCCATGTAAAGCTCTGTCCATGCCTTAATACCCGTCACAGATAAATCTCTGTTAAATTGTTGTATAGGGTTATAGAAAACCTTGTCTTCTTTAGGAGTCAAGACAACGGCTTTTCCTTCCTTTATAGTGTTAAACTCTTCTATATTTATATTTGCCATTCTCCAGACTTTTTGAACTCTTTTAAATATCGATTTAAGCATACAATTGATCTAATCAAAATTGTCAAAATATTTTTTTTAGCAAAAAATCTACATCTCATCAATCAAAAATCGTGTACTTTTAGTCAACATTTAAACTGATTGATACTGGAATATACAAGAATAATGACAGAGCTTAATATACCAATACATCATGGCCTAGATGAAACTGACAGTGATTATTTAACTGATTCTGATTCTCAATACTATGATGATTCGGGTTCGGAATATGATTTGACAGCTCAAGAACAGTGGGAGGAAAGCTTGAAACAAGTCAATAATTTAATTAATTTGATAATATTTCCATTAATTGGTAAAGTTATAGGCAGAAGGTTTTCACATATTATATGGAGAAAATTTGCTAACTGGTGGTTTATCTAGTTTAGTTTATGATAATTGTACGTACTAGGCTAAACTATTCAAAAAACTATTCACTTGACCATTAATTGATGGCAGTACAATCCGATTGATAATTAATCTTGTGAATGGATCAATTAACCCGTTAGATATCTTGTTAATGGCTTGTTTCAATAATTTATGATATTCATCGACTGGGGCCCCTGAGTTGGCCGAGCGTACAGGTGAATTTGCCTTCAATGAGTTGCTAGGTATCTCTTCATTATTAGAACTGGTTTCCCGAATGTGAAGTAAATGTCTTTCAATATTAACGTAAATATTTAGAATTAGCTGAATAATTATTTTGTATATGAATAATGTATCTAGATTAATGTTAATCTCCAATTTTTCAATCAACAATTGATTGGAATTTAACTTTATAGGTGAGGTAGAAACATCATATTGATTCGAGGTTGAATTATTTGATACCTCTTGTAGTTTTTGACTTACAGAATAATTACCAATATCAAAATTCTTGAGTATACTTAACAAATTCCTGATAAATCTTATCTGATATACTGGTTGGGTTGTTTCATTCATAATTGATAAGTCATTAAAACTCTGTTCTTTAAATGGATTGTAGGGTTCATTATGGCGAGGGTTTGCATTAATTTTGCGTGCTTTGGGATCCAAACTATTCATGATTAACCTCTGTTGTTGTTGCTGCTTTTGTTGCATATATAATTCCTCATCATGTTGCAAAGATTTTATCAAGTTTCCTAAAGATATACCTAGCTTAAGTAGTTTATTAGAATCCATAGGAAATTTAACATCGGTTTCATTTAATTTTAGCATGTCATCATGAGTTAATTGATAAATATTTAAAAAATGCTTTGAATCAACACTACAATTATCATTAAATGGAATTGTTCTTAATAGATGCTCTAGATTAGCTTGCTCCTTCCGTAATGTATCGAAGCAGCTCATTATATGGTCATTTAATGTTTTAATGATATTATTAAATTTGAAACTTGAAATTTGATATTTCAGGTATCTCAAGACGTGTATTTTATGCACTGCGATTATTTTCAATTCCAGATCTTTAAAGATGTAGCCATGTATTTACCATTTACAGTTATCATATGCATAATAATATTGTCTGCTGCTTTAATTAGTATAGTGGTGTTTGGTAATTCACCCAATTTCAGGAATACTCAAATATACAAGTTAAGGATAAAGATATTACAATGGAATCATGACATTATTGCATGGATCAATCATATTGATTCACAAATTTTTGGCAATAAGTTACTATATTATTCAGGATGGTTGGTTCCATTTTTCTATATTAGTGTTGTCACCTTTTGCTTGCATCAATTTTTTACCAAAGTTTATGATCTTCTACCTTTATCCCTAAGAACAAATAAATTTCATTCAGCATACATTGCATTCACAATAATGTCTATTTTCATGAACACATTCATGACAACATTCAGTGATCCTGGTAAAATAACGTCTGGTAATGTCGAAGAGGTAGATAGCTTTTTCCATAACAACGAATTGATATTCTTTGGGGCCAACTACTGTTCTACGTGCGAGACTATTAAGCCTGCAAGATCAAAGCATTGTTCAGTTTGCAATTGTTGTATCATGTTGTTTGATCATCACTGTATTTGGGTCAACAATTGTATTGGTTATTATAATTACAAATGGTTCATGGGGTTCTTGATAGCGAATATAAACCTCTTGAGTTACGGGGGTTATTTATGTTACCAAGCGATGTCTACTGCAAGAGCGGCATTTCCAACTTTAAGCTATTGGAAGACTATTGTTTCTACAAATAATTCAAATAAAGCAACCGGTATATTGCTAATATTATGCGTTATATTCATAATGATAGTAATTTTATTTACAGGGTTACATTTGAGATATTTATATCTAGGCGTCACAACTAATGAATGCGATAAATGGTCAGAAGTGGAGTATCTAGTTGACTTAGGTTCACTATATCAAATTGTTGATAATACTCTCAACGAAAAGTATGTTGAAAAGTGTGTGATAATGAATCACAACAATGATTCATACGAAACCGTGTTTATTAGTTTAAAAAATGAAAAAGTACTATTCTCGTCTGACGATGGCATAGTACTACGTAAAATCGAATCTGTGGAAGACGATTTATTTAACATATATGATCATGGCTTTGTTGATAATTTGAAAGAACGAATATTCAATAGAACGTTTTATTGATTTTTTTTTTGAAACAGCTCTCTTCAATGTCAGAGGGTCCAGCTTTATATTTGTAACAAGCTGTAATGATTAAGAAAAGATGTCAGTCTTTATAGTATAATTCGAGCCAGTAGTTCAGCCTCGGAAAAGTTCCTTGTATTAGTGTTCCTTTACTACCTAAACTTAGATTAATCACAAATAGCACAATAATGTAATATAAGTTATAGGTTCCTTTGAAGCCATATTAAGATATCGAACTTTTAGCTTACTCTCTGGTAGAATCATCGATTTCTGAGTGCAAGTAGATCTTACTGAACATTTTCCTCTTCTCCATGATCATTCGTCTTTGTTCGTGTCTAGTTTTTTATCCTTATTCGTCTGTACATGTCTTTATTCCTCCTCATTCCACTGGCTATTTATTTTTCTTTGAACTTAAGTTTCTCCTCTGTAAAAGCTGCAAAAAACTTTTTAAAAAAAAATTATTCATACACTAATTAGTTATGCTCACCATTCAGCAATTGTAATATGGATCCTGCTTCTCTTTTATCTCTTTTTCCTTTTGTCCTTGTACAGCTTCTTCACCTCGAATAAGTGCCAGTTGTCAGGGATTATTTCTGAGGTTTTAACATGATATTCACATACTAAACTCTGGTTGGGACATGACGAACGAATATGCGAGATATCTCTGGTTAGATCTGGTTAGATCTGTGAGAGGTTTTCCCTATGAAATAATTATAAGCTAAACTTGAAAGCATAACTAGGCAAAAGACTAATATGAAAGGGGAAAAGAAAATATATATTTTATTGATAGTTTAATGATTTTGCTTTTTTGTTCTTGAGTCAATTTTGTGGCTGCAACCGTTTTTATTAATTGAATATACAAAACATATTTACCTATTTACCTATTTTCCCTTCAAACTACTCTCTAAAAACCCTTTTAACAAACTTTAAACAAACCTTAAACAACATTCAAACAACCCTTCAAACACTCTTCAAAAAACCCTTGAGAATATCTCTAAAATACCTTTTATATAAGTTTACACTATTCATTTTATATACTTCAAAGCCCAAATCTTAAATCATAATACTCACAATATTCAAAAAGAATGCACAGAAGACAGAAAACTTGACAAATTGAATACGTGAGAATGTGATACAATTACTGGGAAATACCTTAATTACCGCTATTAGAGTCAAAATTTGAGTTGATTCTGCTCTTCTACTCGTTATCGATAGTGTTGGTACTCCTATTTTACTTTTCGACTTCGAACTTTTTGCTCTTGTCGATTTCGATCTTTTTGCTCTTGTCGATATCGATAATATTTTTCTTTTCGATTTCGAACTTTTTGCTCTTGTCGATATCAACCTTTTTGCTGTTGTCGATTTCAATATTTTTCTTTTCGATTTCGAACTTTTTGCTGTTGTCGATTTCAACATTTTTCTTTTCGACTTCGAACTTTTTGCTCTTGTCGATATCAACCTTTTTGCTGTTGTCGATATCGACATTTTTGCTCTTATCGATATTTTTCTTTTCGATGTCCACTTCAACGTGTTTACTGTTGTCGATATTTTTGCTCTTGTTGATATCAACATCGGCATTGTGGCTATGTTCGGTACGGCTATTGTCAATATCTTTCTTCTCGATATCGACGTCGACGTGATTACTCTTATCAAAATTCTTGCTCTTATTGATATCGACGTCGACGTGCTTACTCTTATCAAAATTTTTGCTCTTATTGACATCAATATCGTTAAGACTATCCTCGACTTTGCTGTTATCCGTTTTGTTGGTGTCACCGTTATTGGTAGTGGTATCGTTGGTATCCGTATTGCAAAGGGTCTGGGTGTGAGGATTCGTGTTTGTCGTATTTATCAGAATATTAATTGGTCCTTGTGGCCATTGTGGTCCTGGTGGTCCTTGTGGCCCTTGTGGTCCTTGTGGTCCTTGAAATCCTTGTGGTCCTTGGTCACCTTGTGGTCCTTGAAATCCTTGTGGTCCCCTTGGCCCTGGGACCGTTTTGTGAACCGAGCACTTTTTGCAACGACACTTCTTAACCTTGGGTTTGCAAAGTGGTTCAAGTGGGAACGAACAATTTTTTTCTTGAAACTTGTAAGTGGAAGACATTATAAGCGAACTTTGAAAGCAAAATTAGTATGAAAGACGAAAAAGCAAATAGGTAAAATATGTTATTGAAAAAGATATCAATACAATAACTGTTTGAACAAGAAATTTTTCATTTCCATTCGATACATACTCCTCCTTTTATATGTTTTTGAATACGCTTGTGGCATACCTTTGTGGTATACCTTTGTGGCATACTTTTGTGGCATATTTCTGCGTAGCCCAAACAAACCCGATGCAAGATCAATCTCTATTAGCATTACAACTAACAAGAACGATAAATAGTTTATCATTGCTTCTTAGTTGGCCACAATTCACTATACTAGTCATCAGAGCAATTCCAAAAAAAATTTAAAACTGCTCATGCTTAAATGTATACTTCATTAGTTATTAGAGGGACGACTCAATAAGCGTTCATGGATTTGTCAAGAAGTACAATGAATATTCAATACATTTTAAATCTCGTTCACAATATCTAATCTCTTTAACACAATTGATGGCACAACAATTTTCTCGGTTGTTCTATCGTTCATATTTCTTTCCATTGTCTTGCCATTATCTGGTATGAACGTTGAATCGAAGTTATTATTCAAATCATTCATCTCCAATAATTTTGATAGTATTTTCATGAATGTTCTTGAACTGAAAAGGTCACTATTTGTTTTCAAGAAAAATGTATCTTGATCGTGGATTATGGAATAGATGAACATATGAAACAAATGTAGTTGTAGTAAGCTGTTAGGCTCTTCATTAAGCATCTCAAGAAGGTTTAAATTGTCAAAATTTTTTAATATTAATGAGCAGATATGTTTTTTGTTTTCTGGATCGCTGCAACCTGCTTTGTTCAATTTTTCCTTATCTGAATTTCCTCCAATATATTGAATATTCGATCCTGCCTCTGACAGCTTTTTAATTGATTGATTGTTGAACTGTAGATCGTCGTCCTCTTCACCATAATCGTATTTAATTAACTCACGTTTCCTTTTGCCTTTTTTTTGAATCCGAAAGCTCTTTTTGACATCTGTACCTAGATTCTCTGAATTCTGACCCATTACTGCACTCATCATGATCCTGAATCTTGGATCCCGTTTCGTTACTTAAGCCTCTTCGTTCTATTTATTATAGCTGAACTACCAGTATCGCAATTACTAATGACATCGGTTTATCTATTAATATCTGTTGGTAACGTGAGTTCCCTGTAATATATCAATCGTCTTGATTTTTTTCTGCGAAGTTTTGTTTTAATTTTTATTTTTGATTATACACTTACCTACTTACCCTTTCAAATATCCTATATAATTTTCCTTCACTCATAGTACATTAACGTGACTAATCAAGCTTCGATTTCAGGTCGATTGTTGAATCCATTTTCTAAATAGTTACGTCCTAAAAAGGTGCATTTCGTATGGTTCATATAGGAACTTTAATCATGAATAAATTTATACGCATATATTAACCAATGTCATGCAAACTTCAAAGTTGATAACAAACCCACTATCGAAATATTATGTCCCCTAGACAGCAAGAGGGATTTTTTGAAAAACTTTTTTTTAGCATTTAACTCTTCAACATATTACCAACAAGTTGTGTAGAATCATTTCTTTCAAATAAAACTTGAGCATCTTCTGCCGAACATATCACCTCGGCGTGCTCAAATATGCTTTTTATGTGCCTTTGGCCATGGTTTTGGTCTATGGCAACGGAAAAAATTCCACCTTCTAATTAGTTCAAATAAACATAAACGAGAATGCCCAATGCATTCGAAAGTTGTATGTCTAAATCTGTGTGAGCAAGCTAAGCCTTTCTTAAACGTGTGTTCACAGTCAAAAGAATTATGACCCTTCCCTTTGAAATGCAAGCATTCCTTGGCTGAGTGATCACAATTGTGGAATTCACTGGTGGAATCAAAGAAGTCCTTGTGTTTGTCCTTACATTCGAAACACTCATCAAATTCAAAACACCTCTTAGATTTGTGCTTGCAAATTGGATTTTTTTGTCTAGGGGTTTTACAACCTGAGCTACTGTCATGGCTGAAATCCAGACATGAATCACTGTCTGTGGTGCAATGGGAGTCTGAATCACTTTCTTCATCGTGATCAAACCACTTGTGTTCGTGTTCACGCTTGTGTTCATGTTCCCATTTGTGCTCGCGTTCTGAGCATTTGCTATTTTTCTTATGTGGTTTATGCTTGCATACCCGTGGCTTTCTTTTAGGAGCTTCCCAGCTTGAACCATCTTGAATATGAAATTCTTCTCCTTCAACAGGTGAATGATGAATTTCTTGAATAGAAGTCATTTTAAGCAAAAGTGTTAATATTAGTAAGAAAGGTGAAAAGCAAATAAGTCTATATTGAAAGATATATCTATACAATAAACTGATTCTATAAAATATTTTCCCTTTCCACTAGAAATGGCTCTTCTTTTATATGTCTATGGCTTTACGTCTGTGGCTGCAACAGCTTTCAGTAGGCCGCAAAAACAGATTCTGACAGGTCGTGCTGTATTCAAATATTTGGATCTGAAAATATTTATTAGACTATCACTTCGCTGAAACCTAGTCTTCTTCCTTCTTCAAATATCCAAATCCAAAAGTTCGGTACTAAGATATAGAGGGTTGTAATTGCTAACAACATTACACATTTTGGTATCATGACTGGCGGCGATCATTCTTCGAATAATACGCCAGTGAAGGAAGAGCAAAACCAGCACAACACCCCACTTCATATTACGGCACATTCTATATCTAATAGTGCCAACACAGACAATATGAACGATAACAAACATAACGCACATGCTCTTGGTAAAAGTAGTCAAGGATTGCATCCGCCTGAAAATGGAAACTCTAATGAATTTGGGTTATCTCCGCAGAATTATTTTGATTCGAATTGGGCATCCAGTTTGCTAATGGATCCAAATAGCGATATATTGTATAATATGGATTTCGATTCTCAGGAGAATCTAACAACAGCGAACTCGATGATTTACCACTCCAATACACCAACAGAAACCCCCGGTATTAATATGAAGCTGGGACTTGCACCTTCGCAGCCAACGATAAATGGAGTGGTACCTCTAGAACACCAAGTGCCTCAGATTTCCCGTCCAGCATCAAACTTTGCACCTAAGTCACAACAAGAATATATTCAAGCACAACAGAGTATTCCACCTCAACAACAGAATATTCCACCTCATCAACAGAATCTTCCACCTCAACAACAAAATCTTCCACCTCAACAACAGAATCTTCCACCTCAACAACAGAATCTTCCACCTCAACAACAGAATCTTCCACCTCAACAGCAGAATCTTCCACGTCGACAACAAAATATTCCACCCGCACAACAGACTAAAAGTACTAAGCAACGACGTCCGTGTGATCACTGTAGACGAAGAAAGACTAAATGTGTGATTATTCCTAATACAAATAACTGTGCACAATGTGAATCTAAGTCGTTAACATGCACCTATGTTGGACTGGCATTGAAGAGGAAAACTGGTTATGACTCTGATGGTGATTCTAAAAGACTTAAAACTACGAATGAGAAAACAAGGGAAAATAAACTTGGTAACGAGCAAACAAATCAAGTCATGGGCCCCATCCAAGTTGATCGTTCCACAATAGTAGCCCCAAATGTTCCAATAAGAGATGTTGCCCCAGTTCGCGATTATTCCTCGATTAACAACTCATTGTTACAAAAAACGTTGTCTCTACAATTCCCCAGGTCTAGTTTTTATGTTGGCCCAACATCATATTTATATGATATAAATTTATTAAATTTGATAATTGATTCACAAAATAATGCTAATGGTACTATAAGTAACAAAGGCAATACTTCAAACAACGGTTCTGGTAAAATCGAGCAAGTAAATTTAAGTAATTCCACTTCTTTAAGAAAAGTCGGCGATAACGCACAATTTATATTGAAAGATGATCAATCTCCTCGTTCATATCAAAATATGTCTAATGACGTAGACACTGTTGAAAAATTTGTTGCTCCTCATGGTCAAATATTGATTGATTTGTATTTTCGTATAATACATCCTTCATACCCAATACTCCATAAAAAAGTGTTTTTGGAAAAATATTCTAGAACTCATAGAGAGTTTAGTGCACCACTATTAGCTGCAGTATATGCTTTAGCTATACAATGGTGGGAATACGATCCTCAATTGAATAAATTTCCTAAGCCTAATGTTGATTTAATTTTGAAAGTTGGTTTGAATAACTATTTACTTGAAATCTTGAAAAGACCGAAATTGAGTGCTGTGCAGGCCGGTTTGTTATTACTTCAATGTAAGCATATTATTCAAAGTAGTAATGAACAAGATACAGCAGTAAAAAATTCTGCTAATACAAATTCTCCAGCCCTGACAAGTGATTCACATTATAGTGATTGGGTATTATGCTCTCAAGTTATAACATTAGCTGAAGAATTAGGATTGGGTTTAAATTGTAAGAATTGGAAATTACCTAAATGGGAAAGAGGCTTGCGTAAGAGGTTAGCTTGGGCAGTTTATATGGAAGACAAATGGCTTTCATTAAAAAATTCCCGTCCATCACACATTAATGAACTTAATTGGGTTGTTGTTTCTTTGATAGATGAGGATTTTCCCGAGAAGCATGGTGATGGTGACTTGAAAGAAGGTTCTTCAGATATTGACAATGGAAAGAAAATATTCATGAATTTAATTAATTTGACGATGATCCTATCCGATATTTTAGACAAATTTTATTCGATGAAAGCTATGGCCGAAATTAATGATATTGCGCAAGTTTTACAAATTGCAAAACCACTTCAACTCAGGTTGCGTAACTGGTATCACTCATTACCTGTTGACTTACAAATGAGTTCTGTACAGCCAAGGAAATTATGTTCAAACGGATATTTGCAGTTAGCTTATTTTGCTACAGAATTAACATTGCATAGAAAAATAATCACTACAATATTTGTGCAATCTTTGGCAGGTAATCCACCTCCAAAGGAATTGGTTGGGGTATGCCGGACTGCAGCGAAGACTAGATTATCAGCTTCAATTGAATTTGTCAGGGATTTAAAGCCTGAGCATATGCATTCTTTTTGGCATTCTTCTTCGTCTTCGAATTTTACGTTAATTTGCACTTTTGCTGCAATTTTGTACATGACTTCGTCAAATAAGGAGGAATCTGATTTCTATAAAGACCAAATCTTCAATTATAGATGGATATTGAAAATATCTTCCAAAGGATTCGACCGTATATGCGACGTATTGTCGGAATTAGACACAGTTTTGAATCATATTCCTGGCTTGTTAAATGATAATTCAGACTTGCCTATGATGGCTCCCAATGAATCAGCTAGTGGATATAGCCATTCTCAAATCCTGCAAGATATCCCAGCCGGTGCTTCGCAGTTCTCATTCAGGGATACGTCGCTGTACTTAAATTTTAATAGGCCTAGTTCCATGATGTATAACAAACAAGACTTCGATAAGAATAGCAATAACAATGATGAAAATAACAGGATGAGAACGACCCATCAACAATATACTAATAGGCAAGGAGATGATTATGACTCGCCTTACGAATCACATCTGAATCATTCATCTACACCATATTCAAACCAGGGACAGCATCATCTGCAAAATGGAAATCAGATTTCCTCAGTCCAGCATCAAGTACAGGATCTATCCCCTAAGACAATGATAAAGCACCAACTACCATTTGGCTCAGAAAACGAGCAAAGAGCTATATCAGATAACTCCCCTGTTGATCACCATACACTTCACAATATGAATTCTAACATGGATAACATTCATGTCACACACACATCTAAAACTCATAACATCTCTCCTACAAATAATGATGGAATTAAGTCTGATTTGAAATCAGATAAGGAAGAAAGAAAGTGATATTGATTTTATCAATCATGTATATACGGGTCAATAGGTTCTATAGGAAATTTTCGTAGACAGGAATCCTCAATTACAATACTAAAATTTTCTACCAAATTAAGCTATAAAAGGATATAAAGTTTTCATATTGATCAATAATTTAATCGAATGGGGTCAAGTATGCCTCAGCAATAACTCTTGCCCTCGCATTTAAGAACAATTTCATTTCACTAATTTCTTTGTCAACATCTTCCATGAATTCTATGATGAAATCGACTAATTTGTCTTTCAACATTTGTTCGGTATGGAAATTAGTAATTAAAAATGATATATCATATCCTTTTATAGGGACTCTTCTTAAAATAAAGAAATTTTCAGCTCTCGACGTCAAAAACCTGGTAAACTTATGAACTAAGATTTGCTCTATCTCATCTGCTTGTTTAATCTTTATAGAGACTCTAACTGAATTTACAGAAGGCTCAATTAAGATTTTTTCATTCTCGTTTCTAGCTATTATCATGGGATTCAATATCAATTCAGGGTTATGGCTGTTATCAACTTCTATCTCTGGTCTGTTATGTCTTTCTACCAATTGTGAAGAAAAGTCTTCCAAACATATTGCAGCAGTCAACGAAGATCTTACTGCCGTTAAGTATGGTTTTAATGATTGTGACTGAATGTTCGGTTAGTTCCATTATACAATAAATGGTGATCAATTGAATCAATTAAATTCGAGGAAATTTGAATCAGCAATTAACGATAATCCTTTTATATTACATACCATATCCTTATATTCTTAATATATATCTAAAGCTATTGATTGAACTTGTTGTCCTACTAAAGCTACACCTTTGTAAACTACAAGTTTGACCCGATAAATTCAAATAATGATCTTACAGGCACGACTAACTATATGCAGACCTTTATTAAAAGTAATACTCCTATCTACTGACTTCACTAATAGTTCAATAAAACTGGATTATGCTTAGGGCCGTCAGGCTTTAATTTAGCATCCGCCTCCCTGTTTTCTGGTTTGAATCTTTTGTTATCAGCATGATCTTCTCTTATTGGTCGCTTTTTATTAGCGTATGCCGCATGCTCAGGAGAAGGAGATGCATTATTCAAGAAGTTTACAAACGCATGTATAGACTGTTCGAATGAATATTCGATAGATGCTTTGACACCATTATTACTAGCCATTTGAATCGTAGTTTCCAATTTTCTGTACTGTTCAATATTTTGAAATTTCGATTCAAATAGAGATTGTAGACCATGCTTATCAATAGTATTCACAGCATATTGGGGAGTATTGTTTGGGTCCTCCTTTTTCAATATTGTAACGAAGTGACCATCAGAAGAGTCCGATTCATTATTTAGAAATTTTATAATATCGTGCTTTTCATGGTTAGAAAAGAGCCAGCGTGCAAGCTCATCTTCCCTTTGTTCCAATTCTTTTTTATATTTGCTTTTCAACAATTCATTCTTCAAATCGTAGTCCCTTTTCAAGGTATCGAATATTATTTTTAACTCGTTATCATCCTGAGTCTCGTTGCTCAAGTTGAATTCAAAAGCAGAGAGTCTCTCATCCTTCAAATCTGCAAGACTATTTATAAAATTCTCTTTACTGCTCAATAATTGATCATAACTGTACTTTGGATTGTTTTTCAATCCTGATATTGTGTTTTCAACTATGTCTTTCTTCAATTTCATGAGCTGATATTTTTCATCCACTACATCCCAAAAAAAATCTAATGGTGAAGAGCCATTTCTACCACATAACTCTATAAAGCAATCTTCATTTTCTAGAAGCGGGAAAATATTTTCAAAAAGTGAGTTGGCATTGATACTAATATTCTTAATAAGAAACTCTTTAAAGAATTGTCTTGCCTTCCTGTCGGATCTGTAATTCTTCTTTTCAATAGATGCAATTTCAGTTTTCAATTTATCTAGTATTTGCGGATATATATCCGCTGTGTATAATTCTAAAATGTCAACTTTATTCAACACTGTAAAGTGCTTGTTGGCTTTAAAACGTGCATCATTCTGTAAATTTTTATAGAGCTGATCCCAATTCTCACTATCTGAAACTAGGGTTGGGTTTATCTGAGTTAAATATGACTTGAGCTCGTCTAATGCTTGTGCTTTCTGTTGTTTAATTGATTCTTCACGAGCTTCCTTTAGTCCATTAACAAATGTATCATAAATCTTGAGAACTTCATTATCTGATAAGACAGAGTTTTTAAAAATCGGATTTTCTTCCGCAATTAATATGTTCTTAATCGTTATCCAACGAGTATTATATTTTATGAGACCTTTTTTTTCAAAATTCTGTAATACTTGCAAAAAATTTCTTTCAAATTTTTCTACAATTTCACTCTTATTAGTTAGTTCGTCTTTCAACTTTTGAACCAAGTATTCATCGTACAATCTCTTCCTGTGTAATGCATCAGGAATAGCCCAATATATTGGATTTTTAATGAATTTAGAAATTACCTCTTGAAAAGACCATGTAGAATCTACATTATTAGACTTCAATAGACTTAAGAAGGCATCTTCGGCTTCTTGATAGGATTTGAATTGAGGTGGTTCTATTAATTCGTTACGAATTGTTGTTTTCTTCTCTAACTCAAGATCAAGAGATGACAAAGATTTTGTCTCTTCGGAGCTTGGTTTGTCCATATCTTTATGCAATTCATTATTCTCATTTTCGACAATATCTATTTTATCTTTATCTTCCAATAATTCTTCAAAGCCTTCGGGTATTTCCCAAGTTGTTTCTCCAGTCTTTTCATTATGGTAGTATTGTCGACCATCATCTGTTGTATAAGCCTTCCACTCACTTTTAGTATCTAGTGGCTTGGTCCAACTTGTCTCTTGAGTAGTTCTATTATAATAATATATCCTCCCTAGATCATCTGTTACTTCTTCCCAATTATTTGTCATGTTTATACTTCTCCATATAACAGAGAATGTTAAAATTAATTTCTTCTAAAAAAGATAATACTTCAATTTCGCATTCCTTAATTAGTATGACAGTTACCTTATGGAACAAACTTTTTTGAGAGCAAATTCCAAATTTTGTATTGTGGCGTAACTGGAATATCTCTCCTCAAATTTAGGTAGGAAGTTCGATTCCTACGCACGGATTAGCTTATTCACATTTTGTTTTTGCACCCTAATGTCACAAATGAACATATAATCCAAAATTATCTACCACTATTCTATTTAATATTTAAATAATATTGTACTTAATCTAAAACCAAATAACCATGGTGAGGATTGTATACAAAATTGATGAATTGTTGGATTTAAGACATTACGGGGTTGTAGATTTAAAACAGCTGTTGCCAAAAATTATTCCTGGTACAAGCGCTAACAAATTTGGAAAGGCCCATCCACATACTAACAAAAGTTTTCCAAAGTTTAAGAATAATATTGGGAATAATAGTTATTCTAAAGCATATCTACCTCACTTCATGAAAGAGAATAAATATCCCCCCAATATCTCGTATGATAGTCGTATTCCTGGAATACAGCTATCTGCACAAACTTTAAATGACAATAGCACGTCCTTATCTTCAATGTTTTATCATAATAATTGTTATGATGCTAAAATACAATATCCTTTATTTAACTTGCTGATGTTTCCGCCAGGGTCAAGAATAATTCGTATTGAACCTGGAAACTCACTACCTAAAGGTGCCATACCTATCCCATTCAGGTTTGAAGACGAATTTTCTAAGCCTAGTGATTCAAGGAGACAGGGATTTGACAATCAGTCAAATCTATGTATGGGCGAATTGCAAAAGAGTGCCATCGATAAAGCTAAACACAAAAAATATAGAAAAAATTCTAATATACAAAATCCAATTAAGTCAATGGATTTTCAATCCTCCAAAAATAGAACATTTAAACCTGTTTCAAACCCATATTCTGTTACAGGATTCTTCCCAGAACGTGAGATTAAAGAAGATGCTATTATGCCAGAAAATACTGATACATCCAAACCTAAAACCTTCAGTCATGCTTTACCAAATAATAGTCAGACAAGTATTAATGATACGGATAGCTCAGTAACTATTGGCTCTTCGTCTTGTGACAGTTTTAATATTCAAATTCAAATTTCGGCAACTCATTAAGTTTTATATATTTGTTAAGAAATTAGGCAAAATATCAAGAAAGATGTTTAAAAATGAATGAAAATATTAAAAATTAATTAAAATTCCAAAAAGCAAAAATCCTTATTAGAATGTAAATCTTATTGAATTTATGCCTCAAATATAGTATTATTTAGATAAAATGAATGAAATTGATTGAAAAATGCCATGGCTTATTTTGTAATATTGGCAACCATTCTTAAAATGGTTTCTGAGGGAGCTCACGTGAAAGTTCCACTATGAAAATTAAAATCAGTGATGGTGATGATGATGAAGAAGTAGATTATGATCTCAATATCAGCTGCATACATATGAATGATTGATATGTATAGCGAAGGAATAATTTTTACGGTAAATGAATATGAATGGCATTATTTGAACGTAGAACTGTGAGTATATTCAAAAGTGAAAGGCACTAATTCAATGTATTCAACAATGATTTCTGGAAATATATACTAACAATTAACAGAATATTAGACCAACAATTTACAAATGATAGCAAAGATAAATTCAATGACTTAAGTATAGATTGGATAACTTGGAAATCAATTATATTAAGTAGCTTGGGAAAGCTCTACGGTTTAATAGGTGAGGCTTCTCATTTTGATATTTTGCAATTACAGGAAACTAGGCCTGCAATGAAGCTGATAATACGAATACAACACGAAGATAAAGATAAATTTATCAGCAGTTTAATGGCATTCACTTTTAAATTAAGCAAGTTCATTGGAGGGGATTACGATGTCAATTGTTATATTCGCGTCAACAAGAATAATGATCACTTAGGACTTGTGTTAGATAAATCATTCAGGTGATACCTTGAAAACTTAAGTGATGTAGTTTCTACATCTAGAGCCTAATAAATTAGAGAGAGAGATAGACTTGCATCAGTAGTCTCATCAGTATTCTCAATGACAGAGGTGTAAACGAATTAATTTAGCCCTTACAATGTGTCTAATTGTTTTTACTTGCGGAGAGAGAGTGTGAAGTATATCAAGAAGGCTATATTCATGATACTTACTATGCTTAGCTTAGATTATATAGTTGTAAATAATTTTTAACGATTTAAGAATCTAAAGTGGTTTCACGTGATTTATCGATTACTGGCAGGAAAAGTTGGATTGACGCCAACATGTCTTTTAGTGGAGAGTGATTGATAAAAGATATATATACGTTTAGCTATCACCAAATAAACTTTATTCTCGTCTATCGTGCTATAAAGTTCTACATATTTAATATCACGAGATATTTCGGGAACTATAATGAGAATTGAGCTGAAGCTGTGGGGCTCCATAGCTTTCCTATTCACACTCTTTATCACATATGTTGTATCGGAGTCTAATTTCAAACCTGAGATAAAATTGACAAAGGAAGCTGAAATTGCGAAAGAATATAACTACTTTGATGATTCTTCCAATATATTGGTTTTGAGAAAGGATAAACTTGCTATTTCCTTTGATGATGGGATAAATTGGAAGAATGTGAAGGAAACAGAAAACGAGAGTGTGATTCGCTACCAGTTTGATCCATTTAACAATGATCGAGCTTTTGCTTTCACTATAGACAAATACCAGTACGTAACTAATGATAAAGGGAAAACCTGGTCGAAGTTTGAAATCTTCGACCCCAAAAATGGAAAAGATCATTTGGCTTTTAATTCAATCCCTCATGTTGTATTCAATGCAAAAAATCGTGATTTGGCTCTTTTTGTCATTTACCATTGTCCAGAAGATAAGAAGATTTCAAATCAATGTGTAGTTTATCATTTTTTGACTACTGATGGATTTAAATCTAATCCGAAATCTTTGCCTGTGGATGCAAATATATGCACATTTGCAAAATCAACTAAGCAGTACGATGTGGGTTCGGATGAAACTATTTATTGCTCGAGAAATAAGATCAATTCATTTGGACATATTGTTGAATCATACATCGTTGCATCTGATGATTTTTTCAAAACCGAATCTAAAATTAATCATACATTAGCAAAATCAGGCTCTATAATTGACGTTCGAGTAGTACAAAATTTTGTTATTGTCGTTGTACAAAATGATAAATTTAATACTAAGTCCAAAGTATCTTTGTTAGTTTCTAAAGATGGTAAGAACTTTAACGATGCGGACTTGAAAGTGGATATTTCTTATGGCATAATGAAATTTTTGGAATCATCCCCACTGTCAATATTTATAGCAGTTATGGATTATTCTAATTCTTTTCACAAGTTCTCATTATCTACAGTATATGCGTCTGATTCAAGTGGTTTAAGTTTCTCTAAAGTATTAGATAAAGTTCAAGGAGGCTCTATCCAAAAAGTTGAAACAATAGATGGTATATGGTTGGCAAATATTGCAGAAGAAATTAAAGACAATAAGGCCAAGAGTAAGACTTTACTTGATATGCTTATGGGGGGTGGTATTGAGAAGAATATAAAAAGCAGAGTTTCGTACAATGATGGAAGAGATTGGAATTTATTGAAAATCAATAATGATGATTCTTGCACTACTGATAATGACTGTTCGCTACATTTGTTAAACCCTACGGAGAGAAACGGAGAAGGTAAATTTGTAACTGGTCCAACTCCTGGGATTCTACTTAGTGTAGGCAATAAGGGCAGTAAGCTTGACAATAATATCAGCAAAATGAAAACATGGATATCTAGGGATGGAGGAATTTCTTGGGATTTTGCTTTAGATGAGCCATGTCTTTTCTCATTTGGGGATCAGGGTAATATTATTGTGGCTATACCATACTATGGAAAGAATAAGATGAATTCCTCTAATATGTACTTCTCATTGGATCAAGGAAAATCATGGCAAAATATTGCATTAGAAGTACCTATCTTTCCTCTTACCTTAACTACGACTATTGACGGTACTTCGCAGAAATTTATTCTTTCTGGCCTAATTGACAATACACCGGATGATCGAACAGATTATTCATTTGCCGAAACTTTATATTCGATTGATTTTAGTAAAGCATTTGGCGGCAAAAAATGTGATCCAAAGAAAGATTTTGAAGATATATATACGAGACTTGACCCTAGCAATGATAAGCCAATTTGTATTTATGGCCATAAAGAAAAATTCAGAAGAAGAAAGCAAAGTAGTGAATGCTTTGTCAATGAATTGTTTGATGATGTAAAAGTCTATGATGATCCTTGTGAGTGTAGCGTGAATGACTTTGAATGTGCTGATGGATTTTCAAGAACGAAAGAAAAAGAATGTAAGCCAGACAAAAAGAAGATTGCAAATATATGTCGTGACAAGAAGTCTAAAGAGGTGTCCTTACCTGATAGAATGTTAGTGACTGATAATAAGTGCAAGAATCCAAAAGACGCTACTAAAGAATTTGTTAAAACAAAAAAATTCAAATGTAGCGATTATTTAGATGAAGATGACAAAGATAAGAATAAGGGTAACAAACACGATATTATTTCCACCTTTAACGAATTTGACAGTGAACTTCAGCAATATACATACGTTGAACAGGGTGAAACGTATAGTGGAGAAAACATAATTTTAAGGACTAAGGACAATGTGGCTTATGCGTCTAATAATGGAGGTATAGAATTCGTCAAAATCCCTGTTTCAGACGAAATAGTAACTTATTATCCAGGGTTAGTTCCGGGTCAAGTAATTTTAATTACTGATTCCGAAAAGTTTTACTTTTCTATAGATGGTGGTAATACGTTCCAGAAAAAAACTGCTCCCGCTAAGCCAAACGTTATTGGTGCACGTATAATATCTTTTGATAAGAAGGATACTGAAAAATTTATTTGGTACAGCAGCGAGAATTGCGAAAATCCATTTAGTCGTGATTGCAGCTTAGTGGCCTATATTACTGAAGATGGCGGAGAAAATTTCCAGAAATTGAAAGAGGATGTCAGAAGCTGTGACTTTGTGGCTGATGTCTTTGAAGATGTTTCCGATGAAAACAAAAATATGATATATTGTACCGTTGAAGATAAATCTAGTAGAAAATTGATGTTATTGTCTTCAACCGACTATTTTAAGCAAAGCAAGAAAGTCTTTGATAATGTTGTTGGATACGCTATCACAGGAAACTTTCTTGTTGTTGCAACGATAGATGAAACAGAACAATCTTTGAAAGCAAAGGTGACTGTGGACGGACAGATATTTGCAGATGCAGACTTTCCACCGGATTTCCATGTAGATTCTCAGCAAGCCTATACTGTTTTGGATTCGGTATCCAAAGCTATATTCATTCATGTGACTACAAGTAATAAAAATGGCCATGAATTTGGTTCGATTTTGAAATCGAACTCCAATGGAACTTCATATAGTCTTACATTGGATAAAGTCAACAGAAATCATATTGGTTATGTCGACTACGACAGAATTGAAGGAATTGAAGGGGTAATAATTTCTAATGTGGTTGCAAACGATGGTTCTAAAAATCATAAAAAGTTAAAAACACAAATCACGCATAATGACGGCGGTGAGTGGTCGTACATTACCCCTCCAGTTATTGATTCCAAAGGTAAAAAATATAAATGTAATGGTAAAGCTTTGTCAAAATGCTCTTTGAACTTGCATGGATTCACCGAAAGGGCTGATTATAGGGATACTTTCTCATCACCATCTGCTATTGGTCTTATAATGGGCGTAGGTAGTGTTGGTGAGTATTTGGAAGATTTTGATAAGTGCTCCACATTTATTTCGAGAGACGGCGGGATCACCTGGAAAGAAATTAGAAAAGGTGTTTACATGTGGGAATATGGTGATAGAGGCACAATTTTGGTTTTAGTAAATGCAGAAAAGGCTACCGATAAGCTTATGTATTCTTTAGATGAGGGTGATACCTGGCATGATTATAAATTCACAGAGGAAGCTATTGACGTTTTGGATCTAGCAACCGTTCCTTCAGACACATCGAGAAAATTTCTAATATTTGGAAAGAGTGACAAAAAAATGGTGTCTTACTCTATCGACTTTACTAATATCCACAAGAGACAATGCCAATTAGATTTAGATAATCCAAATGATGACGATTTCGAATATTGGTCGCCAACACATCCTTCTACTTCAGACAATTGTCTATTTGGTCGTGAAGCCAAATATTTACGTCGTGCCATTGGACATGACGACTGTTTTATTGGAAGTGCACCATTGAAGGAAGGGTTTAAGGTTACTAGAAATTGTTCATGTACTCGAAAGGATTATGAGTGTGATTACAATTACTTTAGAGATTCTGATGACACTTGTAAATTAGTTCATGGGTTGTCTCCTTCAGATCGTAAAAAGGAGATGTGCAAAAAAGAAAATGCATTTGAGTATTTTGAACCGACTGGATATAGGAAAATCCCATTATCAACTTGTATGGGCGGTAAGAACTTTGATGCGTGGAAAGTACATCCTTGCCCAGGAAAAGAAAAGCAATTTAACAAGCATTATGGGAAGGAATTGAACAGCGGATCCCTTCTAGCTGTTATTGGTATTCCAATAGCTGTCTTTTTATTGGCAACGTGGTTTGTCTATGAGAGAGGTATTCGCCGAAATGGCGGATTCAAGAGATTTGGACAAATAAGGTTAGACCTTGATGATGATGAGTTTCATCCAATAGAGAATAATGACGTGGATAAGGCAGTAAATAAAATAGTTAAGGGTGGTATTATGGTCGTAGCAGCTTCAATTGCAGCCTTCAAGACATTAAGAAAGGTTGACAGAGTGTTGTTTGACAAAGTAACCTCTCTGCTTTTCCGTCGTCGCCCAGGTCATAGAAACTACGTGAACGTTCCAGACATTGATGAGGAAGAAGAATTATTTGGCAACTTTCGTGATAATTATGAGGAAGAGATAGAAGACGGTGCTAATAACATTAATGAAGACTTCGATGATGAACCCAATGAATATGAATATGAAGAAGAGCCAAACGATGAAGTTGACTCAAGGCTTTTTAATATCGATGATCAATCTGATGACGAGTTACAGTCTGCTACACCTGAAGATAATTAGATACGATATAGTTAGATATGTACGTAAAATAGATAAGTACAATTTATTTTCCAAGTCGGGTTGTAGCTTAGCCGAGATATTTAGTATCAATTTTCAAAAAAAAAGGAATTGACACGGACAGGAATTGAACCTGCAACCCTTCGATCTGGAGTCGAAAGCTCTACCATTGAGCCACCGCATCACCCTTGATAGATTATGACTACACAGTATTTATACTCACCTTTATTAATTATTAATATCTAACTCCAGCTCAAATAGGTTAACTATATAGTTTATTTTAGAACTGTCTATAAATATAAATATGTATATTCGATTAAATAATGTTTTATTATGTAAAGTTATAAGGAATGCCATTAGTTTCTCTGTAAATCAATTTCATGTAATAAGTCTGTTGGGTTAACGGCATTCATCATGTCATTTTCTTGAATTCGCTGATCATTATCATGCTCTTTATTTTTTCTGGACAATGCAAGAAAGGGGATAATATATAACAAACCTATGAGGGTAGTTGATCCCAAAGCACATGCTAGAGATATACCCACAACTTTGCCCTCAGATAGTTTCTTACGATTCAGAAGATCATTCAGCGATTGAAACCGTATATCGTCTTTAATTAAGATTGTTGTGATTTCACCTAGTTTATTATTTTTTGATGAATAAACATATGGTATCCAGGTTTTACCATCATATAATGCAGCATTTACGAGCCCATAATTAGATAATTCAAATGCACCAGATACAATTAAGACTTTGTCTTTATCAAAATACACTTCCTTATTTTTAGAATTAGGATTTTCTAAATCTAAAAGTGTCAAAGCTGTGAATTTGGTATCAGAAGTATATTTGATTTCTTTATCTATTCTTGTCCATTTTAAACCGTCAAATCCATATATAAAGTCTGAACCGTATGCAATGATTCCTCCTTTCAAATCTTCGTTATCTGTTCCTGAAATAAGAAAGTTTTCAACAACCTTATTCGATCCTAATTTGTTGAGTTTTGAGATTGACTTAGCTGAGGATGCACCAAACTTATAAGTGATAAAGTTACTCCGATCACCGTTATAAGTTAAATTACCACTGATTAAGACTTCATTTGATTTGTGAAATTTAATGTTAGTGACAAAACCATCTAATGTGTCGTCACTATCATCAAATGGATTTATCCACCTGGTATTGTCAAGGTCGTATATGCATAACGCTGTGCAATCTAAAGAACCAGCTTGCGAGAAATTTCCACCAACTAACAATTTATTACTTTTGTCATATAAGACGATTGAGTTAATTGAGATTGAATCTCCATTGTTTGAAAGCTCAGCAGGTTGAAATGTAGTGAATGCATTATGCTTCATGTCATATATAATTATTCCTGTTAAGTTTGATGACTCATTGATTTCCACTGAGCCATTAGTACCAATAAATAAGTAATTAGAATCCGTTGTTAGGGAATTGATAGTTGTGTTATCGCTCCAATTCATTTTGCCATTCAATGGAGTGATTGATTTGTTTTTACCAGAATTGTCGATAAACCCAATATTAGCAACTCCGGACGAAGTTTCAAATTCACCACCAACAACACTAAGTGAACTGTTAATATAAAGGGAATTTTCTATACGGCTATTTTGTTCATTAATATGAAAATTATAGCTACTGAAATTATTATCATTTTTAAGCATCAGTTGATCATTATTGTAATAATTCATAATAGAAAATGATTTTCCTGTTAATATTTGCTGTTTGGAGTCTAAATTTATTGCATTAGATATGTTTAAAATGTTTGCATTATTTTCAATCCACTTGAAATTAGAGTTATCCCAGACTTTAGTATCGTCAGACAACGAAGAAGATAGTATGAACATCTCTATACCTTCAATAGTCAAATTGGCAAACTGATCGAATTCAATATCAATAAAATCATTGCCGAAACCATACCATTTACTATTAGAATAAATGGCAAAGTTATTTATTGATGAGATTGATTTATTTCCATCTGATAAGTTATTAAATTCAACTGATGAATTATCATCATTATCCATACTGAATTTACCCAAAAATATCAAATCATTATCAAAATTAATTATTTGGGATATGGAATCATTAAAAGATGCACCATTAATAGTCGATGAAGTGTCCCTTTTTGTTAATTTATAATCAGAACTAGAAGTTTCTGATTCATTCAATGTTGTGTTATATACACCAATGGATAAGTTTATCAAATTACTGTTTGATAGACTTAAATTTTTTGATTCAAACTCACCCAAAACCAACAAGCTGGACAGTTCAGAAGAGTTATGTAACGTCATTTGGTTGATAACAGAATCTTTAGACAATTTGGAGCTGAGCAAATTGATTGATGAGTTTCCCACAAAATTATTCTTCGTATTAATGATAGATTTATTTCCTTGTTTATAAGATACAAGATCTTCTTTAAAATCCGAGAAATTTGCCAATGAATATTCAAATAAACCATTTAGTTTAATATAGGCTAATTCATACCTATGCTTGCTAGAATTATGATGTGTCATATTTTGGCTGTATTGTTCATCTAGAGAAACAATCTCGGCGCTAACTTTATCAACGACAACCCAAGATTGATTCGTATTGGGAAGAATAGAATCGTAATATGTGATTTCAATTTTATTACTACCATCTTTAGTAGTGGATCCATCTAATTTCCCATAATATAAATAGTCAAATTTGTCGTAATCGTTATTCTGATAGATAAGCTGCGTCGACAAAATATTGTCATCATTGTCAATAACGGAGACATTAACAATAGATCTTAAGTTACATGAATCATCATTAATACATCCTGGAGTAGTCATTATAATAGAGTAGTTACCAGAATACGAAATATTTGGATATAATGTAATGCTTGGTTTTGAATTTGAATCAGAATCAAGCACTGATACTAAATAATCAGTGCCAGAAATAGGTTGACTACTCACAGATTTCACAGAATCCCAAGTACCCTCGTTAATATGAGAAAAGTTATTCTCAGAATCGCCATCATCACTTTCACAGTTGGGGGAATTCAATGTATCATTACCATAAGCAGTGATGGAATTCAGATATAATTCAAAGCCAGATAATTTTCCTTTTGAACCATACCAGTCTAATATAGTAACAGCGACTTTATCGATGCTTATACTATTCTCAAAAGAGTATTCCTGATAGTTAGCGCCATAACCAAGAGTTTTGGTCATTGTAGATGGATCATAATAATTAGTAAACGAACCATCTTCCGAATCAACATAGGTATCTGAGTCCGATAAATCTTCTGCATTTTCTTTGTTTTCATCAGTTGCATTTTTTAAATCTGATGCAGTAAGTAATGGACACCATGCATCACAATATGTCAACTCATTTGTATTTGGATCAATATAAGAAAGATTCATAATACCATTATTTGGATAAGAATAAATTCTAAATGTCTTGACACCATCTTCACCTTCAGGAATGTATAAACGTGCTTTTGTTGGCAGTATGCCCTTCATTTCATCAGGAAGCTCAACCGCCCACTGTCCTCCTTCATTAGCGGCTGGTGACCAATCATTATTAGCCAGAGGACATATCAAGGAACTTTCATCACCTTCTCCATTGTCGCTTGAGAAGGTACCGTGTTTCAAGGATACTTGTTGTTCTGCAGTAATTAGGGAGGAGTTAGTGTCATTCTTTGTTATATTATGCTTGAGTAAATCACTGAGTCCTAAATCAGTAAATTCACCTCCAAATATTATAGATCCATGATTTTCATCGTCCCTCTTTTCATCAAAAATCTTTGCGATAGCATTGACAGAGGAATTTTTTCCAAACCCTTTGAATAGCGTGGTCAGTAACTCCTGTGAAGTCAAGTTATAAAGTGCAATTCCATAAGTATTATTAAACTCGAAATCACCCCCCATATACATTAAGTCGCCATCGATAAATATGGTCTTGACATTCCCATTTTCGATTGTTGGTATGTCGGCACGTTTGTTGGAAGTAGGAAAGATAGACGCGGCCAGCTGGCTAGAAATGTTATAAATTATGGGACTTTGTATAGTATCGTTGTTAAACATGGTGAAGTTTCCATTAATTATTAAAGTTTCGTCCGATAATTGCATCAATTGGGTCACTTTTCCATCGAATGATGCAAGTTTTAAGTTATTATTATTTACAGGGTTTCGAATGTACATGTTTTGGTGGCCATACTGTTCTGCCTGATCCTCTTCCAAGAATGCCGATGCATTCTGATATGAGTAGAGTGATATCGCATCGTAAGACCCGAATAATCCTATCCTATCACCAAAATCATCAAAGTTCAATGAAGGCTGTTCGATCGATTTGAAGATCGAAGCCTGTACAACCCCTAGATATGCAAATATCGATATTATCTGATATATTCTCCCATAAATAAACACCCCCAACATTATTAAAACTGTAATATTATTTCTTTGTTGTTATCTCCCGTTCTCTTAAATCTATGTCTCCTCCTAAAAAACCTGTCAAATTTACAATTAAATTCGAATAAAAGTTTCAATATGTTTTCCTGTCAACTTATTGTTATATAATTGAGCCCAGTTTAGCACAACTCAATTGCTTCTATTCCAATATATAGATCGTTGTTATTTACAAGAATTATTTTTATTATTATATTATTAGACGCTTTGCTGTAAGTGGTGTTTACTACAAAATTTTGGTAACGGCGCACAAAATTTTTTTTAGATGGAATTACACTCTAAAATACCACCCTAAATCGTCGTCAAAACCTACAATAAACGACCCAAACCAATTTAGAGGCCATTGGTTACATGCTGAATTCTTCACGTAACAGCGAATTTCATATTACTGGCTGTAATCGCTTGTTTTAAATCCAGAAGACCATTTTCGTCTGAGACCTCGCTTAATTGTTCATACCGTATGTTGACAAAACTGCCAAAAAGGTGTAGAGAAAAATACGCGCGAGTTCTTTATTGGATTTTAACACTTTGGGGGCATTTACAGGTTGTATCAAAGAAGATGAGAGTTGCAAGTTAGACCCAATATGAATGATGATACTAGTCCATACAAAGAAGTATCAAAAGGAACTTTAGCAAATTATGGATTATCCCGAAGGGCTCGACCCCTATACCGCGAGACAGAATTTGCTACATCATAGTTTCTCGCCGTTGATTTCGGTAGAGTCGTCGTATAATGCGGATGTGATGTTGCAGACGGCGTTGAAGGATGATAGCACATCAATATTGCTGATCTTGAAAGCATACGGCAACAATGCCAAGTACCACATACCGAACCAAGTTTTCCGGATAACAAATACACAGCTTATAACCAAGAGTTATCCCAGCTTTCCAGTGCGGTTCGAGCCGTCGCTACCAGAGTTATTGTCGGTGATCAATGCTTCGTGGAGCACCACGACCGGGTCAGGCAACTCAGGAAGCCGTGTAGGGACTAAAATGCCCCAGTTGTTCAGCATTTCGTCATTGGAGATGTTGTTGAAGCACATGGCGTCATGTAAGACTCACCAACATGATTTGTATGTGAATTTTTTCAATAAGATCATCACGTCGAACAAGATAGTTCCGTTTGAGACGTTCAACCATCCGATTTCGCAGGTGTTTGTGATTGACTTTCACACTGATACTATAGATGGCTTGCGGAAGTCGATAGTGGAGTTTCGAAACTTTAATTTCCCAAAGTATTTCCTGATAGACGATCTATTGATGCACGTCTTCATCCTTCACGATCCACAAAAAACATCCGATAGCGATTTGCTAAGCTTTCAGAATGAGATTAAATCCCAGCTAAGTACACAGACCACATGTATACCGATAGAAGGACTGCTAGGTGATGTCACAGAGGAGGAATGTGTACAATTATTCAAAAACGAAAACTCCACAATTGAGGAAGATTTACAGCGCATTTCTTTGCAACAGACTTCCAAGATTCAAACAATAGAGAAAGACTTCTTAAATATACCGAAGCAGGTCGATTTGGTAATTCGAACTAAAGTATTCGAGTATATCAACCGATTTTTAATACCGCATATGGAGAAAAAAATAAGGATTTGGGACGATCAAATATTAGCACCTAAAAAATCAATTGCTGGTAGGTTTTTTTCTGTTTCCAAGAAGCTTTTTAATAATAATGATTCGCCATCTAATCAAAGCTCAAATTCATCTTCAGAATCATCATTCAATTATAACGAGAATTATTATCACAAGCATTCTGCAGAACAGAAAATTCGTAAATTGGCAGACTGGTCATTGATACTAAAGGATTTTAAATATGCATACTCAACCTATGAATTGATCAGAAAGGATTATACCAATGATAAGGCATGGGTTTATGTTGCATCTACTCAGGAAATGTGTATTGTATCGTTGTTGTTGACCCAAACCCAGCAAATTAACCAAACTACAATCAGACCAGATAGAAATACATTAAGGAAAATCAGACATGATATAATTGAGCCTTATTTGGATAACTTGTCATATACTTTTAAGTCAAGACTAAACTTGAGAAGTTATAGTATTAAAACTTTGTTGGTTATTATTGAATTGCTTCTTTGCATGTGTTCCACATTCAATATTTCTTGGTGGTGGAATGATTTAATCGAAAAATACCTTTGTAAATGCATTAATGAATTCGATAGTCATTTGATAGGTAATAATCAAAATCTGCAAGTAATAAGAGCTTTATTATACGAGAGATTAGGATATCATTTTGGCAAATGTATTTTATTAAACGAGCAAAATAGAAGCTTGATTGATACATCTAAATTAGAGACAAGCAAAGAGACGAGAAAAGACATGGAGAATGAAATAAACGAGAAAAATGATGTGAAAAAAGAGGATGGAGAGGACAACAAAGAAGAAGGATATTACGTCAATCATAACAAATTACCGATAAATAAAAATAATAACATTGTGGGATTAACGAGATTCAGAAAATCTTCAATATGGTATTTATTATCCATTAAAGAATGGCTAATACTAGAAAATTATAATCAAATTGAGTACTTGATACAGAATATTAGATACAATTACAATATTAATGACTTTACTAATGAATGGTATGATAGAAACGATTTACTATTGAGTTATGTTAAAAATTGTTTGAACGAGCATAATTTAAATGATACTCAGGATTCGTGATAATAGATCGCTTATGAATAAATGTCAACTAAATATTTTACAACTACTTATTTAATGCTAGAAATGAGATGTTAGTTATATAAATATTTACTGTTTAAACCCACTTTAGTTATTGTTTCATAGGGGTACTCAGAAACAATTCGCTATTCCAATTCTTTTAATGCTAATTTTCTTCTTTTATCCATACTATTTTTTATACCAACTTTTGTCTTCTGATTACTTACTAGCCAGTCCCAAACAGTCTTTAATTTGGAGCCAGCATTACGAATTGGCGAAACATCTTGAGCACCTTTCAACGAAGATAAGCCAAATAAATTTGATTGTAAATTATCAATATCTTCAAACATTAACTTGTCTGTATCATCTTCTTCATATTCTGGAAAATCTTTTTCGTTTAAAATCTCATAGTGTGTAAAAATATTAAAGATTAATGTTGTAGGTACTTTCATTAATAGTGACAAAGGAGCCGGGAAGAAAGTGTAGAAAGAAAATTGTTCTGATCTATCACCACGTAATGGAACACTATCAAGATGCAAGGATGATGTACGGTTATCAATAGCATTAGTTTTATTACTAGTGTTACTGACAGGAGTGAATTTAAATTTGCTTTTATTAGACTTCTTTCTGTTGAGCGCAAATGGTAACAAGTAGGATTCTCTTTCGTTAGTACCTATTTTGAAAAATCTTAAGTAAGTCCAGCTTATTATGAAATCCATGAGACTTAAAATAAATGATATCTTGAAATCGTCACTTAATAATTGTAATGAGAAACATGCAACAAGTAATAAAAATGGTAAATACGAAACACGTATTCGAAGATTACCTTTGAAGAATAGGAAATAGTGATTAGAAATTCTTTGCTTAATGGCAACAAATAATCCCATATTTATTCCCATAGCTGATATTACTACTGGTGGGGTAGTATCAAAATGGAATATCATCGAATTGATTGTATAGTACAAATAAATTGAAACATTAGTTACAACAACATTTATCAATATAAACTTAGAGTATTCCCTTGAACCCCACATGTTCTCTAAGTATTTCCCTAGGTAGAATAGTAGCATAAAACTCATAGTCAACCCAATGAAGTTTTCTTCTATAAAGCTACTTGTTAAAATCACCCAAGGCCTTGTAATAACAGGTGATTTCGTAGGAATAAATGTTAGCAATGGAACAAATAATTCATGAGGATGTGGTATGTCCCCAGTTTCTTGAGCAATAGCGTTTGCGTCAGATGTTAGTTTCTTGGATGATGAAACTATTAGAACAAAATAGGTATAATATTTTAAAATAAAGTTTAGAAACGAAAGCGAAAGTAGAACGACTAGAAGAATACTAGTAACTTTTGGAACTTTCATGCTAGCTCAAAATACCATTGATAATTTATCTTATGAGTTGCTCAAGGTTATATATGTTAAAGGTGGTGTTATTGATCGATCCAAAGAATCATTATGTGCAAACCACGAAAACTTTGGAGCCTCAAATAAAAATCGAATAGTAATACGACGGATGAATTGAAACACTTTTAGTATGTTTAAAATAATACATAGATCTGGTATCGCTAATAGGCGTTTCCTTAACATAAATAATTTGATTACTAAAAATGTACATAAAGCTACGAATGATATTCATTATCAAATAAGAAAGAAGCCTACATTTCGAGACCTCGTGAAAGCTCCAATTTTTAAGTCTATATTTTTAACGATTGTGTTCGGTACGGCAATAGTCGGATTAATAGACAGTCGTAGAGAATTAGAGACTTTGGAACAAACGTATGATTCAAAATTTGTTATTTTGGAGGAAATCATTTCTAAATTAGAAAGAGGTGAAAATGTTGATATTCATCGTGAATTGAAATTGGTAAATAAATTGACCAAAAACAAGTACAACACTGTTACCGATATTGAACTAGATGAGCAGTTAGATGAAATATTAAAAATGACAGAGAGTGAAAGTGATGAGATACGAGAGGAATCCAGGGATTCAGAAACGAAGAAATATGATAAATCACAAATTGAGACGAACAAATTCTTGTAAATTTAGTTCTATAATGTAAATAGCATCAATAATAATAGCTTATGAAGATTGTGTAAAATATATGGCACTAATTATAAAATAGTTATTAAAACATATATAAGTAAAAATTAAATACACCCAAGAAATAAAATGTGGAACATTAGATTGTTACACAAGAGATACTTTTCTAATCGTTCTTCTGTGACTATCACCTGCTTCAATGACTTTTCCTTCTTGTTGCAATCTTTTGATTGCATCATTGATATCTTGATTTTCCACTCTGAACGATGTTTTTTCATTAATTTTTACCACTAAATCAGTGAATCTTATTGAGTTATTGTTTTCCTCTATAACATTCATGATCTCATGTGTTAAATCTTCTTGTATCTTTCTTTGGGCTGCTGTGGTACCGGTTTGCACCATATCCATATCAATTCTACCAGTTATTGGATCAGTTGCATAGTCTTTAATGGCAGATTTAATTAACCTAACTGCTTCTTTGACATCAATTAATTCGACACGTTCAGATAGTCTCATTTTAGCATGCGCTTCAGATAATCTTATCATAGATTCTAGCTGTCTTGTTGTTGCTGTTACTCTCCTTTCAGACGACCTAGTATCATCACCTAACTTTCTCATCTCTACGTAAGCTCTAACGAGTTCATTTTTACCTTCTTCTGTCATGACTGGATTATAATTTTCCTTTGCATACTGAATGTAAGAAGTTAAGAATTCAACAGGTAAGACAAAGTTATTTGTAACCTTTTCAGGAGTATCTTCCAAGTACATATCAGTTAAATGCCTTGCCAATTGTCTATCAATTTTTTCATCAACCTTATCTAAAATCAAGTATACTAAATCAAATCTGGATAATAATGGAGGTGGCAAATCAATATTAGAAGTAACTGGCAAATTTGGGTCATATCTCGAGTTAATTGGATTAGCAGATGCTAAAATAGATGTTCTGGCATTTAACGTAGTAATAATACCTGCTTTAGCAATCGAGATAGTTTGTTGTTCCATAACTTCATGTAAAACTGATCTCGTACTATCACTCATTTTGTCAAATTCATCAATACAACAGACACCACCATCAGATAATACCAAAGCACCACTTTCTAAAACCAATTGCTTGGTGTCAATATCTCTAGTAATATAGGCCGTCAAACCAACTGCCGAGGAACCTTTTCCTGATGTGTATACCCCTCTAGGTGCAATTTTATGTACGTATTGCAATATTTGAGATTTAGATGTAGACGGATCACCACACAATAAGATATTAATATCACCTCTATACCTACCACCTTTTTGAAAGGTTTTGTTGGTACCTCCAAACAATTGCAAAAGAATACCCTTTTTCACATCATCCATTTCATAAATTGAAGGCGCTAGAGATCTAGCTAAGACTTCATACAAATCATCTCTTTCAGATACTTCCCTAATTTCATTAATTTCTTCTGATGATAATTTCCTGATTTGGTCTACTTCTTGTTCTTTGTCTGACGCTTCTTGGTCTAATGTACTAACATCAGCCCCGAGTCTCTTTTTATCGATCTTTTTAACGTGTACAACATCCAAATAGGTCTTGTATAAATTTTTAAGAGCTCTCTGTCTTGAGTTGGCTCTCACAGGTAATGATCTGAAAATACCACAAACTTCAACACGGTCCCCAGCACGACAGCAATCCACTAATTCATCATACACGCATAAATTGATAGAATGAGGAGTTTGTCCATCTGGAACTAAATCTGGTGTCTCCTGCAACTTGATGACTTGCTTGTCTGCAAATGATGATCTATTGTGAACTATCATCATCGAGTTTGTCTGACCACAAACTTCTCTTGGACATTTAGTTGGTTCGGAGATAACACCTCTATCAATTTCGACTGCAATGGTATGATCACAGGCATTACATTTAAAAAAAGCGACCTTCATATCTGGAATAATTGATGTTGCCCTCAAAACCAAACCTTTGACACTAACTAACTTATCTATATCATTTGGATTTAATTCTCTCATGCCCTTTTCAACAGCATTTAAATTATATGGACGAATAGTATAAATATTAGTCTCAATATCGTCAATGCTAGCATTGCCTGTGGTTAGCTCATTATTATCCATGATTAATGACACCATACAATCCTTAACTGTTTGATCCATAATCGGTATGACTTCTTGAGGATAATTGATTAATTGATAATACAACTTTTTAGTAGCAGGATAGGATAATAAGTTCTTAGCATCCAAGTTAAGATTGGTGAATCCTAAATCTCTCATGTTATTCAATTTATTAATGTAATATAAGTTGCTATCTTCAGGGTCTATCGACCTGTCATCCATAATCTTTCTGTATTTGAATTTGAAGTTCATCAAAAAATCTCTGAACGCATTAGAGCAATCTTGAATAGAAACATTAGTACCCCAAATAACTCTCACTGGCTCATCATTTCCTTCCATTGGATCAGTATTGAAATGTGAAGATGAAGAATGCATATTTATTCCATCACTATTTCCAGTATTAGATTCTGTGAAAATTCTTCTACGCATGGGAGATGAATTAGTGTCATGCAAATCACTTCTATTATGTCTTCTTATAATTCTATCAACATCACTTGTTAATCTGTCAGATCTAGGTCTTCCTGAGCTTATTCCATTTCCTCGAGGAGCATCAGAAGTATGATGAACCGAAGAACTGTAGTTTAATGGAGATGACACATCTCTCCTTTGTGATTGTGAATTTGGAGCATTAGCTTCGGATTGTGGATTGGACGATGATGTAGCAAAAAATAATGGTGATGATGGAACTGCTGCCGGATTACCTTGTGTTTGAGATTGTGACTCGGTTTCCTTCAAGCTTGGATCTTCGGGGAGATCATTAACATCACGAATTGGAGAAGATGACATTACTGAATATTTTGTTTAATAGCAAGTTATCAATCTTTTACGGTTTATAGATATTAGATATAATATAAATTTGCAAGAGCTATTTAACGGTGAGCAAAAAAAAAAGAGACGCGTAAATAATTAATTTACCTAATTGGGATTAATTTACCTGTTGTAGTCTTCCTACTCACTATCTTTAATTCCTCCTTCGCCGATAACATATACACACTCTTTTTCGGCCATATCAGGGCTATCTTGCAACTTTGCAACTCTTTCTTCTCCTCTTCCTTTACGAAGGAGTATTCTGGTGGCAGAAGCGTGGGCCAAAATATGACCTCCAACGGGCTTCCTACCATCTGCTGATGCGAACAAGGAACTTGCACCTGGATCAGATTGGACTTGATTGGTGAGGAATACGGCGACATTATAGTCTTCTGCTAGTCTGATTAAGCTCGACAAATGTTGGTTCAATTTTTGCTGTCTGTCATTTAATTCACCTCTACCTGAGTAATCGACCCTGAAACACGCCATAATCGAATCTACAACTAGCAATCTATACGTACCATCAGCAAATTGCAACCCTAATTGTTCGGCCAATTCCGTTTGATGTTCACTATTCAATGCTCTGGCGTAGGAAATGTTTTCAAGACAAGCATCAGGATCAACTTGAAATCTTTCCGCAATTGACCTAATTCTGTCAGGCCTGAACGTTCCTTCTGTATCTATATAGGCAACTTTCCCTTCGCTTCCTCCCATATCTTTAGGAAGTTGGGCAGTAACGCATAGTGTGTGACATAACTGAGTTTTACCACACCTAAATTCACCAAACACTTCGGTAATACTCATGGACAGAACTCCACCACCTAAAACATCATCTAACTGCTTAGAACCAGTACTCACATTAAAAGCTCTACTTCTAAGTTCTGCCTGAACAGTTGCAGGTATAAACCCAGAATGCTACATTAGTTAGTATGCGTGATTTGTTAGCGCTCATTTTTTTTACGTACCATAAGTTTGCCAGCTGCTTCCTTGATTTTTTCAACCTTTACTTCACTTAATCCTTTGATCTTACACATATTCCTCCGAGTTGTCGACAAAACTGACTATTTATGTTAGTGAATTTTTTTGGATGTAGTGTTTTATTTATTATGGGTACGTACCGCTATTGAACAAACGCCCGCCGCTTTTAATTTGGTGATATCTCCAGCATTAATTCCATGGCTTTGTAATTCATCCACATTGATAATAGTTCCTGCTCCTTGAGCTTCGATTTCGAATGTCATAATCTAAATGCTTAAAGAAAATGATTAGAGATGTAAGAAAGACAAGAGCTTTTTTGCAACAGTTTCTATCTCTTTGAAGTTCGCGATTATAGAATCGAATGTTTACGTTTCTCAAATTTAAAAAACATACAGTATTCATATTGCTATATGGTAACTTATTTAGTGCCAGTATTAAAAAATGCCTCCAAAACTCTTGGAAAGTACAGAAAGTACGAATAATTATCCCAATATTGAAAAGTTGAAAGAAAAATATTCACCTCAAAAGAGGATTCCACCGCCTTCAAGAGGTCCTTCAGAGTCATTTTCTAAGAATTACAAGGTGTTTGCTACAGCACCTAAGAGAAATGGAACAATAAGAAATCCGAGAAACATTAATGGTATTGAAAAACAGGATTTAACTATCAATTTATTGGCACCACCCATACTGGCATCTAGAAATAGCTCGCCTGAAATTAGAAGCGATGATAGTTTAAGTTCCAATGGACCAAAAAGATTATCAACTAGCGGAGGACTTTCGCCAATAAGGAGAAGTGGTTCACCTGTGAGAAGACGACATATATCAGAAATTGAACTGGAATTGAATCATGAATCAATTAAGGGGAACACAGAAACTCATGAAAGAGTTGGTTCATTAGGAGAAAAGGCAAGATACCAAGAATCTCAAGCTACCAAGAGACAAAAGGTTAGCTTCAATAATGAAGTAGAGTATAATGATACTTTTACAACCTCCAGTTTAAACGATGACATTGACTTACATACAGCTACAATACTGGACTCTAAGGTGCGAAATTACAATAATGAGAAGATAAAATCTACTATAACAGAAGGACCACAGGAAAAAGCGAACGTACGAGTGAACGTCCTGAATATGAGCAGGGCAGCAAGAAGTGATAGATTCATGGAGGAGGTAGATTTAAGGTTGAAATCTCTTGAGGATACTCAAAAGGAGTTATTAGATATACTATCTAAATCTACAGCGGAATCAGATACTATACAAAGAATTAATAAATTACAAGAATCGATGATTCAATTGCATAACTCTATAAAACGTGGCACTTAATATACACGAAATTGACACTGGGTCTAAAATTCGATATTTTTTGTAGTCTGAGCATTGGCTTCGTCCTTCGAATCATCCTCAACTGGAATACCCCATTCTTCAATCTCAAACTTCTTTCTGCCGTTCTTAAACGCATACTCTCCATCATGTATCATCATTAAACCTCGCTCAGACAAAACAGGCAATTTTATAATATTAACTAAACCTTGTTGAATCTTTGAAGGTTCATTTTTATAAGCTTTTTCGATCAACAGCATCATCTCTTGGTTGAAAGGCTGCAAATGAATAACCGAATCCATAATGCTCTCAATCATTAATGTTAAATGAGTGTCTCTTGGATACAAGTCTAAAGGTAACGAGCAAATCAAGACCAAATTGTTCGAATATTTACGCAAAATTGAACGTAAAGAATGAACAAATGGAAGAATGAAAGTTGAGTTTGAGCATGATGGGTTATAGATGGATGGATTCAACATATTAGGGATGACAAGCCTAATTATTTTAGTAGGATTCGACCTGAGTTGATTTTTAATGAGAGTCATAATTTGTTCAATTATTTGATTATAGTCATTGGATAATGGAACAAAAGAAATATCTTGATGACTTGGTCCTGGTACTAACTTTTGGGTGATATCAAATTGATTATTATAAAATTCATAAGTGGTTTGATTATTGGTATCTTGGGTTTCGGGTTTTTTATTCAAACCATACCTCCAAGCGATTTTCATATCCTTTTCGTTTCTTGCTCCACCATTTATAGCTAAGTTGCTAACACTGACCTTCGATTCATTTTCTAAAATTTTTGCTTTCTTTTGTTCTTTTGACGAACCTTTGTATAAGCCAGGTAATTCACTGGCCCACTGGGACGTTAAACCCACAACTATGACATGTGAGTGTAAGCGATCTTTCTCAATTCTATTATGTATAACCCCCTGTGACGAAAAAGATCTTAAAATTACTGAAGCAAAATCAGTGGATCCCGATTCTTCTATAATTAACGAACTACCTAAAGGTAAACCTTGGTGTAATAAAATCTTGTCCAAATCAGATCCACCAGTTGAGACTGTTGGCTGTGAAGTTATCAGTGAGGGCCTGACACTTGGATTTGTCATTATAGAAGCGATATCTTCTTTTTCTTTCTCTTGAGGAGATGCTGTTCTATTCGAGGTGGGAATCCTGCCACCGGTTGGAGGGATCCTACCACTTGCCCCAACCATAGAGCCTGGAGGCGCCCTACCTGGAACAGGGTTTATTGGACGAGTATTCACAGGAGTTCTACCGGGTACAGAAGGGGTGCCAATTACTTCACTTCTTTTCCTAAATGACATTTTTGTATATGATTTATACCTACTTCAATCTTTCGTAGATAGCATTTTTATTTAAATGATGAGTTGAGATTTAAACCTCGGGCACCATAACCATGAATTTTTAAGAGACACCTTTTTGTAATGAAAACATGCTTCCAATACCACTCAAATCTCCTGGTATGAAGCATTACACGTCAAGTCTAACCAGAGCCATTGAGGATTATTACTTTTTGTATTATTGACTTTGGGGAATTGTTAAACTTTAATCATTGTGGATGCAAAAATCTAAGAATAAAGACAACAATCCAATGTTTGCTTAAAAAGCTAGTTAGTAACTATTACTATATCTACTACATTTTATGAGTTAATGAGACAATTTGATTTGGTGACCATCATTTATTAGCCCACTTATGGTCTGCTTTCTAATGTTACAGTTTGACTTCTTTATTGTCAAATAAATATATATTCTTTCTCCCAACTCTTTCAAATTGCCCGTAAACCAAAAATAAGGCTTTTTATCCTCTTTTTGGAAGCCTACCGATTCTTAAAATCCAGAGCTGAGTTTGGTATAACTTATATTAGTTCAATATCCCACCAAAATATTATGGTGTGCATATAAAATTGATATCGATAAAAGAATAAAATTCGGTCATAAAGGGTATTCAGTATAGTAATAGATAGCTATTAATACAACTATGGGTGCAGCGATATCTTTGCCACTAATTCCTATATCATCGCTAGCTTCATGTTGTGGAGCTGCCGCGTGTTCAGCATTGTGTACTTCAATAGGAGGTACATTTCAATCTTCAATAATGACAAGAATTTCCTATGCATTTATTTTGTTACTTAACTCATTATTTTCATGGGTAGCTTTGTCTCCATTTATAGTCCATAAACTAGAGAAGGCATCATTTGGGTTTATAAATAATAAATGTGGTCCAGATGGGGGTGAATGTATTAGTTTTACGTCCGTTTACCGTATTAACTTTGCTTTGGGAATACTTCATCTTATATTAGCGGGCTTACTTGTGAATGTTAAGTCTACTTCCAATCCTAGAGCAGTTATACAAAACGGATGCTGGAAGATGAAAATATTTGCCTGGCTAAGCTTGATAACGGTAAACTTCTTATTGATTCCTGATAACTTCTTCATATTTTATGGTAACAATATCGCTATTATCTTTTCGACTATTTTTCTTGGTATCGGATTAATTTTATTAGTTGATTTTGCTCACGCTTGGGCGGAAACTTGTTTAGAGAAAATAGAAATGGAAGATTTAACAGGGGAAGGCGAATATAACGCAGGGTTTTGGAAGAAATTGTTAATTGGTGGTACGTTGACAATGTACATATCCAGTATCATTTTGACTGTCATCATGTATTGGTTTTTTGCAGGTAGTGGCTGTAACATGAACAGGACTGCAATTACTTTGAATGTAATCTTTGGAATTATAATTTCTATAATGTCTGTAAATCAAACCATTCAAGAGTCTAATCCGCATGCTGGCTTGGCACAATCATCGATGGTTGTCATATACTGTACCTACTTGGTAATGAGTGCAGTGTCTTCAGAGCCAGATGACAAATACTGCAACCCTCTAATTAGATCTAAGGGTACAAGGACGGCAAGTGTCGTCTTAGGTGCGTTTTTTACATTTATTGCCGTTGCATACACTACAACTAGAGCAGCAGCCAACTCAGCGTTTATTGATTTCGATACTGCTATCGATACCACTGATGGATACATAAGCTCGCAGCCTAATGTTCGTAATGAAATGAGATACCAAGCCATAAAGCAAGCTGTTGACGAAGGCCTGTTACCTGAAAGTGCCTTGAATCAAATGAATTTGTATGACGATGAACTGAACGCTGAAAATGGCAACGACGAAGAAAGAAACACAGTAAAATATAATTATGCATTGTTCCATGTAATTTTCTTCTTAGCTACGCAATATGTGGCTACGTTATTAACTATAAATGTTCAACAGGATGATTTGGGTGACTTTGTTCCAGTTGGCAGAACTTACTTTTCTAGCTGGGTTAAAATCGTGAGTTCTTGGGTCTGTTTTATATTGTATGGATGGAGTCTTATTGCACCAGTATTATGGCCGGATAGATTTAGCGTCCATTTGTGATTTAGTATGTATAAGAAATGTGTAGCTGGGATTGCGACTATTTTCCCAAAGAAGAAGTCTATCTTTTCAATAATGTAATTGGCCGAACTTGCGTTTTGTGTAAGTTCGAGAAATTGAATTTTGAAAATTTCAAAGCGAACCGTTATAAGGTTGAATAATAAAATTTTATAATCATACAAGGATCCGTGTAAATTATACCATGTCTGCCATTATTACCAAAGCCACCAACACCTTTAACGGTTTAGTCAACAAGTCCACTCAATTTGTTAATTGCGCTACTTACTGGGGTAAAGTCAGTGCCGAAGTTGGTAAAATTGTTTATAAAAGTGAAGGATTAGCACCACCAACACAACAAAACTTCCAACAGGTTTACCAAAATGCATTAAAGTTCATCAAGTCTCCACAACAACAAAAGGACTTTGTTGCCAAGGCTGCTCAATTTAAACCAACCAAAGAATGTGCTGTTAAGGCTGCTGTTTATGGTACCCAATTGTTAGGTTTCTTTTCTGTTGGTGAAATAATCGGTAGAAGAAGAGTTTTTGGTTATCCATCGGTAGGCGCCCACCATTAAGTTACATAAATTAAATTGTTGACGGTATTTATCTTGTCTGTGTATTCTATCAATGGGCCTATACATATATTATAACATTTTAGATGAGGAGCATGATCACAGCTAACATTTACTAAGTATTTTTTTTATCTGCTTGTTCTGTACATTCTCTGTTTATTTGGTTTCTATTAGACTTGTCTTCTTGATGGAAATTTTGGAGGTAGGCTTATTTATTTCTTGAAATATACATATATCATGGTTTTATATCCCAGAAGCATAATGCGAAAATATTTATTAGTAGTAATAATAATATACACCTTAAATTAATTAATTATTTAATCTTCAGTATGCAGCTGGGCTTCGTGTTTTCTCCTTTTAGAAGCTTCAATCATTTCTTCCCTTTGTTTTCTCTTTTGTTTCATGACTTTTGGAACTGTACTGATCTGCTTTCTCTTAATTTCATGTTTCTTTACGTCTTTCTTTTCGTTCTTAGTCAACTTATGCATATCTTCCATCCATTCACTATATCCACTTTCGCAACCAGACTGCTTCATTACATTGATAATGGGTTTGACAGCTTTGTCATCTTCTTTTGTAAAGAAAGTTACAGCTTTACCGGATTTACCACCTCTACCAGTTCTACCAATTCTGTGAACGTACGCCTGTGCACTTTGTGGTACATCATAATTTATCACCAAGTTAACACCTTTGAAATCCACACCTCTAGAAATAACATCTGTCGTAATTAGAACCCAAATGTCACCACTCTTAAATCTTTTAATGGCTTCATCTCTTTGCTTTGGAGTTCTTTCGGCATGAATGACATCAACATTCAACCTGTCATACAATAATTCATGAAATAACGCTTTTGCTCTGGTAATGGACTGCAAGAAAATAATAATTGGTGGTTTAAATTCCCCTTGTTGTATCATCTGCCTTATCGCTAACAATTTACCCTCTTCTTTACCAGTGAATACTAATTTTTGTTCAATAGTATTACTGGCAGCTTCTTTATGACCAATGATTACTCTGATAGGGTCTTTCATTATTGATTGGGCCATTTCTTCGACACCCGAAGGAATAGTTGCAGAAAACATTGATTTTCTCAATTTAGCATTTGTACAGTTAGATAAAATTTCATCGGTCTGTTCGACGAAGCCTTGGTCAAATAACTTATCTGTTTCATCTATGACTAATTGCTCAACCCTTGACAAACTAATTGTTTCGTTTTTGATACTATCAATTAATCTTAATGGAGTAGAAACTAAAATATCGTATTTGTTAGAGTTTACAATTTTATTATTGATTTTGTTGGCTAATTGCTTTGATAATATACCAATTTTCATTTTCTTACCCTTTGTCATCGTTTCGAGTTCTTGGAATATTTGTACCGCCAATTCGTTAGTAGGAGATATAATTAACCCTCTAATACCATAATTCTTAACATTAGGGTTAGATTGTAATATGGTCTGAACTAAGGGAATTAAGAATGCTAATGTTTTACCAGATCCTGTGGGTGCACATGCTATTAGGTCTCTGCCTTCCAATGATATAGGAATTGCTTCATCTTGAATTGGGGTTGGTTCTGTAAAACCAGCGTCTATTAAGTTTGACAACAACTTCTTATCCAACTTGTATCTCCCAATTAAATCTTCGAATGAGCCAATAGGTAACGGAATGTCATCTCCACTGACTTTAGATTTATTAAGCTTACGCAATTTACGGGCATCCTCATCACTGGATATCGTCAACGGTGGAATGTCATCTTCTATTTCATCATCTTCATCTTCTTTTCCCTTTTCATTTTCTTTATGACTGCTGTGTTTCTTGGTATGAAAAAAATCAACTTCTTTTTCAACCAAGTTTTTCAAACTCTCTTCTTTTTGCTTTTCATTAACAAATTGCTTCCTTGATGGTACAGCATAATCAGTTGTAATATCCTTACTCTTCTTAAGGGATGCTCCCCTTGACAATATTCTAAATATATCCATGCTCTTGCCTAAGTTGTCTCTATTATTGATGGCTTGATGGGCTTCTCTTACTTATGTCTAAAAAAATTTATAGCAGCATGAGCCTCATCATCGTGGATACTAGCCACAAAAAATCTAAATATTACATAATGAATTTTGTAATCAATTTGGCCGAAAAATTGATGAAAATTTCCATCAAAGTAGAAAACGACATAGCTAGTACCAATAGTACTGTAGTGGTATAAACTTAAGAAGTATTATGAGTATACGACAATTAACCTCTTTGAGGGGGTTCAATATGAGAAACTCCTTGAGGATCAATCCAATAAGAAATATTTATTTGCATAAGGGAGAAAGAGTTGCAGGACTCAAGAGAGACCCAGAAGAAGTTTTCACCACAAACAACGGGTATAAGTATGGCAAAACAGAAGGAAATTTAAAACATATCAAGGACTTCTTACCAGAAAAATACAGCATATCCGATGACTTGGCTTTACAAGTTTTAACCCACAAGTCATTTGGTAATGGGATCAAACCATACAACGAAAAATTAAGTGCCATGGGATCGAAGATTTTGAATTTGTTCTGTGCCAAACTAGTTACAGATAAGACAACCACCAACGAAAATGCCATAAATGGGAAGAACTTGGACTGCTTAGGATCGCCAATTGCCAAAGAGCTTTCAGGCCGTATGTCTTTAGGGTTACTTGCAAAAACTACCAATTTAAACAGAATAATGTTCTGGAAATCGTACAACCATGAATTGAGTTTTGAATCTAGCGGAGAAATGAAGGTGAGTGCCCAGATGATGTATGCGTTGATTGGTGCAATCACATTTACTCATGGAAAAGAGGTAGCAGAAGCTTTCATCAGAGAAAAATTGTTCGATACTGAACCTTCCATTGAAGACATCACAGCTACTATAGTTGGTCAATCAAAACAGTCATAATCGTATAACCTCATATCATCTTTTCCTATATATGTACATAGAAGTGTAATTAGATTTATTAAATACTATGATTTGCACATAAAATTTAAATTTATAGAACACACCGTGATATATAAGAAGTTTTCGACGACCACATATGTACATATAATGATATATGTATGTTGTTTAACTTCTTTATTGTTCTTATACGCTGAGAACAAGACTTGAACCACGGAAAAAAAATCGTACGCGCTTGCTTCACGTCGATTTTTTTTTAACAAATGCTACTCGTAAGAAAAATTCCGTCTTTTTAACAGATTTTAATAGACTTTTAATATTACTAAGTAATAAGTTGCAATAGGGTAGGTGTTAATTCCAAAAACCATAGTATGAGTGAAAAGGGTTTGGCAGAACACTATAAAGTATTAAAACAATTTTTGGTAATCTCGGATGATCTGAGCACCAGAACTAAAACTAATTCGACTAGAGCGGCTAGAGCTAGAGAAAAACTCTTAAAATTATCTAGCGCTCAGTTTAGAGAATTAAGTACTGATGTGTATGATGAACTAAAAAGAAGAATTGACGAGTCTAGAGGTGAACCAGATTATTTATTGCCAAAATCAACATTTCATCCGAAAAGAAATCAAGCTAGACAAAAATTGTCTTCATTGCCTCAATCTAGGTTTAAAGATTTAGTATCAGACATTTCGTTCGAAATTGAGAGAAGAGATTTACATCATGTAACTACTACGGACATAAATAATAGTAATCATTATGCAAGCAGTGATAATAATAAGTCATTAAACCAAGGTGCCCAAGAAAACGGACGCGAAATAGAGAACAGTAACAATATACATGAAAATAACAATGAACATATCAATAAGGGAGATCTTGAGAAGGACGAGGAAGTTAAAAATTCTGCGAAGCGGTCTAACTCGTCGGAGCTATTAAATCAAACGATAGGAGTGCAGCCCAAAACAGTGATTCCAACCAAAGCAAATTTGACTTGGTCCAGTGACGAAGAAAATGACGACGATCAACCAGAGATAAATAGCCTGGACATACTCGTTGATGGTGACAGAGCTGTTAATAGAAGCTTAGATAATCAAAGTGATAGGTCATTAAACCAAAAGGGTCCTGATTTGAATGGAACCATCTCTGAGTTGAGAAATCGTTTAGAAAACATCGAGTACGAAAAAATGCAACTTCAAGAGAAATATGATTTACTCAAAAGTGATTATGAGTATTCAGCTTCCCAGAATAAAACGCTCAGCGATGAAATGGAGAATTTGAGCGAAGAAAAAAATAGCTGGTTAAAAAACAAGTCTGATTATGAAAGAGAGCTAAAGACTTTGCAATCTGAGGCTAGCTCTAGATCGATAAATGAAGCAAAAAATAATGATCTATTACTTGAATTAGAAAATTTAAAGGCAGCGAACGCAAGTTTACGATTGGAAAATCATTCATTGAAAATCACTTCACCAAGAGAAGTAGTGACTTCTCGTGAGGCAGCTACTTCCCCTCAAAGATCCATTGCAAGTACTAGAGAGACGCCTGCTTTCACCTCTTTGAATGCATTAAATGAAATTAGTAGTACATCTCCTCAAAGATCGGACGCTACTTCGAAGGATATTTCTCTGAATCTTTCTTCGCATACCTCGAATGACGTGAAGAAAGATATGGAATTATTTTTTGAAAAATTATCCGATTTAGATTCTGCTGCAGTTAAAAGTAAAAATAAGACCCCGTTGCCTGATAACAATGCTGCTTTATGGCAAGGAAGATACGAAACTTTGCGATCCAATCAAATTTCAAGTTCTTTAAAGAAATCTGTTTTGTCCAGAAATGAATTGAAAATGTTGATTACTCCATCGGGATTAATTTCCATGAAATTAGTGACCGATTTGCAAGCACTAGTAGAGAGCTTTTTGTTGAATATAAACGATCCAAACCCTGTCCCCGACGTGTTATTTGACAAAATATCAAAGATTTCTTTGCTTGGTAATGAAATTGCGAACCAAGGAGACAAACAACATTTGAATAGTAATGAAAACTCTATTTGTCTTCGAGAAGCAGTTAGTTATGCTCTTACTGCTACAAGGTATTATGCTATTTTTTCTGATATTCTTCCAAAAATAGTTGTTGAACAATCACTTGGGGAAGTTTGCTTTACCGTTTGTGAGTTGGTTTCCGTTTCAAAGTTGAATGAAAACTCCACAGACACAAGAAATATCTACCAAGAGCCTATTCATGCTCTGAATGAAAAAGCTAGATATGATGAATCAAATGCAGGAGACAGTGATATAAATACTGCTGTTAGACCTTTGAAAATGGCTAGCAAATTACGTGAATATCAAAACCAAAGCTTTAATAGTGCTGAAAAAGAGGTCGAATCTTCTTCCACGCCTACAAAGGGCTTAGATGAAAATTCAATAATAGATCCACTGAATGTAACACCTACTAAAAATAGAGAGTTGGCACAACCAAAAACGAATCATCTTGATTCAGCATATGCTTCCCAATCCAATGACTTATCTCCAGTGAGAAGAGGAATCATTCCAACTGAGTTCGCTTCCACCCAAGGCTTGTTGAACAAACCAAATCCTAGTCCGAAAAGTCGAAATATAAGTGCTTTGGCTTCTAAGTTCGAAAGCAGTAATGATATACCAGAGGAAACTGTATTATCAAACTCATATTCTCCATTATCAAAAAAACAGAGTAATTCGAATCTATCATATTCGGAATCCAAGGAAATTGATCCAAATGTGATTTCAAACAAGATGAATGCCACTCCAACAAAAAGATCTAATATTCTTGATAGAGTTAAACAGTTCGATAGTCCAACGAATGAAAGGTTAAACAACTATAAAAGTAAAATTAACAGTCCAACCAATGACCAAAACAATATCCTGACGAATAGTGACATGGACCAATCACAAGTCAATGAACTGAATGAAGATGTTAATAACAGCTTTTTAGTAAGTCGCTCCTCTTTAGAAATTAGACAACAAGGCCAAGAGGATAGGTCAGACTCAGCTTTAAGCTCTCCTCGATTAGATAAGGTAAATGAAAATGAATCAATTGATTCCAAGGTCAACACAGGAGCGGCCGTTACAGGAGCAGCAGCCGCTGCTGCCGGAACAGCTTTTGCTGGGTCTAGAAGCAAAGGGTTGTTTCAAAGTATAAGGAATAGGATTGCTCCAGGATCCGATAAAAATTTAACAGCTGATATCAATAACGAAGAGAAAAGCAATGCTAGTACAGATTCCAAAGGAATGCCAGATGCTGAAATAAATTCCCCAAATACTTCAAACGACACGGCCAGCAATCTCCCTGAATTGAATACAGAATTGGAATCAAAGTCGATAGTATCTGATAATGCATACGACGCAAGTACCGTTGATGTTTTGCTGCAAAATAACAAGAGCGATGGGACAGAAATTGAAACTGCCAAACCAAAAAGCTTCGACGATGCTAAAACGAATGGAAATCTTTACAATGCTCCACAAGAGAGAGATACTAATATGAATTTATCTAATGCTAGCAATAAAGAACCAGTCAAAAGGGGAGTCAATTTTGTGAATGATGTGAATACAACACAAGTTTCTGATGAAGAATCTATATCTGGCTCTGAATCTGATGATAATGAACATCCCGAAGAAGCTCAGGCAAGGCAAAGACAAGAGTATCGTAAATCCATGGCAGCTGCTACTTTCAATGTTGATCTTTTCGATATCGACGATCCAGATAATACTTTAACGCAAGTTTTACTTTACTTAGAACACCAAACGGTTCAAGTTATTTCAACAATTCAGTCATTATTATCTGCTATTAAGAAGCCTAGTGCGACTAGAGGTGACTTGAGACAAAAGTCAATAGCTATTACTGAAGTAATATCACAAATGACAGAAGCTACAAACACATCGATGAATCAGACTCGTAATGCTCAATTAAAGGAACACGGAAGCTGGGTCGTCAAGAGCTTAGATGATTGTAATCATCGTATGAATATTTTATGTAAACCTAACGCAGATAAGAGTGATAGTGATTTTGCTGATAAGAATTTCAAGCAAAGGTTGGCGGGAATTTCATTTGATATAGCCAAATGTACCAAGGAATTAGTTAAAACAGTAGAAGAGGCAAGTTTGAAAGAAGATATAGCCAATATTGATGCTAGATTAAGTCAAACTGACGATTTAACCTGAGTAAAATTTACTCATTACAGAAACATCTTTTCTTGTATATCTTTATTTCCTCATTTGCAGATTTTATTGATCCAAATTTATTTATCAAATACACAGTTCTTAATGAACCTATCTTATATACTTAGTTAAAAAACTTTGATGAAAGTCAGAATTTAAAGTATCATTTGTAAACACTTCATCTTCTGTTTTATTTTGCGAGTTTTGCTTTTTGAAAGCAGTGCTGTCTCTCCAACTCTTCTTAATTTTAAAGTTTGCTCCAGAAGAAGTGTCTGCTACTTGCACCAATGGGTTTGAAACTTTCGTTTTATCAATTTTATTTTGCAGTTCTATTTTTTCTTTTTCTTCCTGCCTTTCCCTTTTAATTTTAGCAAGCTCCGCCATTAGTTCAGCAGTTTCATCTTCAGAGTCATCTTCAGCATCATCTTCAAAGCTACTGTCTTCGTCATTTGTTATTGATTCTTCATTATATTCGTTATCCTCCTTATTGTCTTTGTTATCAGTGGTTTTATTCATAGGCTCATCCTCCAGAAGATTACCGTCTTTTAATGGTTTTTTAATTTTTAAAGAATCTTCCAGCCTACCTTCATTCAGAAGTAAATCCTTTTTCAATTCTTCTACAGCTTGCTTTCCTATCTTGGTATCAACCTTCGGCTTTCGTATGTCATTCCTGTATTTCAAAGATGTATGTTGAGGTAAAGATCTCGAATGAAATATTGTATTTGAAATCGGAACAGCTTTTCCTCGTTTACTCTCTAATGTTGGTCTATGGTTCGTTGTCATTATTATATACCCTCGTAAAGTATCAATATATTACATTAGCTCTTACTATTATCTAAAAGTAAGATGAGTTTTAAAACGCAGTATATGCAGTATAACAATAGTTATCGTAGATCCGTCATATTTTTATGTACTAACATTACTTCAAGTGTACATCGTTCTGTGAAAAGGATATATATATACTCCTTGGAATTGCATTTGCCAAAAATGGCACCTTTAAGCTTAAAAAATGTAGAATTGTGAAAACAGATATTCCAGAATTTAATAATTATGTGAAGTGAAACGAAAAATCCGTTATCGGATTTGATTTCTTTGAAATTGGAAATCTGTTTGAATCAATATTATCATAACTTGATGTCAAATTCTTTATCCTTTGTTTCGTTAAAACAGGCACACCGCTCTTCTTAAAGTGGGATGAAACTATGCAAATTCGGAATTTGGAATAAACTATAAGACTAGGAAAACATTCTTCAAAGGTTGTAAAAACTGCTGAAATAATGCAGTTAACTATGAAAACCTTCAGTTAATTATGAAACAACAGTCCTTTTTTATTTTTGTTAAAGTAGCATGAATTATGTTTGATCAAGCGATATGAATTCCTTCATCCTCAATTGGTCTGCAATTTTATAAGAAAGAAGTGAAATACTTCTGTGTATGGAAAAAGGTAAGATTTGGGATTCATAATGTATGTTATTTCTAAATTAATTGTATCTTGTAGTATCTGTTGATTTCATATTTCTCTGAAAAGCGTTACTATTTCGTATGCAGTTGTGAGATTCAGACCCTATAAAATATTTTCAAATTAAACAACCTATATTCAAATTTATTACGGGTATAATATGTTTGTCTTTCCTGCATTCGATGTCAATTACAAGACTCGTAAGAGGTCTTTTCGATGCTGTCAAAATTGCCGTATCAAGAAGGTGAAATGTGAGATTAATTCGACTAATTCTGATCTGTGTTCAAATTGTCGTAAACATAAATGGAAGTGTGATTTAAGTAAACTTAGCGACCCGACCGATAAACAGATAACTGATGAGGTAATAAAGACTACTGATACATCAGAGAATACATCCCGTGTGTATAATAAAGTAAAAAGGAGCCAAAATGTTCTGATAAGTAAGGTAAATTCGTCGAATACGCTGCACATCACTCCGCAATATTTGAAAGATAAATTTAACTTTAATATTTCAGGTATGGGGCGAACATATTTGTATCAGTACCTAGTTCATAATCATCCGAAGGCTGTGATGGGGAATAAAATGGAGGATCAGAGTATATGGCATGAGTCAGGGGTATATATCGAAGATAGATCTAGGCCTTATTTGAGTGCTAACAAGGCCTATAAAAACAATTCTTTTAAATCGGAATTTCATATCAGAAATCGAAAAACATACGATTTATTGTTATCTCTAGATGCCTTTACATTGTCTACGCGTGAATATCCTTTGTCAAACTCAGAAATACGGGAATTAATAGAATTATATTTTTATAAAATTAATTCTCTTTTTCCTATTGTTAAGGAAAAAAGGTTTTGGAAAGAATTTGACGCAAATGAAGCACCTACAATTATTGTTTATGTGATTGTTTTGGTGATTCTGAGAGATAAACTAGCGGAACCAATATTGAAGAATATGTTCGCCAGAAATCGAGAAGTTGATATTGCAGGCAATAGCTTTTCAGACGACCTAATAAATTTCATCACAGATTTGGAGTACAAAATACGCCAAGTGACATTAGTATTGCCACAATTAGGTGATATTGATAAGATTACGTTGTTGGTGGAGCTGTTATTGTTATCATTCCATTATGGCTTTGATAGGCTTGGTAATGAACAGAGTTCGCATGATCTTACCGATGCTATCAATTTAGCAGTATCTTCTGGTATTCATATGAAAAGTCCGCATAATAAAAAAGCATATAAAGAAGACATTGAATACACAACAAATCTCTGGTGGTGCTGCTACGTTTTTGATCGATTCAATGCACTTACAAATTCGAGATGTATTTTTATCAAGCAAGAAGATTTCAATATTGACTTGCCATATAATAATATTAATCTTCTTAAATTAGTGCAACTAGCAAGGTCATTTGAAAATATGACAATCGCAATCTTCCAACCATTTGGTAATAATAATTCTCTCAACAACAATGGCAAGAGAGACAAGTTATTTAATGTTGATGAATTCCAAAGGCTTGAGTTTGAATTTTGTGAGAAAGAAAAGTTAGCCGGGAGCCTGTTTTCTGACGTAAAGGGCTTAGTGGCTAATGGTAAAATTGTCAATACAGATGCCTCTGTCGAAGCATATACTACAAGCTGTATACATTTCTTAACAAGGTTGATGAACAATATCATTATTCTAATTTCACAAAAGGTCAAATATGATAACAATCTAATTCCTAATTCTATACCCGAAGCGGTTACTCTGGAAGCATCAAAAAATATTCTCAGATATGTTATGCAAACCAAAGATGAAACTAGTTTGAATATTCCTTTAATCCCGTGGTGTATAACACTAGGAATGGCAGTATCTTTAAAGAAGAAGGCGAAGTATTTGTTGAAGACTGGAAACAAATACTCAGATGATGATGACTGTGAATTTGATTTGCATAATTACATTACTGTTTTAGATCAATATTCGACTAAGTGGTGGGTATTAGATGAGATTTCTAAACTAACAAAGGATTTTGTTGAAAAATTAAATACAAGTTCAACATTAAATAAGAGGCAGTCAGATGGTGAAGGATCAGAAAATAAAAGATTCAAAAGCGGGAAACAGTCAAATGGAGTTGTAAATCATCCGAATATAATGGATTCTTCTCGAAGTCAAACTTCAGCTAATGTTTCCAATTACCTGACAAGTAATACTACAGCAGATTATTCTACGAGAGCGTCCAACATGAGACCCAATCCTATACCGTCAATTCTGAATATGCTCAACGAAAGTAGAGAAGAAAATATTTTTACTCCATTTGAATTTAATAATAATACTCCAAGTAGTAATTATATTGCAAATAATTCTGAAAATAATAATGTAATTTCGCATGTCAAGCAAGTCAATACACCACCATTTTCAGATCAGTACCACGACTTTCTAGAATCTATGCATATTGATTTGTTTGACAACGACTTCTTGAAGGACTTCCCAAATATAGTTAATCAGGTTATGGATGGCGAATGAAATAACAGTATCACATAAGTATTATTTTATAGGTATTTGTGATCTTAATTTGTCTTTTATAATGGATAAAAGTTTACGACGCTAAGAATCTTGAGGTGTGTAGTTTATGGGAAATGTGATCCTTTTTAAATGATTAACGACCAAATCAAACTGGTTATTTGGTTTTTGACTACCCAGATATATAAATTTAACCCGCCAATATTACGAATGCACCTATTCAACGAAAGTTTCTATGCTTACTGATTGGAGAACTGTTGGTTCTAAATTTATTTCACGGCTAGTTTAGGTGAAACAAATACCCTTCATTATTTATCATGTCTAATAATCTACTAATTGAAGATTTTAGTTTATTGTATAATTATTGTCTGTGTGTTTGTATTACAAGCAACGAAAAAGGGTATCGTAAATTCATAATATGTACATTACAAATATACGCGTAAAGGCAAGTAGAATCGACGATAGTATCTTAATCTATGATTATTGTAGCTAACTATAGCGTATTTACTTAATATACAACATTTACAATTCTTCGTCACTGTTAATTTCTTCCTCCCAACCTTCTTCTTCAGCTTCATTCTTTTGGGGCATTAACTCGCTGATTATAGGTCCCCCAAGTTCATCAACTAAAGTCAATACTTGCTCAATCAATTCAGGGTCTGCATCAACAGAATCAGTTTGAGTGATTTTATATCCTTGCGTTAATGCAGATTTCGCCTCATCAATAAATGCCTTTATATCTGAATTTTGAGATTTCAAGAGTTGTTTAATTTCTAAATCTCTATAATCTTCAACATTCGAAGATTGAAGCTTATATGCAATTTGTTTGGCTGAAAGAATATTAGCTAACGCTTCATAATAATACGATTCCAAGATATTTTCGTTTATATCTTGACTGTTAGATGATATGGTAGTAGCAATTTCGTAGAGCTCTAACTCTATTGCAAACCTAGCGAGAGTCAATAGAGGTTGAATCAACTCCATGTATTCTAAGCCAACTTCGAAAGAGTCTGGTTGACTTTTATTTTCAGAATTTACTTGTAAATTATTAGCTGCTTCTTCCAATTTTGTCTTTTTGTCTTGAAATAAAGCCCATGATTTTTCTAAGGCATCCTTTGCTTCATCTACTCTTTGCTGAGATATTCTAATCGATGACAATAAAGACAAAGATTCAGGATTCTGATCATCTAATTTCAAGGAATACGCGATCAAATCGTTACATTGGGCTTCTGCTTCTGGTTCCATACATAAGTCAGTCATCCAAATTTCAATTTTAGCAAAGATTCCTTGGTTTAATTTCTTGATAAAATATTTCTGAAGTTCTTCTTTGGTTTCGTATAACTTGGATAATTCTACAAGTACTTCATCATCTTCCCCTTTATCTTCATTAATAGCATTTAATTGGATGGATAATTTATTCAAACCATTGTCTAAATATTTTAAACCATCAGGGCCTCCAATTATTTGTCCCAAATAAAGAAATTTTTCAGTACCTTTATCACCAGTGGGGTCTATTTCACAAGCTTTCATTAAAACATCATAGGCATTTTCTAAATCATTATTCTCCAATAAGGTTTCACCAAATATTTGTAAGAATGAAATATTAGAACTGTTTGATTCAAAATTTGGAGTCAAAAGTTCCAAAGCTTTTTCAGCCTGAGAGAATTGCAATAATGCTCTTGCATCAGCAATTATTTGATCTATTTCACCCATTCCTTGCTTAAGATGTTTGAATAGAATTTTTTTAGTTCAAAAATTTTTTTTTAGATAGATAGCGCAAAATCATCTCCAAATTCAAGCAACATAAAAGTTTGTATTTAGAACCCAATGGGAGATTTTATAACATCAGATCGAAGAGATCAATTGAAGCACGAATATGGGATTCTTCATTTAATTTATCATAGAAACCATAATCAACATAGAGTTCTGATATGGTGGAAATACTTGAATATAATTCATAGGAACATCAGAAAGATTCTTAAACTACTAGTAGATTTAGAGTTCATAAAGAGTCCTCAACAGATACGACATAAGGAACAGCAGATACTAGATATTATAAAGTATTTGATAAAGAAAAGAGTATTTACTAAAGCTTATTACGAATTTAATGGAATTATTGCTTTGGGTCAGTTCGTAACCCTTGGTTTAGCATTGGTAGGAAATGTGAGTAAGATATACTGCATTTTACAATATTTTAAAGGAGTAGATCGAATGTGCAAGCGAGGAATAATAGAAGAGGCTTCAGTACTACCTCCTGAGCATAGTGGTACTGATGACGTGGGCGAGATTGTGGACTTGAACAAGATTTCAGAAGATTTGCAATCGAAGAGGAAATTTGAAGGAGATGAAGCCAAATGTACGAAAAAGTTGAAGACAGAATTAAATGAAATGGACGATATATTCTCAACTAATGAACCTGTCACTACGAATAAAAAAGTTAGCTCTGAGAATTCTATAGATGACATATTCGGAGACTTGAAAGAAGATAAGAAAAAGAGGAAGAAAAAGAAGAAGAAGAAGTATAACGAAATAGATGACATATTTAACTTCTAATTATTTAAATATATTTATTAAACTAATAACACTATACTTGTAAAATACATTAAAAAAAATCATTAAATACAATCCTGAGTCCGTGCATAGATATTAGTAAAGAGAAAAAAAGTAAACCAAAATAAACCCCCAAAAAAAAAAAAATACTGTAGACAATAATTCATAGACAATTCATAAACCATATATTATTCAAAAGGTGCGTTGAAGATTTTAATAATGTACATGTTGCTGATAATGATGGCTATTATTGTGAGGAAGATAGCTCAAAATTTCATTGTAGTTGTTGAAAACAGATTTATTCAATTGATCAACATCCAAGCAAAACTCATCGTCATAGTCTTCATGCATTAATTGCGAATCTTGAAAATCGTTCTTATGAGGTCTGAATTGATCAAACATAATATATTCTTGTGGCTGGTTTAATTGTCCTGAATGTTGCTGCTGTTGATATTCATCCTGATGCTCTTGTTGACCTTCATGTTCATGTTGTTGTTGTTGTGAGTGTGAAGTAGGAAGTTGAAATAATTGGTTGTAATAAATTGGCGTGTTACCATCATTATGGACATTTGTACCCGGAGATACATCACTGGTGGCCGTATTCGTGCTAGTAGGATTCCCCGAACTCGTAGAGAGGCTAGGCGAGTCAGAGTTGTTGTATTCATAAGACGTTAAATTGCTTTCCATTGGTGCAGGTGTTTGTGGAGGGTTTGAAGTAGGTGTTTGAAATGATTTACTAGATTCAATGTCCTCCAAATTTTTTGACCTTTGCTTAGACAATTGCTTCTTCAATCTATTCTTAATAATGGACTTACCCTTGAAGCCAACAGGTAAAAATTTACATTCCGCACCTTCGATATGTATCTCACACCAAATTTCACTATTCTGAAAGTATTCACCACACATTGAACAATTACCCGAACTACTGGCTCTATCCTTCGTTTTCACGCCATTTGGGTATTTAAAATGTCTTGACTTTAAGTGTGTTTTGTATGTGTCTCTTCTTGAGAATCCACCAGTTGGATGACATTTATGTGTAATGTTATTTTCATCCATGTATATGCTGAATTTATGAAATGGACACGAATAAGCCTTATTTATTGCATGCTTTTTTACGTGTCTAGTTAAGTAACCTCTTATCTTAAATACTGCATCGCAATGAGGACAGTGGTAGGTTTTGTTTTCACCATCTTCATCAGATTTTGACTTATATTCATCATGATCTGAAGATGAGAAAGGGCTAGAGTTTGAAGTCATTGGAGTTTCCTCCTTATCCTTCTTCTTATTTTTCTCATTAGATAAAATAGAATCATTATTTGATGAGTTCGAGGATGTTGGTGATAAATTATTTTCGTGCTTGATGTGACGTACGTGTTCTTGTTCATCCTCGTGTTTCACTAGTGGATTAATATTTTCTAAAGAGTTACCAACTGTAGGTGTCATTTTGAAGCAATCCAACTCAGTTCCCGGAACGATTTCATCTGTAAAAGTCCATTCTATTTCTCCATTTTCATTCTTGAATGGTAAAAAACGAGTAGTTAACCCTGTCGAACATGGCTGCGGATTTTCAGGCCTTGACTTTTCGTCAACATTGCCACTGAGGCTGGTCTTAGTTATTGATGGAAATAATCCTTCGCATTCACCCTTGATGCTCTCTTCGTCTTCCGTCTTGATATGTGTAGCCTCTTCAAGGCTGCTTCCCATTTGCAATTGCTTTGGGAACGGTACAATACATTCAAACAAAAATTTAACGATCGCTTGGAAAAAATGGGAAATGATTGCCACATCCTGAAGTACCTGCAACATCGCCAATTTTAACTTGGAGTACACTGGGTATGCATCCTTGGTATATCCCATGGTACGCTTCTCAGTATTCATTCTTACGTGTAGGTTTGATTAATAATTTTGTGCGTCTCTAGACAACGTTTGCTCCGTAAGTTACTAATAAAAAACTTCGGATACGTTCTTATCTTTTTATGTCAATATAACACAGCGTTTAAAGCTAAATATCCTTATAGTCGTCTCTATCGATACTGTTTATCTAATGATTTGATTTTTTTTTTTTCACTTCTGCTGGGGGGGTGCTATTCTTATTATTATGTATTAAACATCAAAAGAAAATTTGATCATTTTTTGGAGAAAAATCTGCTTTTGTGTAATAGTAGTATATGCAGTAAGATTTCTGTTTTGGTCGTTTTTGAATAGAAAAATGTACTCATTCCATAGAGCATACATGAGCATTGTTGTACAGGGCATTTAAGCGAGATGTATACCCCGGTGTACGGGCGAGTTGTATCGTATACGGTCTATATGAATTTGCGCATTTTGGTGAATGATGCCGCTTAAGAGACCCTGATACAATCAAAAATGGTTCGATGAGTCAGTCACTAACAGTTGGCGAAGCCTTCTACGTAATTCATGCCAAGTAGACACCTCTATAGTTAGCTGTACTGAAGAAGTTTATTTATGGAATAGAGGAGACATGTAAAGTCTAAGTTTATTGGCATCCGGCATATTTCTGTGCACTATGTGGGATTGAAAGTCCGCACAAGTGAAATTCTGTGTATAATTAGAATAAAGCTGGAGTGTTTGTGTATGTTTTGTATGACGGTACACAGGAAAGCAGGTGACGATTGTCATCTAGATGGGGTTCGGCGGTGTCCAAGGTGAAATGCGCTTTGGAAGCTGAGGACCGAAAATGCACACGTCAGGAGAGCAGCAAGATGACATGATTTCTTGGTTCGAAGTGAAACTATTCATAGACATACGGAGGACAAAGCTTGGGAGCAGATACGATGGGTAGCTCTGAATGGTATTGAATGCCAATACAAGAAGGTCTGAAGAAAACAGTGGCTTGAAGCGATATAATTGGAAAAGTTGCGATGGCTAACGCGCGGGGGTGGGACAAATTAAATGAACGGTTGAGAAAAAAATTTTACTATTGAGGAATAGTAGAGAATCGGGAGTCTAGTGAAGGTTAATTAACAGAATGCTGATAGAAACCCCACAAATCGACTTGAAGTCGTTCGAACATGCATGCATTAATGTTATAAATAATAAATACTGGTTCCACGAGACATCTGCTGAGGGATTTCCCGGGCAAGCCTTTGCATTGGAAATTGAAAAGATATTGTACCATATCCATTCCCAATATCAGGATATATTAGTATTCAAGTCAAGCACGTTTGGTAATGTGTTGGTGTTGAATGGGATAATCCAATGTACCGAGAGAGACGAATTTGCATACCAAGAGCTCATCACCCATTTGCCAATAATGTGCCATGCTAAACCAAGAAAGGTATTAGTTATAGGCGGTGGAGACTGCGGAGTGGTCCGTGAGCTCATCAAACACCTCGACGAGGGAGTAGACGAAATAACAATGGTGGAAATCGATGACATGGTTATTAAGTTACTGGCCAAATTCTTACCAGGAATGGCCAAGTTCCACAATCACCCTCGCGTCAATATTATCATCGACGATGGTTTTAAGTACTTGAAATCGCTCTCTACACAGACACACGATAAGTACGATGTCATTATTACTGACTCTTCTGACCCTGAAGGTCCTGCGGAGGACTTCTTTCAAACAAACTACTTCAAGTTGTTATCTAACGCATTGAACCCGGATGGAATTGTCATAATGCAAAGTAGTGAAAATATATGGTTGAACATTAACTACTTGAAACAATTAATGCAAAAGGCTAAGCAGGTATTTGCTAATGTCGCATACAGTCAATGCTACATGCCAAGCTACACCAGTGGCCAATTGGGATTAATAGTCGCTACAAACGACACATCTAATGTCCTCAATATTCCGACCAGAACATTTTCCGCGGATAAGGAACTCGAGTTGTTCAAGTATTACTCGAGCAGCGTCCACCAAGCATCATTCGTGTTACCTACATGGGCTAATAAAACTCTTAATCATAACTAGCGCTTTGCTGCTAAAACCTTATAGCTAATTATGTATACTACTTTATAGAATGTGCAGCAATAAATGCACTCATAATTTCACCCCATACACCAATTCACATCTAGGCCCAACCCTTCGGTATACAATGCCTATTTTGATATCCCCGCCAAAAGCTACTTCGCACATCGCACTAGACGTGTTATGATCTGACTGAGGGTCTACAATTATTGTACAAATTGTCATACTTTACCCACATGTTTGTATATTTACATGTGTCTATTATTCTTGGTATGCTAAGTATGTTCAGTAAGCTTGGTAAATTCTGTATGCATCCGCTAATGATCTAGGACATTCTAACCTAATTATTGCATGTTCCGTGAGTTCCTCGGTAAAATCCAAGCATAATTACAACGTTACACTGCATGCTTGAGTATATAATAAGTGCGCTATTTAATCCAGGAGCAGCTTACAACATAGCCTTTATCATTTTCCTGGCATCGTACTTGCATCGTTCTATTCTCCGGATATTCTATTCTGTGGCGCTCCTGAAATACCTTAACTGATCCATACTGTAACGCTGTAATGCTGACCCTTTGACTCGGTACTACAATACTATGTCCGAAGCGTTTGCATATAACAAAATTGAGAATGCAAAAAGAAACCTAGCACTCAACTAATTAAAAAAGGTCGTGTCGCGAACACTATCATGATGTCGTTCGATGACCAAAGGACCAACTAATCTTCGAAAGAAGTTCATCTACCAAAACAACAAATTAACAAATTTACACTACTTACCAAATAACACGACTTAGTATTATTTGCAACTAAGCGTAAGCAGGAACGATCACTTAAAGAAACCGATTATAATATGTCATCACATCACGCAGATGAGGTCTATTCGAATAACATTGATGACCAATTGTTGAGCGTAGCTAAACAAGAAGGAGTTGTTGTTGATCCCCAGAATCATTCACATAACGACCTCGAGGCCACTAGAGTCAAGCTCGAGCAGATAGCGCATGCAGCCGCGTTATCAGAAAGACAGCAAAAACAGCCCCAACATGGACAACAACATGGACAACACGGACAGCAGGGACAGCAAATACAACACCAGCATTCGCAAGGTCAACAGCACATGCACCAACACCATGGCAAAGACTTGTCACAGAAGGCATACGAACTTCCAGATGCCCACTTGCACCAATACCACACCACTGTGGGAGACGAGAGTGAGTATAACATTCAGATTCCGGAGCCTATTATCGACTCAAAGCTGAAAATCTATCCTGTGACAGAAAACACTATTACGGCAGAAGGTAATTTGATTACAAGACCATTCCCTGAGCAGGTGCTTCACAATAGGGACGACTTGAATGAATTCATTCAAGAGTTTGCCCGTGACAATGGGTTTGGAGTGGTGATTGCACATTCGAACAAGAAAGCTATTTACTATACATGTGAGTTAGGAGGCCGTTATCGTCAGAAGAAATCAAAGAAGGGTATGGATGATGCTAGACATGTAGAGGTGGATAATGGATATATTTTGGATCCAAATACAAAGACCAAAAAGTTAAGATGCCCATTCTCGATGACAGCCACTTTCAAAAAATCGACTGGAATGTGGACGTTGAAGACCACTTGTAATGAACACAATCATCCTCAATTGGATCCTTTGTCAAACCACCCAATGTTGAGAAAGAGGTCGGACGAATTGAATTTGTTGATTTTAGATTTATATAAAGTCGGTACGAAACCTTCTCATATTGAAGCTAAGATTAAGGACCAATACCCAGATGTTTTGATTAAACGTGAAGACATTTATAATGAAATCAGAGGCTACAAGAGAAAGTTGAAGAAGCAAAGCAGATTCTTAGCTTCTAATAGTGCTGCTCTGGATTCAAGCCTCAGAAACTCTTTTAAGAAAAGGACAAACGCTAATTCGTTCCAACAAGTGGATTTGAACGACGACGATGAATCTACTAATGATCAAGTATTGGAGTATGAATTGCAACAGCACCATCAACACCAACAAGAGGCTGAATTACAACGTCAATTACACCAAGCTGCAACTGCAGCAGCTCATCATCACCATCAACACCACCCTCACCACCATCATATCGATGAGCAACAATTACAGCAATATCAGCAGCAATTACAAGAGCACGGATTACACGGTGACAATGGTGATAATGGCGATAGTACTGCTGCTGCTGCCATCGCTGCAGTAGCTGATGCGACGCACAACCATAACCACCACCACCACCACAATGACGGCGAGTTGTCCATGGACAATATCGACAGTAGATTGGTAGGTGAATAATCGTCTTTTGTTATTTGCTTGTTTTGTATATTAGCTATATGTATATTTAATTTAAAATATTTTGATCTATGAAATTCCCTGTATACCATTTTCCATTATATCCTTACATCCCCTTTAATAATTCTAACCCTTTCGTTCTTTCTTCAAATAGTCTAGCTAATTCCCCAACTTTTCTACCCCTGATAACTGGCTTCTTATTATTACTTGTTGAAATGGAAATTTTACTTATTTCACGTTCAATAGGCTTTTCCACCTGGAATTTATATTTCTGGGGTGGATATTGAATTGCTAAATTTAAATTCTCTTGTAGATTCTCTTTATTTTGGGATTCTTGTGTTGCATTAATTTGCAATTTCTTAGTAAACTTTTTAGGTGATTTCCTTGGGGATCTTGTAGGTGATTTAATTGGAGAACTTCTTCTTGCAGGACTTGTCATTATATTTTGTTTTCTAGGACTTGATAAGGGAGTATGCTGTTGTCTCAGAGAATCAATATTTGTTAACCTTGAATTTGTGGTCAAAATGTTGTTCGTATTAAAAATTACCCTTTCCTCGTCCTCCCCATCATCGAATGTTAAATCATGACTCATATCGTAAGAAGTCAGTATATCCTCATCTCCTGGCAGACCATGAAGTATTTCATATATGCTTTGGTATTTGCCAAGGTAGTCTTTTCTTAAATTTCTCCAGTTGTCCAAAATAGTCTTGAAGAAACGATTTACAATCAATATGTTGTCCTTGTTTTGCATCAGAATCAACTCATGACTTAAGCAATGACTCAAACATTTTGATAAAGATGAAGAAGTGTGTCTTGTAACACTGTTATTTTCAATTATATTATGACATACTTCACATAATTGAAATAAGACTATATTATAGTTTGATTCTTCTGCAAAACTGTTCATTATCTTGCTAAAGTTTTCCCGTATAAAAGCAAGATCGTATTTTATTGGGAGGTTTATTCTATTAATGGGTATTAAAGGTTGCGGCAATTCCATCAAAATTCTCTTAAAAGTGGCAGATATGCAATATAAATCCCAATCATTAATCCAAAGTAGTTGATTTCTGTTGATACAATCAAAAAATATATCTGTATTAATCTTTTTGCCTGGTTTATGGAATACTAATTCACTCTTATGTCCATAGGTATTTATAATGTTGAAAATTTGGTAAAAATGGTGATAAAAATTTGGATTCGTATTCACGTTAATTTTGGTTCTCTCATTAATTAGTGGAATGATCGATTTTAGATTTAGTTGATTTTCTAGTTGATAATTATACTTATAAATGTTTAGCGATATCTTCAACCTGGTGATATCAATGTAATTATGCAATTCAGACAATTTGCTATAATGCACTATTGTATTAGACAGAGATGTGAGGTTTCCGAAATTCTCTATCCTGATATTAAAAGACTCAACAATCTTGTTCAATGAATTGAAGTTCTTTCTGGTAGTGTTATAATTCTTGAATATCTGGGTTATAGATTTTACAAACCAACTATCATGCACAGAAATAATCTTCACTAATCTATCCAAGTGATTTTCATTATTATCTGTTAAAAAGCTCTTTAAAAATTTGATTCCCCATATCCAGCTGATTTTGTTCAAGCCACAACTAAACATTATCAACACATAGTTTTCCTTTGGTAAATGCTTCATCAAAGTAGGGATAAACTCGTCATAGCTAATCACATCTGTAGATGGTAAATAACTAGTATCAAAAATATATACTGGTAATTGAGTGCTAGGATCACATATACTCGTCTTATAAAATATTCTCTCCATCTTTTAAGTTTAAGCCATTCAAAAACTTGATATACTTTATATCTTGAATTTTATATGCTACCGATTCTTCCTATAAATTTTTATATCAGATCCCATAAAACCCTCTCTTTCTTCTACTAGGCACCAATCTTTATTTGGTCCAATTGTAAACATGAAAACACGCGAGACATTTATTAGTTGTAGCGACATTTGAGACATTGGTGGAACACACGATTTGTTATATACAGTATATAGATTCTTTGATAATTTGAACGATTTGCCATCCATAGCGGTGCACTTAGATAGTTCATTGATTGGCTTTACAATATATTGTACTTTTAAAGATCCTTGATATAAAAATAGTCGTATTTAGAAGATAAAGTGAACTAATACGAATACTATTTCTTAATTGAATTTTTTATTGTTGATCTTGATTGTTATTTAGTACATAGGAAAGATGTCGCCCTCTAAAGATCAGGCGCCAGTAAAGAAGGAATCTGTCTCGTCTGAGTCAGAACCTCAATTGACGAAAAAGCAAAACCCACCAAAGGAAGAGGAACTTTCTGAGGAAGATCAACACTTAAAAGATGAATTGGAAATGTTGGTTGAAAGGTTGAACGAACCTTCGCAAAAGGTAGAATTATATAATGAATATTTGAATAGCTTGAAAGCTTTTATTAAGGATTCTACAACGTCTATGACTGCGGTTCCAAAACCATTGAAATTTTTGAGACCACATTACCCATTATTGACCGATTTGTATGACAAATGGTGCAATGACTATAAAGGCGATTCGGATCTTGTTATCAAGTTGGCCGATATCTTATCGGTTTTGGCAATGACTTATTCCGACGATGGTAAGAATGATTCGTTGAAATACAGATTATTATCTTCAAATGACACTATAGTGGATTGGGGTCATGAGTATATGCGTCATTTAGCATTAGAAATTGGTATTTCGTATCAAGAAAACTTAGGTTTAGATGAGATTTTGATTAACCAATTGATAAAATTAGCTATGCAGATTGTTCCCTTTTTCTTGGAACATAATGGTGAGGCAGATGCTGTGGACTTATTGTTGGAGATTGAAAATATTGATAAATTGCCACAATTTGTTGACGAAAATACTTTCACAAGAGTATGTTTGTACATGGTCAGTTGTGTACCATTATTAGCACCCCCAGATGATATTTCTTTCTTAAACACTGCTTATGCAATCTACTTATCCCATAATCAATTAACACAAGCTTTAACATTGGCAATTAAATTGGATGATGAAAAATTAATGAGACAAGTTTTTGAAGTCACCGACGATGAGTTGATCCATAAACAATTGGGTTTCATTTTATCTCAACAAAATTCTAGTTTCAAATATGGTGGGGACAATGAGGAAGTACAAGAATGTGTTTCTAATACTAAGTTACACGAGTACTACGGATATCTTGTTAAAGAGTTAAACTTGTTAGATCCAAAAGTTCCAGAGGATATCTATAAGTCACATTTGGAAAATTCCAAATTTGGCTTAGGTAACTCTGGTTCTATTGATTCTGCAAAACAAAATTTAGCTTCTGCTTTCGTTAACTCTTTTGTTAATTTAGGTCATGGCTCTGATAAATTAATCCAAACAGAAGAAGATAATAAATCGTGGATTTATAAGACAAAAGGACATGGTATGATATCTACTACTGCCTCATTAGGATCTATACATCAATGGAATATTAATGATGGTTTACAACACTTGGATAAGTATACTTATTCCTCGGAAGATGAAGTCAAGGCAGGTGCATTATTAGGTACTGGTATAGTTTCAGCTAATGTCCATGACGATGTTGAAGCAGCATTAGCTTTATTACAGGAATATGTTTCTGATCCTAAGAAAATTTTCCAAACCTCTGCTATCAATGGATTGGGTATTGCCTTCGCAGGATCTTCAAATGAAGAAGTTTTAGGTTTATTGTTACCTTTGGTTTCTGATTTAGATATTTCTATTGAAGTTTCAAGTTTGGCTGCTTTGGCTTTAGGGCATGTTTTTGTTGGTACCTGCCATGGCGATGTAACTTCTACAATTTTACAAACGTTGTTAGAAAGAGATTTCACTCAATTGACTAATAAATTCATTAGGTTTATGTCATTAGGTTTAGGGTTGTTATACATGGGTAAGACTGAGCAAGTGGAAGATGTCTTGGAAACTATCGACGCTATCGATCACCCAATCAGCAAGACATTGAAAGTTTTAGTTAATATTTGTGCTTATGCGGGTACTGGTAATGTTTTGCAAATTCAATCATTATTACAAATGTGTACAGCTAAACCTAAGGATAAGTTTGCTGAAGAAAAGAAGTTAGAAGAGAGTGAAGAAGACCAATTAAAGAAGGAAGATGAAAGTGCACAAGTTAAGACTGATCCAAGTGGAGATATCGAAATGGAAGATACTGGAAATGCCACCAATGAAAAAACTAATGATTCTAACGATAAGGATACTAAGAAGGAAGAAAAATCAGAAGACACTCCTGAAGAAGATGATGAAGAAGAAGAAGAAGAAGAGTTGTATCAAGGTTTTGCTGTTTTAGGTCTAGCTTGTATAGCTATGGGAGAAGATATTGGTCAAGATATGTCTCTCCGTCATTTTTCGCATTTAATGCATTATGGGAACCCATTAATTCGTAGAGCAGTTCCACTTGCGATGGGTCTCGTTTCCACTTCATATCCACAGATGAAAGTGTTTGATACATTATCACGTTATTCTCATGACCCTGATTTAGAAGTTGCTCAGAATGCTATATATGCTATGGGATTAGTGGGTGCTGGTACAAATAATGCAAGGTTAGCTCAGTTGTTGAGACAGTTGGCCTCATACTATATTAAATCAGCTGATTCATTATTTATGGTCAGAATTGCTCAAGGTATATTACATTTGGGTAAAGGTACTTTAACCTTAACTCCATTTAATACAGAAAGATCTATATTATCTAAAGTTTCATTGGCTTCTTTATTAACTATTTCAGTTGCTTTATTAGATCCTAAATCTTTCATATTGAATGATTCTAATTCTGAAACGACCCACCAATTATTATATTATTTGACACCAGCGATTAAGCCTAGGATGTTAGTGACAGTTGATGAATCTTTAAATCCTATAAAGGTGAATGTCAGAGTTGGTCAAGCTGTTGATGTTGTTGGTCAAGCAGGTAAACCAAAGACCATTACTGGTTGGGTAACTCAGTCTACCCCTGTATTATTAAATTATGGTGAAAGAGCAGAATTAGAGAACACTGATGAATGGATAAGTTTGACCAATTCATTAGAGGGAATCGTTATTTTAAAGAAGAATCCAGAATATATGGAAGTTGAAAATTAAAATAATAGATGAAAACAGAAACATGTATTGAAATTAGATTTGTTTAGTCTTTTTTAATTAATTTTATACATTTTCAATAAATTATACTAATACGTTAGACAACTACATTATGCGTAAAAATCTCTATATTATAATGATACTAAAGCTAGTAGGATCTTTAAGTAGTTTATTTGCTGAAAGGAGGCAGAAAAGTAATAAATGAAGTAAATATGTTAAATATGTTTTCATTGCGGAAACGAATTGACCATATGGAAATGGCCCCATTGTGTGTCTTCGAGTTAAATGGTTACTTTCCTATTTGAATTCATAAGCTTTACCAGCCATCAATAATCCAACAATTAACCCAAATAAACCCAAAACAGATCCAAAAATCTCAATAACTAATATCTTGACAAAAAGGGATGAATCGGCAGCATCACTTATGGCTGCAGTGGAACCAGTCACACCAACTGCTAAACCACAAATTAAATTGGAAATACCAACAGTTAAACCCGCCCAAAATAAAGAATACCCAGTATATAAGTTTTCCTTAGTGAATAATTCTGTCTCCGGAACATTGCTCAACTTGGATGAAAATACAATTGCCATAATCAATCCATAAATAGCCACCACTTCACAGAAAATAATAGAAATCAAATTTTTAGTTGTGATTCTTGGTGCTTTGACACCAGCACCTATAATAGACGACCCTGTAATGAAAATCCCCCATGCAGCTCCAACAACAGAAAACCCAATGCAACTGGCGATACCTAAATTCGCCCACATATAAGGAGACGTTGATTCTAAAAACTCTCCTACATTGAATGATTCCCCTGAATTATTAAATAACATATAACCTCCAACGGTTAAGAGGGAGGCTAACACGAGTGTCTTACCAACTGCCATCGTTATATGAGTTGTTGTATTGATATAATTAGCCTTTGTTTGATATATTACTAGATGAATAGAATGGTCGTTAGTAAAGGAAATTATCAAGCTCCGATTATGTAATCCATGTTTTGCAGTTTTACTCGTACTTTACATGTTGAGAACAACGACTCTTTAGTATGATAGAGTAGCTATTCTATCCTTCTAGTGTCTAACGATCCATATTCTATATAGGTTAATGATTATTTGTTCACAATTGTTGCTGGGTTATTATTCCCATCGAAATTGAATTCTAATGAAACATTGGCTGCAACTTTGGGAGTAAAGTGAAATTAGCTGCTTCTCGGAACCAAGCGTCTATGTGTTTCAATAAACTCATACCATAATGTCTGCAGAAATACGTAGCATTAAATTAAGTTTTATGATGTATGCCCGTGACAAATATCTACTGGTATTCATGTCACGATGATTAGAATTGCAGCCGAATTGGAACATTCCAACGTTTGGTACGCACAGTCTAGTCAATTTAATAGTAGATTGTAGCAAATGACAAAATAACTGAAATATGGATCAATTGCTACCTGTATGACTTTCGTAATGACGGAACACTTTTACCAAAAATTCTAAACAATGCTAGATAAAATTTATTTTCTCAGAAGACAATACAAACAAAAATGACTCTCCGTATATTCTGTATGTTGTATTTGTGCAATAGGAGAAAACTATATCTGGTCACTGATAATTACAAACTGTTATTGGATGTACATGAACAATCCAATTCATTGCCAAATTGTTAACCATTCGTGTCGTGAAAGTGTTCATGATAAGTTTCCGAGGTTCCAGTAGTCCGATCATAGCAAATTCGCAGCAATTCTGCCGTAGGGGGGTCTGAATAACCTAGATCTACATTCACAGAGTTGAATACGCAGGCCAGTCCCATGATATAAACATGATCAAGTATTTAACTCGACTATATATATAATACGTCTGTTTTTCAATTTCCTTTCATATACAATTATTTGATTAAATATTAATTATACCATGTCTTTGAAACCGGCTAATAAGATTCCAGCTGTTTTTTATGTTAATGCAGCATTATTTGACTGTGATGGTACGTTAGTCAATTCTACAGGAGCAATTTCTGAATTTTGGAGAGGATTTGCAGAGACCAGGCCTCATGTTGATGCTGATGAGATCATTAGGACATCCCATGGTTGTAGAACCTTTGATGTGATTGCTAAGTGGTCGCCAGACGATGCAGTAGAGAAGCAAGTCACAGAATGGGAAGCATCAATTCCTGATTCTTTTGGACAATACGCAAAGCCAATTCCAGGGGCAGTTGAGTTAGTGAAAAAGTTCGATGAGATATCACGGACCCAAACTGATAATAAGCATCAAAGATGGGCAATTATTACCTCTGGAACTTTACCGTTAGCTTCGAAATGGTTGAAATTGCTCACAATTGAAAAGCCTGACTGTTTTATTACAGCTGAAAAAGTTACTCAAGGTAAGCCTCATCCACAAGGATACCAATCAGCCAGAGCAAACCTAGGATACGACGCACCTCATAAGAAGGTGGTAGTTTTCGAAGATGCCCCTGCAGGAATCAAGGCTGGTAAGAGTGCAGGGGCTATGATTGTTGGTATATGTTCAACCTACGACCCTGAAAAGGTCTGGGAGTCAGGTGCAGATATAGTGGTGAAGGACTTATCGTCGTTTGAAATAGATCATTATAATCCAGAGACTGACGAATTTAGAGTGGTTGTTAACGAATATTTTTATGCCAACGAGCAATATACTATTCGTCGTAAGTCCCTTGTTGGCGTTGAAGTTTAATTCGTCTAGAATTCCTATTTTATATTATTGATGTACTGGAAATAGATCCTATTTATATTTATAAAAATTCCATGTTGTGTTCGTCAAATGATTTTGAATCAGTAACCCCTTCGATAGAGACACCCTGTAGTCTTAGTTTTGTTCCTGTTAGTATTAATTTCCATAATGACTTAGTTAACTTAAATTCGATTTTATCGCCTTTTATTTCATTAGATAGTTTCCTTTTTTTCGTACTTAGCGAATCTTCAATCAATTCTTGAGATTTTGATGATGACGAAATATTATCTAATATTTCAGACACCCAGGTTTTTTTCATTTCCATGCCATTCATAACTGTCTTACAGTTACCTATTTCTGTGATGATACAAATGGATGGTGTTCCAGATTCTAAATCTTCTATCAAAAAGCTTTCTGTGTGTCTAAATAGCAGAAGGAATTTTTGGCACAAGGAGTTGGTCAATTGAACCATAACTATATTGAACTTTTTAACCAAAATAAGCTTAATTTCGGAAAAGTTTCTGTTCGATAATTCAGAAAAATCAGAGTCCAATTGCATTATGAGTGTTCTTTTCGGTTCTTTTAATATGAAAGGTCTTTGATATTGGATAGGATAATCACCATTTGCATCTTTAATGGACGGATCACGTATTATTCCTTTAGCGTTTAGGTCATTAAGTCCAATTATAATCTCTTGGTTTGTAAAACTATTAAATGGGTTATTAATTACTTTATGTTTAATAATTCTCTGTTCCAATTCAAGGAAGCGATAATATTTACATTCTTTCATTAACAAATTCCTATGTTCGTCGTTCTTGATAACTAAGGAATTACCTCTTAAAAATTCTAATAGGTCATTGAAAAGCTCAGGAGACCTGGAATTAACCGTAGCAGGCTTTTGAGGAGGAGGTCGAATTATATTTCTTTGTTCTATTATTTTTGAGTTATCCGTGAGCATACTTTCGTAGCTGACGCTGAAGAAATTTGGGTAGTTTCCACTGTTAACTAGCAAACTCTTTGAAATCTTAAAAGGTCTATTACCTATAGTAGCAAAAATATCTTCATCTTTTAAAATTCGTTGTAATCTTTTCAATCCAAAATAATAACAATCCAGTAATAAATGAACAAACTCGTACTCATTATCAACGCTTATTTGATACCCTTGTAGATGCTGGTATATCTTTTCGAATATCAATGGATTTCTATCGATAAATAGGACTTTATCATTATTTCCTTCCTGTAAGAAGAATCTCGAAAAGTAGGAAGGTGCATCTGATGATAATGAAGCACCGCTTAACTTGAATAATTTATATCCAACTTGAATTGAATATATCCTTTCATGAGGTAAAATCTTTGGGATCTGAGGATCAAATTCTTCAGAAATCTCAACATTAATTAGGCTATCTACCATTTATACTTCTCTGGTCTCTCGTAAGTGTCATGGCTCTTTTTGTCAAATCTTGCGATAAAATTTCGAGAACTTTTTTTATTTTCTTGAAGTAAAAGATAAGACTTCAAAGGTACAAAAAAAATTCAGGGTGACATCGGATTCATTAATCACATAATATATGGTACGAAAGAGTCGAAACTTTGATGGCTGTTGGACTTGTAGATCTAGAAAAGTCAAATGTGACTTGCAGAGACCTAAGTGTCAGAGATGTATTAAGGCTGGTATTGACTGTGCTGGTTATAATATCAAGCTAGGTTGGTCAAACCCGCTATCTATTTCTGCAGATAATAATGCAATGATTTGCCTTGAATTAGGGGAAGACGACCAAAATTCAGAATCCACATTTCAAAGACGAAACATTGATTTTGTTAGATTTTCAAACTCGCTGCAATATGATACATTTAAAGAAGTGAGTAATAGTTTGAACAGATTGGAGATTATTTCACAACAGAATAAAAGCCCGAATTTCCGAGTTGGCCCATTCAGTGTATACAGAATAGAAGGGTTGAAAAGGCAAAAGCTTCCTTCTCCAGAAACCCGTGAATGGCAGATCAGTTACGATGTGAGCGATAGCGAAAGTAGCCACCATGATGATAAAGAAAATTCTAATAAGCACAATCGTCTTAATGACACAAATCATATTTCACATAATGAAATTGAAGGTTCTATTTTCTCTAAAAGTAATAATTCGTGGGTTCATTATGAATTGTTGGACTCTGCTAAATTGACAACATTAGCAATAAAAGGAATAGATTATAAACTAAATGAACAGAACATGCTACATATATTGTATCCTAAATTTTTTCCCAATATCGATTCAGATGACTGGCTCGCTGATCAGAATATTTTAAAGAAGCTCTTTTATGAATTACCTATTTCAAATGAATTAAAATTAACTGGCTTATTTAAGGAATTGCTAAATAAGTTTAAAAATGTAACATTTTCATTTGTGAGAGTGCAGTACTCCAATAATTACTGGGAGACTATAGTTCTTCCATTCATTAATAATATTGTGTGTGAATTTATCTGCATGAATTTTGCATCTTGGATAAACATCAAAATGAGACCCGATGAGAATGCCAATTTGGATCTGCTAAAGTGCCACATAAAGCTCGGTATTATATACCTATTATTTAGTCTTTCAGCAATTCAAATATCCAACGGGTTATCGAATACCGTCATTAATGAAAATGAAACATATTATATGGATGATTATCTTAAGCTAAGCATTGAGTTGAGAAAAATGAGCATAACTTTACTAAATCACCACCTCGATGAATACGATAATAACATGGATGATGATACGCTTGAGTACGAAAATTTGCTATTGCTTTGTATAATATTACAAATTCAGGCTGATAATTATTTCAGTGTCTTTGAGAATTATGAATTACTATTTGCAATTGGGGGATTCATTTTGCAAAGCAAATTTAATGATATGGATACTCTACTGGATTTATCAAAATATCTTTCTAGTACATTTCGACTTATGAGTGTGTTCTTCGAATCGACTCACTCGATTAACGTATTCACGTACTCGATTGATTCGAATGATGAAGAGAACTACAAAGAACTAGGTACAAGCCATAATCTAATAGAAGCTAATATAGCGATAAAAGACATTCCAGAAAAGCCGTGGACTCCGACACCCGGGATAGATACTAATTCGATTTATCTTATGTACGGTATACCGCGTTCTTTAATCAAACTTTTCAAGAAAGCTGTCGATTTAACCAACCATAAAAATATCTTTCGTGCACGAAATGATTTTCCAAGACACTTCTTCAAAGTCTGTGCCGATGTGAAACAATTGATCACCGAGTGGGACGTCAATATGCACTGGAAGCTATACAACGAGATATATAATCCGATATTAAAGGAAACAGAACGAATTTTTATTCTGCGATTCCACCAAGCCTTATTTCATAATATTATGGCTTTTCACAACGCACTCAAGGTCTACTTCTACCGACTCGTGCAAGATTCTACTCCAAACCAATACCAACAATACATACGACAATCCTTCTTCCATTTACACGAATTGGTCACCATTAATAGACAGATCCCCGAGTTTGAGTTTAAGCCGTCCTTTTGGATTCTCTTGGTGTGCGGCAGCGATGTCATAGATGCAACGTTGCAACACGACATAAAACTGTTGTGGTCATCAAAAGAAATGGGCTACTTCAATTACTGGAGAGGAAAACAACTTCTTTACGAAGTGTGGAAAAGGAGAGAGATTGGAGAGACCTTTAGTTGGATGGATATGGTACGGGAGTGGGATATCGTGTTGTGTTGTGTTTAACGACCTAGTTTCTACACATATCTATGTCCGCATCCTATCTCATTTTCAATATACATTGCTCTAGTAGGTTTGAGTCGTATCCGATGATTGTACCCGCTATTATTCTACGCTTTATTGTTATATTTTGTGTCTTGTATCCCGTCTCTACCCCTATGTCGGTGGGTGCAAATAGCCTGTGCTTATATAATAAAATGACATCCTCTCGGCTCTTCGGAACAATTCAATGCACCCCTCCTCCTCCACCGAATCGCCCCGGGTCATATTCAAAAACTCACAAGGCATTATGTAAGCCGTAGGAATTTCCCCGGAAAGTTTTTTTTTGTGTGTTGCGGAGGGACATAATTAATGCCCTTTTCAAAATTGGTTTTTCCGACAATTTGAATCTGGTTGTATTCTAGATAATTGAAGCCTAAACATCTAAAAACAGGTGTACTGGTAAGTTAACAGTTGGTAAAGGAATCGAAGCCAATCAGTTACAAGCATCAGTAAGAATAATTGGAATATTTAAATAAGTTGAATAAATCCGGAAATTATAAGGTATTATTTTTAATTGGAAAAATTCAGATTTCAGGTCAACTACTAGGGAAATTTATTGAATTTTTTTTTGGTATATATAATAACTATTACATATACTCAGAAAATGCCAGGAGTTAATGAATCTACTGAAAACGGGGATAAGTCACCAAAGGACAAGTCTGGCACAATTGTAGCAGCAGAGACGGGGCCGGGAGTAACAAACACCAACACCAACGAAAATAGTTCAGCACCACGGAAACGGTCAAAGGTGTCGAGAGCGTGTGATGCATGCAGACGAAAGAAAATTAGGTGTGATGCTGAGTTAAGCTCGTCCTTGCAAACTGTTACAAAGATTTGTAATAATTGTGTTAAGAATGGCGAAAAGTGTACGTTTTCGAGAGTACCATTGAAAAGAGGCCCATCCAAAGGGTACATAAGGGATTTGGAAGACAAGTTGGAAAACAATTCTCAGACTAGAAAGAAGTCATTTACATTGGAAACTAAGAACCAACCTTTGCCCTACCCTAACTCGTTGCAGAGAAATTCAGTTACGGGAGCTACTACCACTTCCCCACCAACAACTACTTCGACGATTGTTACGTCTGGAACTGCGCAATCTGGCTCACCTATTATCTTACCGCCATTAATTGGCGCATACTCTCAACCAAAGATAAACGTCTTGCCTCCTGCAGTATCATCAGTGAAGAATATTGAACAAGGTTCGAATCCGTCTTCACCATTGAACGGGATTTTAAATCCATCCGCAATCGAGCAACAAGTTTCAAATTCAACCACGACCTCAACTACACCATCTAATAATTACCATGCTACTCATAGTCCTCCTATCCAGGGCCCTTTTTGGAAAGTGCCATACGAAATGCCTGGTAACAATAATTCTAATAACAACAATAGCAATTCATTTAATTCCGCCCATAATCGTAAGTTATCTGTCGATTCTATTTCATCGAATTCTTCGAATGGTTCAAGATCAAGGTTACCTTCTTTAAAAACTTCCAACTCAATATCAAGTGATATGGGAGTATCTGATAGTGACGATGATTTTTATTCTATTAGATCATTTAAACAACCGAGGCAATCTTCTCAGTCATTGTCACCTAGGAACTCGATTAGTTCATTATCAAGTTTGAATGGTAGAATGAACAAAAACTTGGTATTGTCTCAACAATCTCATCCTCATCAACAAGTAATTATGTCTCCCCATGATCAACAAGCTCCACCACCCCAAAATATGTATTATTCCTCAGCAGGACATGTTAATACGTCTCCTGTCTATCGTCCAAATTTACCTCAAAGTGGTCCATATGGAGCGCCTCAGACATATTCCAAAGTCCCTGCTAATTCAATTGAGCAAAACTTATCCATATACTACGCAAAATTCCATAATAATTTTCCAATTTTACCGTTTGACCAAAACTTAATAGTGAATATTTTAGAAGGTCTAGTCCTCAATGATCAAACTAAGTTGATTGTAGAATTGTTTAACTGTTCTTTAACTAATTTGAATAATTTTCAATTTCAGAATATCAACGATAATATTAATCTAATCTTAAGGATTTTGCAAATGTATCCATTCAACAACTTCGGAATAAAGTTGAATGATAATATCCTTATCTTATTTTTTTCATCATTGATTTTAATAAATTATTCCATTTTAATGAATGGTGATACCTATTCTTTGGGCATTTCATTGACAGCATCAATATTGAATGATTTTAAAGTTTTAGAGAATTTCAATCTCTTGATTAAAAGTAATATTAAAGACTTGGCCCCTGATGATATTAAATTATACTTGCCAAAACTTTATTATTGTTTATCGATAATGGATAACCTTCATAGTTTAAGTTTTGGTATCCAAAATATTATCCACAACAATAAATTGGTAGAATTCTTATATGCTAACTTGACGATATTGATCCCCATGAATATTGATAATCAAAGCATAATAAATTTCAAGATTTCCAAACTCTTGAGCAGTTTGATTAATACGAGAGATGAGGTCATTGTAGATAATTCATTAAAATATACTCTTAAGAGGAACAAAGATGATTGGAATGACGGTGCTTATTCACATCAGGGTCAAGATTTTGCATCGTTATTTATCAATTTTAACAAAGATAAATATGACTTGATTGAATATTTACATGAGCTTAGTCAATCCTTGAATAAAATGGAGCCTATTGAAGATAAGATGAAGGATTCAATTCGTGATTATCATTTACGGTTATGCAAATTGATTAAGAAGCTATCACAAACTATAATAAATTTAGCCAACTACATTTCTACAATAAGCTCGCAAAATTCGAATACTAATAGTCCCGGTACAAATAATAATAACTATAATTCTGAATTATTAACACCAGTCTTGAATATCTCGTTTGGCCAGTCTTATAAACTAATTAAACTTTGCAAATTGGTAATTGATAGTTTACTTAAATCAATTGATGATGCTGATTTGACAAACAAATTAATCAAAATGAATAATGATCTTTCGATTGCATATAATTTGCTAAACAGTAATTTGAATAAATCGTTCAATCCATCTGTTATTTTGGGACAATTCTCTATGAATCTAATAAAGAATAAAATTGAATACTACAACTTGAATTTTAACGTTCCAAACCAAGTACTGAATAAAGGATCTGATCTAAACCAATGGAGAAACGAACTTGTCAATTCGATCATGCCTTTCATTGATAAAGAAGATAATGATGGTTGGTATTAATATGTAAGGAGTAGTATTTATCTATATCCATAGCCACTATGTACTTTAATAATATTTATTTTTGCAGCACAATTAGTTAAGCCCAGCATTAATACAATGTATAAAATGCATAAGATTAATCAACTTAGTCGATCTTGATTTGTGCATAGATTTTTCTAACGAAGAATAAACTACTGACGAATCCAACAGTACCGCAACAAAGGAAAACCAAAAGAGATGTCACGGCGGAATAACCCACATATAATACAATTGATGATACACCTTCTAATTTATAACCACTTATCAAAAATAATGAGTGTAAGAAGACATAAATTGAGCAACCTCCACCAATGTAAAGAGATTTCCAGTGCCATTTATAATTTTCAGAGCATAAGGTATAATATACCATTAAAACTGAAATTAAGGCAGATGTCAAAATCATCAAGATGAAGCAGAAGAATAAAAATCCAAACATATAGAATATTTTGTTGAACCATAAGGAGGAGTAAATGAAATACATTTCTACTGCAATTGATCCAAATGGAAATATTCCTGAGATGATCATAAGTGGAAAGTTTTTCAAGTACCATGGTTGTTGAGGGATTTGTCTAGGGATTTGGTTAGTTCTGACAGGTATGCTTAATAAAGACTTCTTAGAAGCTAATATTGATCCAACAACAGACAAAGGAATTGAAATCACAAACCATATGGCTGTCATGGCAAACATTGTGCCGATAGGAATGGCGCCCGAAGATTCAACATAGATTAAGAAAAAGTTCAACAAAAGGAAGATAGAAAATAAAACACCTGGAACAAGGGTTGGTGTTAAAATCATATTCAATTTCCAATTTTCGCCTCCGAAAAATCTATAAAGATAACTTGAGACAAATGAGGAAATCACACTGAGTAATATGTACAAAATAAACATAAATGTTGATAATGCACCTCTATTTGATGGAGATAATAAACCAAACAATGCGAATACGATTGTGATAAGTGTCATCAAAAATATTTGAACACCACTACCAAGCAAAACCGACAATAATAATTTATGTTGAGGAGGTCTAAACACATCAGCATGAACTAATTTCCATCCACTTTCATCAGAAATATCATCATCTAAGTTAACTTCATTATATTTGACAATATCATTTTTCAATGTTCTCATCAATATATGTGCAATTATTATACCCAAAATGACTACAATCAATGAAAAATTAATCAATGAAAACCATTGGATCTTTGGGTCATACACATGCAAGTATTTATCCCATCTTGTAGCCCAAGGAGTTTCAGATTCTTCGAAGTAAACTGAGTACGTAAACATTACACTTGTTTGGGATTCTTTCTTTAAATGAACCTTTTTCAATTCTGGTGAGCATACCTTTTCCTTATTGTCTGTTTCAGTTATACCACTTCTATCCCATGAGAATGGATTAACAGTCACACCAACGACTCTATAATTATTCTCGCTTCTTTTGTGGTATTCGATATGAATGTCAAAATGGTTATATAAATGTGCTAATTTGTTGTCATCAATTTCACCAATGGAAAACCCTGAACCGTAAAACTCGTCCTTCGTACTATCATCGTAAGCATGTTGCGCAGCTGGTAATCCATCGATAATCCAATTATAATTGTAACCAGCCCTAATATTCCTGTTGACGAAGACAGCATCGGTGTTGGAATATTGAGATGAGCATAAAGTTTTACATTTGGTCTCTTCCAACATCTTTATTTCAAAAGGAGAATTGAAAATTCTGTCTCCGAATATGATCGAACCTAAGGATTCTGATTGCTTCTTAGGACCTCCACTTGGTGGACAGAAATGGAATTTTGGATAATAGTAATCATAAGAATAAATGTATGTCTTCATATCAATGTTTCCATGACCATTACTCGTTCTATGACGAACGGTTGGTGCCAAATGATTAACTAATAATGGAATAGAATCACCCTTCTTATAATTAGTTGGGGCAACTCCAGGCAAATAAAAAGCCTCAGATATACCTAAGAAATAGGTGACGAATATTAAGCAGCTATATAGAAATAACATTCTCCTGTCAATTTATAATTAATCATAAATTATATAAAAGCTTTAGATTAAATATATTTCTAACAGTATAGACGGTTTTCCTTTAGGTTGATCTTCACGTCTGTAATCTCGACAAAAAAAAAACAATATATATCACGTGCCTTACTAACTTGCAAGGCTTGTCTCTTTATTGTCGCCTATACATAACATAACCAACCAGAAAATTCAGCTATGTGTTCCCCCTTTGATAAAGTTATTCCGCTTCTGCTTGAAGGTGATGTTTCTAATTTCTTTCAACTTGTTTGCCTGCAAGACGGGATCAACCATATATGTTGGCCTTAAGGAAGAATAGTCGCAATTTAAGTTCAACCTTGAGCATTGACTACAGGTAGGTCTTTCTTCGGGGCAGGCTTTATGTCTGACCCTACATGTCCAACAGCCACTTTTAGATCTGGGACCTATTTTTTTTTTTTGTCGTGAACGTTCACGTCAGAATAATTGTTTAGGCTTAATCTGTTTTTCCGACTTTTACTTCTGGTTATCTTATACGCTGGCAAGTATTCATCATCCTCTTTGGTAACAATCTCTGAGTTATCTTGATCTCGCAAGTCTCCAGAACACAATGATATATCATATGTTTCTTTATCAAGCTTTTTTTTCGATAGTTTATTTAGTTCTTTGCGAGGATGCTCAGGTGTCATCAGACATGCAAGAGATAAGCTTTTCGCAACACTGCTTTTGCATTTCCTTTTCTTCCTAATTCTTTTTTTACTACTTATTACATGTGAATCAGATTCTGACTCAAAATCTGAAGCGGGAATCTGTATATCTGCATGTTCTGTAAATCTGTCTTTTTTGATGTATGAGCGTTTATCTGGAGTGGTTTCTTCAGGTTGTCTAATTAGAGAGCTTTGTACAAACGAATCGCATCCTTCTGATCCCTGCTTCGGAATCCATGGATATAAATTCTCGTGATAACTATCTGCTTCTGAAGTCAATAGATCTTTATCGATAACGACATCTTGGTTTTGAAGTATAGGAGAGCTAACCAAGAGAGTGTCGCCATTGTGAGGCAAATTTCTCGAAGGTTGAAAAGCATATTTTGTTCCCCGGGCAAATAATGGGTTGTTTCTATCTAAAAAGCTTGATTCTTCTTTCTCGTGCTTGCTCCGGTTGTTGTCGCTGAACGAAATAGGAGGTAATAAATATTGTAAATTTGACGAGTTTGAACTTTGCAACCCATCATTTGTGATTATTTTGGAATTTTTTGGTTCTGACGAATTGGTATCATTAAAAGGATTCATGAACTTTGAGGACCTTAATTCACTAGCTGAAGATGATGATACAGTGATAACTGGAGTGTAATTTCCTAATAGCTGTTCTAGATTTTCTTTGTTTAACCTGTCAGGTGTTATTCCTGGAACAATTGCCAGCAAACATTTGCTCCCAGGGGTAAGATCAAGCCCAAAATTTACATTGTCTTCTGAACCATATACCTTTGAAGACATGTTTAATTGTTATAGTTTTTTTTCTAAACAAAAAAAAAATGATATTTGCAACCTTCATTAAAATATAAGCGGTAAATTACAATTGTTTTAGATTTCGCAATTTAATAAAAAAAATTGCATAGAATGAAAAATTATATATAACATAAATAAATTATTATACAACGGAAGGAGTGGTATGAACGCTTGTATAGGTAAGAATCCAGTTAATATTAGTGAGCAAAAATTTACATCCAAGTGTCCACTCACTGTTGGACGTGATTCTTATACTTTTTCCTCCAATAGAATCACGCTTAGAGGATATTGCATAAGGTAGCTCCATTTCTTCGTCTAGACCTAGTAATTTAGACTCTATTTGAGATACAATATCTAGTAAGGCAATCATTGCAACATCTAATTTATTAAAGTTAAAAAGCTTTCCCAATGAGAAATCATTCGTGGAGTACAAATTGAGGATCATCTTATGAGGTGGATCGGTTGATGGATTACTTTTAGATATTTTGATTATTTGTGATTGCGACCCCATCGGGATTAGTCTATAATTTTTCAATTTAAAATTCAACCTTCTGATCAAGAACATGAGTAAGAGTACAATTTGACCTAAAGCTGCATTAATTTCTGACCATGGAACCTTATAGCCTAACCTGAAGCCATTGATAGTACCGTAGGTATCCTTATCATCAGAAGATATCTGGAAAAATTTACTATATATATTCAAATTCCTTAGGTTATCCAAATGATTTAAGTGAGACTGATATAAGGATTTAGATTGTTCGAGCTTGTTTAATTTCAGTTTTAAATCTAGCAGTAAATTATTTCTTAGTTTAAGAACATCATTCAATTCATTTTCATTAAGAGTATTCAATTGATTTTTTAAATCATTTAATTTCATGTCCAATTCCCTTTTATTTTGTTCAAGTTGTTCGAGCTTTTGTAATTTCTCTTGTTCTATCAGCGAAAGCTTTTCAAAACTATTTATCGAATCATTAAATTTTGAGTCCAAGTCATCATTTTCCATCTGAGTATTATCTTTTTCCTTTAGTTTTCTTAAAAATGACATATAGTATTCTTTTTCTCTTTGATTTTGATCGAACTTCAATTTAAAGTTTGCTAGTAATAAGTTGGAACAATCAATACATAGAGGATGATCAATTTCTTGATTTGAAGAAAGAATTTCAAACACCTTCTTTAAAGTATTAATTCTAGATGATATAATAATATAATGGTTGTCATCGTTTTCTAGGGAAGAATCTTTCTCCTTCTTGTCATCATCACTATCCTGTATTCCAAATATATTGGAATTGAAGCTGCTATCTTTTTCCTGATCGTCATTGTTATTCAGATTCCTGTAATGAATTGGTGGCTCTCCTTTATTATTAACCTTATTATACAATGCTAGCCTTTCCTTGGGTATAAAGTCCGCAGGATCAAGCTTTACCATATCATCATCATTGTATGTGTCATTATTATTTTTATTTACCAAGAGGTTGACCTGAGCCAGATTTAGCTTCATCAACGAGTAATCAAGTTTAATCCTTCCATTACATTTCTGGCAATGAAATAATTTATCGTCCATCATATCATTATTTGGTAGGTGATTCTATCAAGAGATAAGGATTAACGATGATTATAAAGGGTAGTCGTTTAAGACCCAAAAGATATTTGAAGTATTGGTGATATTTATTAGTTCAACAAAGACCCACATGAAGAAGCCGGTCTAGTATAGTGGTCAGTACACATCGTTGTGGCCGATGAAACCCAAGTTCGATTCCTGGGACCGGCAGATTCTTTT